GCAATTAGTTATTTGGATTCACCAGTAGAATATTCAACGTTTGGCATACTTTTTCACTGCTATTATTACTAGTCTCCATTGTGAAGAAAAGAAAAAATAACGAAAAAGAAAATATAAAGAAAAAATTATAGGAATGTGTTAACATGGCTAGCTGTGGAGCTCTTCCAGATAGGCTTCATGGGCATATATTCATTAGAAATGAAACAATTTAAAAACTGTTCGGCTATTTTTTGGAAAAACAATTTGAGACAGAAAAATAAAATCTAAATCCATAAATCCTGGTTTTTTTAGTGAAGATTTTTATAGTTTTTTTGGCTTGCTTCGTGCTTTTCCGCTTATTAATTAATAATTCTCGTTTATTTAAATTGATGATATCTTTTGGTATCATTATATCTTATTCACATATCTTCATTATTTTTAATAATTTTTTAACTTTATATGTATTTTTTTAAAGAGTATTCGCCATTTCTGAGTATATTCTATCCACTGGATTAGTTAATTCAGAGCAAGTTTTACTAGGAAATCACTGGCGATACAAAAGCAGATCCACTATTAACTGGATTTTTGAAAAATAAGTTCGCTGTTGCCAAGAATGGGAGCCAGTACAGGAGTGAAATGAGAACTCATTGATTCATTTTATTTGCTTTGATGTATTGACATTTTTATTATAAAGGTGTTTAATAAATCATTATTTTGCTTGACACTATATAGAATTGTGGTCTAATAAATCGGTCTTTTAAAATTTGAATTGCTTTTTTTCCATTTTCAAGTAATTTCGTGAATAACATTTGTGTTAGCAAAAGAATTTGCGTACGCCGAACTCAAATCATCCATTGAAAATGAGAAATTAGAAAAATAATTTTCCATACCTATAAAAAATGAAAAATCTTTTCCTAACACATATTTGCCGAATTTGGATATTTTAAGCATATTTTTCAAGATATATTCAGAATGCAGAATGTATAATAACAAAATTTTCAATATTTCTATTTACGTTATTTAAGTTTGACAAAAAAAAATTTTTTTTTAAAAAATCATGCAAATTAAATCCATGTAAACTATAGATGCAATCTAGAATTGAAATGTGCTATAAATTTTTGGAGCAAAATTTGATGATAAATTTCATTGCTAAAAGTTTTCCTAGTCAGCATTAATGGAAATAATCGATTCGACTATACATTTAATGAATTTGATCGTTTTTCACCTGGAACCATCGATCCGATCTGCATAGAATCGATAGCATTTTTCGTTTTTTAGCTGAAATTTTTGCCATTTTGATTTTTATCATATTGGTTATCTCATTAATGCAAAATGTTTCAAATCGTTTTTTAAAGAAATATTTTGAAGGGATTTTTTTTCATATTACTTTGAACTTACTAGTGTATTTAATAGTTTAAATAAAATTCCCTTCTTTTAAGTCTAATTTTACGGAAAAATACTTCTGCTCATCATTGAAAGCAATCCTAAGGGAATTGGCTTCTAGATGCGATGGAATTTTGCTTCTAATATTCTTTGAAAAAATGCGGATTTTGATTCAAAAACTTTTGATATTAGGATAGTGATAAATGATGATAATATGTTCACCATTGATCGAATAATAAATCAATTTTAATATTTTTTTTTAATATTTCTTTTTCTTTTAGAGGAACTCAAACGGTTAGATTGGTACCTCTGCCATAATGAAGCCAAACATTTCATTTCATACATTTCGATTCATAACTATATTTGATTACATTTGCATAAGCATTTTTTCTAATTTATTCTAATTTATTTAATTTTATTTTATTTTTATTTCATTTTATTTTTTGTCTTATTTCTTATTTCCTTTTTTAAATGGCGATGGTAGTTTTAAATTAAAATTTTTTAGTGATTTTTCTCCTTAGGCGAAAAAATACTCATTAAAAAATTAAATTTAAAAGCATTTCACCAATATTTTAATTATTTTTGGGAAATTAGACGAGAAGTTATTACGTTAAGAAAGATATTTAAGGATCTTTTTATTATATTTCAATCTTTTTAATTTAATTTCCCTTAATCTTTCTTGAGAAAAAATTTAAATAGAATTCGTCTATGTTGGGGGATTTTATTTAAAAATATCGTTTTTTTAAGCATTTAAAATTTCTCTTATTCTTAAGAAAACAATAAATATATAGTATTGATTTTAGTATCACTGTACTTAATAGTATATAGTGAACTTATTTTCGTGAGAAATCCCTGTGGAGCCTATAGGTTACTGTTTATGATGAGGAATGCGATTTCTTGAATCACGCGTGAACGTGATTCGATAGAAGTTTTCATTATGAGTGAAACACAAATTCTTGACAGCATCATTATATAGCGATGAAATTTCGCCACTTTTGTGTGGAATAGAAATTTAATGAGACAGATTTTCCATGAGTTCCAATAGTTTTGAACTGTGATTAATCTGAACAATCTTAATTCTCGTTTTTTATTTCTTTAAATATTTATGTTTTTCTATTTTTTTTATTTCCACACATTTTTTGAAATTTTTTCTTAAGGCTTTTCTTATTTTAATTTATTTAATTTTAATATATTTCATTTAATATTATAAGATTAGCAATTGAAATTGATAGCAATTTCTTTGATTTTCATTTAAGTCTCCTTATTGTTTTTCCTAATGCTTACAACTGATACACGATTTCTTGTAAACTCTTAATCAATACGATCAAACTTCGCCTTCATCATTTCTGGTTCCACTGTCTCTACTGACTATTGACTACAGACTACAGTGAGATCTTTTCGTTAGAGAACTTTGGCTTTTGCAAGGTTTCCACTTTTAATGACAGGTATTGCATGTTTATTCACGGAAATTGAACAATAATATTTCCTCTGAGAAGAAGTAAAATATGGCTTTTTTCCTAATGCATCCAACCAATTGAAGCTTTACAATTTTAATATTCTACAATTTATGGTTATTTCAAACTGGGAACACAAATTTCTGTTATTAAATTTATCGTTACAAGAAGCTAAGAAAAATTAAGTAGCTAACATTAAAAAGCAAAATCAATCCCATGTAAGAAATAATAAATCCACAATTTTCAAACGAATTTGCGAAGCTCAAAACTGAATTTTTAAAAATATTTCAAGTTAAATTTTTTCTCTATTGGATTTAAAATTATTTTTAATTATTTATTTTAAATTATAAATTGTTTTTACATGTTATTTTTAAAAATAATTTTATTTTTAAGAGTAAGCTGTGAATAAATTTTTTTCGAATTCTCGATGGATCATTATTATATTTTTCATGAAATATATTTTATGAAGAAATATTTTCATTTCCCGACTTTATCATATTATCGTAAATTCTTTTTCCTTGTTATTTCTTCGTTATCTCTATGAACTGAAATTAGACTGTCCTGAGCTAGATTGTTCTATTTTTCAAAAATCAACGATTCAATCTTTTGTTTCGAATTATTCTGGCAGAATTTCATTCAATTATGAGGTTTTCTTATTACTTATTCTAAGCTTATAAAACTGCAAATGATATGAAAATGGCGTGCATTTCTTTGTTATCAACTACCTGCTACTTTATTGTTTACGTTTTTTATATTGAAATTTTGCTCTTTCGTCTTTTATTAATGATAACTTCTTAAAGTGTTATCAGTTATCAGATGAAGATTGATCAGTTGATTCCATAAACCAAAAATCTTATGGATTTATTTATTATATATTAGTAGAAGCTAAATAATTCACCGTCATTAGCGCTCTTCATTAGTCAAACTAATTCTGTTGATTGTTAAAACATTAAATTTTGGCCAAGAAACCATTTGTCAATAGAATATCATTCGACTATCTTCTCTCATATTATTGGGAAGAAAATTCATTTAACACTTGCATTACGATAATTGCATTTATAAGAGTTTATGCGGATAGATATGCGGACCATCTGACTAATTTGTTGCAAATTTATCCATTCATATAAATATTTTACTATAGCATGCAAAATCTAAAACGATATAGCGAGATTGCAATAATCTCTTCTATTCTTTAATTTAATTAATAATTTTCTTTTTATCATAAAACCATTTACAAGAGTTTTGAAAATTAATTTTTTTTCATTTTTGTCCCACAAAAAGAAAAAGCGAATTTCGATAAACGAATTGCAAATATGATTGCAAATATCTATCATTATTTATTGCATTTTTTATTAAATTTCATCCAATTTTAGTGCAATTTCCATTTTGTCTCTTCCTTTACAACATTTATTATTTTTAGAATTTGTATTATTTCATTTATTTTCTTTCTTCCTTTTTGTTTTTCAAATGCATCGAATATTTTGTAAATGTATTTCTAAAAATTTTCTAATGATTTATAACATTTCTAATTATACATAGATTTCTAAAAATTTTAAGTCGAATTCAAAAATTCGCGTCAATGTCATTTAATTAATGTTAACTGCGTGGTAAATTAATGTTAACTCCACTGGTTGCTGGATGATTCGCCGGGGAGAGAGAAAAATAAAAATACAAGAAAGTAACCAGTTTCATTAGGATTCTTCAATGAGAGGTGAATTCTCGCCAAATATCTGCAATATGGTGCTTGAAATGAAAGTCAAAGCAGTACATTCTTCCCACTCTTGCATATTCCACTTAACCTTTAAGAAACAATTTGGTTGCTTCAATTCAATTTAAATATTGCATAAATCAATAGAAATAGACTTTTTGAACATTTCGTTTATACTTATAACGAGTATTATTGAATTTTCCAACATTTTAAATGAATAATCTATTAAGCTTTGAATGGTTATCCTTCACCTTTACTGTCTAAGATAAAATATTTTGTGACCATTGATTTTAAAGTTAAAATGGAATTAATCGTCCTATGGAATGAAACCGATTAACTATGCAAAGAGTTGGCGCTAATAGATGAATCATTATTAATTTCAGTGATTCAGTTACAATCATATACCACATAAGTACGTTAAAGGAGTTGGCTGATTAACGGCAAAAGGATAACAGCTAATCGGTTTGATGGTGAAAATGGTTGAAGGAAAATGGTATTCAATAGTTGGTTATATGTATATGAATTCCAATTCAGGAGGTAAGTGAAAAATTCTTTTTTTTAGGAATAAAATTAAAATTAAATGACTTAAAAATTTAGAGAGAATGAGGATATCTACTCATCCGATTTCACTTTATTCTTTAAAAAACTTCATTTTTCACTCCATTTTATACTGAATTTGGATTTTGAATTTTGAAAATTGAATCCTAAAATATTGAATTTTTCAGCATTTTCCATTTGGAAATCTCGTAAAAGAATGTTTTTTGCATTAGATGAAAGTGAGAATCGTCTGGTGTTTTTTAAAGATGAAATAGATTTTTATAAGCAGAAAAGCCCGATCGGTACTATTTCATTGGTGAATGCTGCATGCACAACGATTGATGAAATCTCTACCGCTATTTCAATACGGTAGTTTTATTTGCGTATTTGTTTTTTCATTAAAATGATCAGTTTATCGGTTTCTTTAATTGCCTGTCTTGGATCTTGGTCCTGTCATGACACCTAGACCTAATATTCTTCTATTATAGAGTTGGTGGTAAAAACTATGAAATCATTGCTGAAAACGATTCATGTGCTGAAAAATGGTTGAATGCTTTACAAAATCGTCGTGATGGACTTGATCAAAATCAAAATATAAGAAAAGATATGTGCAGCGAGTGCATTAATGACATGATGTCACGTTCTCGATCAACATCACTACCTGTATGTTCATTTAATCAGTAAATTTATGTTCAAACCAAATTCTTATTCATAAATTTTACTATACTTTACCTAATTTGACGCTAATCAACATCTAAATTTTTCTTGAGAATTTAATAAAAAAGCGAAATCCACGAATAGAAAAAAATATTGACAAAGATTTGCGATACTATTTGGGAAGACACCACTTATCACCAATTTCTGGTTTAATCGGTTCCACTAGAATATAAGAATAAAAATGCAAATTGATTCCCAGTGCCATATAGATCCCACTGTTAATGACATAAAAGTGTAGGAATTGAGATTACGAAGGTTTAAAGCGACATACCACTCGACTTTGCCTTCTGAATAATTCATATTCCAGACCTTATCACACATTTTATTAAAAGTGATAATATATTTGATGAAATTCGTTTTTTATTTATTAAAAATAATAACCATTTTGAAAGAAGGCATCAAAATGAAATGAATGATCAGTTGGTTTTTTGTATTGCATGAAATGAATGCTACTTTACTACTAACTTTTTATAATATCAACAAAAATTCTTCAATTTTTCGATGTTATGAAATTCATTTTTTTTGTGATTTGTTCGATTTTTGTTCGTGATTTTTGTCGCATGGACGAATTTCTCGCTGTATGATTAGAATTAAATGTTTTAAGAAATATCGGATAAGCTTATTCAAATCTTTTGCGAGTCGAAAATGACTTATAAATTTTTGCTTTTTTTCTTTTATTTAATATTTAATATTTATAATTTAAACAAATGGTAGTAAAAAAAATTTCACGATTTTCGATTGAAAAGAATTAATTCTTTGAAAAAAATATGGGTGAAGTTTGATCAGTTTACTCTGCTGTAAAATTGCTCTGTTCAACAAAATATGAGATAATAAATCTCCATTCATCAGTCGGTTGTTTTGTAACGCATGAAAAAATGACTATCTTATTGTTCCTATTATTTTTAGAGCGTGAACGATATGTTCAGCGATCGTTTGGTTAGTAATTATAAATCTGATCCACATGGCTATTTCCAGCAGTCACCAATTAATCGATACCAGAAGTCGTGTAAGCGAAAGTTGTTTCTCTTTTTTTCTTCATGTTTGGCTGGCTTGGCTCCATTGATTATTTCGAAGTTACATAGATAGAATCACTAAAAATACAATAGCCAACTTGGACCTCATTTTACTGGCTTTTAATGATAATTGCTTCTCTAACGGCGCATAAGCCATGATGCTTTCAAACGTTTAGTTAAGTAGTTTTTTTTTTGCTAAGTTTTACAAGTAATTAATTTTTGCTCTCTAAAAGATTTTATCATATTTTTACGTTAAAATAACTCTTTTATAGTAATTTTATATTTGCAATATATGTCTTTAAAATAAATTTGTTCAAAGAACTTGTCTATTCATTGAATGTAAAAAAATTTAACTAAATCTTACGAAACTTTTCAAAACAGGCAAATTTCATCGAGTGAAAAAATTTTATGGTCATCGAAGGCAACTGATCGAATTAAAGCAGTTTTCTTATTTTTTTGGTGAAATGAAAATTTTGAATAGCTAAATAGCCCAAAGCTTTATCATTCAGTATGGATATAACTTATAATTTGCAGTGTATCGAATGAGATCGTTCGATTTTATTTCCTCTGACAAATTTTGTAAGCAGAAACATGGTCTTCACCTGGGACATTTTTATGTGAGTTCTAGTACTTTTCAACAAATGCCTCATTTATAAGTCGAAATAATATCATTATTATGGATCTTTTCTTTATTTAAATATCTTCATTAGTTTTCACAGATTTACAGACAATTTCTCAGATTTCATGCTTCATGTAAAAATTTCTCAAAATTGTTTTGGCAACATTACTTAAAAATTATAAATAAGTGGCTAAATCCTTTTAAGAAAAATTTGATCCGTTGAAGAGTTGTTTTTAAATATATAGCATCCATTTCTGAGTATGAGAATTCAATCAAATAAATAACGACGTTCTGACAGGCTCCGCAGTCCATTTTGCCTCAGCAAGTCGTAATTTAGAACAATAATGAAAAAATGTCTTGAATTGATGTGTTAGAATCGGTGCTAAACTAGCCATCATATAATTTTTAATTTTTCTTTGGCACATTTTTATTAAACATGTCATATTTTATGAAAATTTTTCAACCTTTCGCCAAACATCCCCCTAATACGCTTGCGCCAAGTGCTTTTTCGACCAAAAAAAATGGTGAACCAAGAGGTTATTTCCCTTTTCTCTTAATACTTCCATCCGCCAACATAATCCATTAATAAAATACTCTTAGATTCCGCTTAATTCTTAAATCTCTCGGGCACCGTTATAGCTTCTTAACAATTTGTTGAAAATCTCTTTAAAGTCCTCCTTTACTCCATCAACCTCTCTTCATCAAATCTGCTGCTTCGTATATATCATAATCTTAGTCACAATACAACCAATTTTACCACTCTATCTCCCTTAGATCTAGTTACAGTTCCTTAAAAGCATCCATCTCATTCTTTTAACTTCTATCAAGTCCTGCTGATGATTCTGTCGCTCGTAGGATATAACGGTGATGAGAATATTTTATTTTGAAGGAAAATTTTGGAGGTTGGTATAAAAAGCGTAGTTAAGGGAATATAACGATTTTAAAGATATCTAGGATCTGAATTCTTCTTCCACGACTCATAATTACAGGTTTAAGGTTTATAGCCTATATGCATATAAATTTAAGCATATATATATGCATACAAGCAATTAAATTTTTTTAAAATTTTAATACGATTTCAAATTTCAAATAAAAGTTTTTTGATTTTTTTAATGACTCAGTGCATTTATTTTGTGATATAGGACAGGAAAGATAAACGGAGAAGCAAGATCCCCGATTGGTTGGATTCGTGGATTACTGGTTGGTTAAATGAGCAGCCTTATTTAAATGAAAATTTTGATGGAGATCTGAAGTAAGAAATTTATATTCTTTTGAGATTTTTTCTTATCAACCTTTTATTTTCTTTTGCTCAGTCTCACATTTTATACTTTTTTCTTGTTAAAAAAATTTTCTTTCATTAAAATTTTTCATCACAGAAGTAATAGCAGAAGCAATATCGGAAATTTGTTTCTTTTATTTTTTTCATAAGAGTTTACTTTTCTCCCGTTTTTAGTTAATTTGCCGATTAGAAGAGTTAGCACTCACCATCCATGATGAGTTAAGGAATGGATCATTCTGCCTTAAGTTGCTGAATGAAATAGCGCAAAAGCAGTTGTCAACTCATTTATTTTCATCAACAATCTTACAGAATGCAGAGTGCGGGAAATGATGGTGAACGCATTAGCGAAACGACTTCTATATGCGATAGTTGTCAATGTTCATTTTATTCCACTGAAATGTAAATTTTTATTCTCTCATTTTCGGAAGTATTTACTTTAAATAATGCAAATAAAGATGAGTGGTTAACGGTAAACTTTTTCGGGCTCAGCTCGCCATTAAGAAATTTTTCACCAGGTGGGCGAACAGCATTACCCGAATTTTAACAACAAGTTTATACTTGTCAGAGAAGAATCTCTTGTACTGATTTTTGAGAGGAATAACCACTCTCATATTATATCGCCATTTATAAATGCAATATACAATGGATGCATTAGTATTTATAATACTTTAAATTGGCAGTCATTTTCTAGTTAAAAAATTGGCAGAATAAGATTATTAGACATAAGATATTTAAAGACATTTTGCGGCTCATTATTTATGTTCAGAAACTGAGAAACTAGTAATTTCTTATTTTTACCCAATTTCCGAAATTAGAAGCAAAAATTTAAGCGAATCTAAATTTTAAAATTCAAGCCTTTTATTTTTATTATTATTTTTTTAGTGCTCTTTGCGATGAATTAAATAAACTTCGAGAATTAAGTAATCGACAAAAAGAAAAAATACAAGAACTCAACGAAGAAAAGAAGAAATTGATTATCGAATTATCACAACTGAAAGAATTCCAGTATAATCATTTTTTTCTTGTTCAGTTTTGGCCAAATTTAGGAAATAATAAAATGTTCAAGGCCATTTCGGCAGAAATTTGTTTTCTGTTTATTCAGCTACCAATAGATTAAATCATTCCATTCCATAAAAATTTAGAAAATTTGAAAGTTAGAAAATTGAAAAATACCAGAAAATTTTTTATACTGTAAAATATTAGCAAAAATTAGTAATTCATTAATCATAGATCATCCTTTCGGTACACAACCTGGTTAAAAATATTGTAATAAATATTGCAAATAAAGAACAAATTTGCAATAAGAAACATTTTGTATGAAAAATATATTAATATATTAACTAAAAAACTAGATAAAATCGCATCAGAGTATAAAACAGCCATATAGAAGCAAAAATATTAACATTCCTTTGGAATTTTGGAAAGTTTTGTAAAGGAATATTTGGTCGTAATAAGTGGCATCTCTACTTACCTTCTTCTTGTAAAATACTCGTCATTTCTGGCTTGTTTGTCTAGGCTTCACTGATGAAACTCTTTTGATTCATTTGGGGAATAAATTAGATGATCTGTTTGAATTTCACTTTTAATGGTAGTCTTATGAAGAGGTAGGAACTGAAGATATTCGGCCCCAGTTGGTGCCACGGAATATTCGATCATCCGCTCTCCCTATTTTTGCTGGCCTCGAGAAACAAAAGATCTGCTGTTCATAAAATTAATTCAAACAACTTTGCTGATCTATTACAACTTGCTGTGAAATGAATTTTTATTAAAATATCAAATATCAAAATACAAAATTACAATACATTACTTAGAGAAATGGAAACTTTTCACTATCTCGAAGGTAATATAAAAAAGCGAAAAATTTTAACGTTAGTTCACAACGACTAGACTCATGCAAGTGATGATAGTACCAAGAAACTATTTAAGGAATTCTACGTTGGAAAAAATCAACGACACCTATAAAGCGTCATTAACAGCTCAGAACAAGTTCCTGAACTCCGAAATTATTCGGCTTTCTGACAGAAGTATTTCTGAACAGAAAACTATTGAAAAGCTTCGAAGGTTTGCATTTTGAGTTGCAATTGTCTCATTTTGAATAAAAATTAAATTAATAAATTTAATAAAATTAAATATGATTTTTAATAATATATAATTAGATATAACCTTGTAGGCTTTATTTAAGATTTATTAGATTTATTTTTTAATATGTCCCATTTATATGCCCATTTAAATGGAATTTTTTGCTATTTCACTAGTATTGCTGAATATTTTTTTATTGTTTAAGGAGTTGGTTTCTGAATGTTTCAAAAAATTTGTGGTAGTCAAACAACATTGGTGAAAATTCGTTCTTAATGATGATATCTTGTGATTTATTAGGTTTTATTAGATGATTTCAGGAGAAAAGAAGAGTTGGAAGAAGATTTGAATAGCTTCAAAAGAGAATATGTATTTCTTCTACAAAGTTGTATTAGAATTCCCTTATCCGAACATTCTCTTGATGTAGTTCAAGTGAAGCTTCTTGGTGGAGATGTTGTAAGTTTAGTGGAATTTGATTTTTATATATCGACATTTAGTTTCGAGGGCCTTTTTTTTGTATTCTCGCATCATGTTAAAAATTGCTTGTTCGATTACAGCATAGAACTCGTGTACTTCGTCTCTTGGCAGATGCACGTATGACAGATCCTACACTGCCGACTTTTGAAAGGTTCATTTTTATATAAAGAATTGGAAGGTTATTTTTAAATTTAGCTTTTTTCAGTGGCAGAGAACGGGTTATTCTTTCATCTTTTAAGGTGATCGTAAACTGTCACTGGGCTATTCGTTACCAGTAAATTCCAACTTTAATAGATATATCTAATATTCTGGTCAAAATGAACTGATTATTAGTAAAACTATAAACGTTACTTATGGTAGTAGAATAATTTTTTGTATTTCGTTTTGACTGCATCCAACCGTCACGAGCTTGATGCTTGATTCTTGAAATAAAATCATACCATTGATAAGGAGATCTGCATGGTACTGGGTACTTCTGTTCCCAAATCTCTTGGTGAAACATTCTCAGTAATCAGAAGCAACGACTAGAACATAATAGAGAATTCAGTGGAATACGTAATTTATACTTAATTTAGACTATAACCACAGAATTATAGTCTAATTTCGCTTGGAAATTATGTTGATGCGTTCGGCTTTCGACATTCATTCGACGATGAAGGGCTTGCATTGCATTATGTTTGCACTTTATTGCACGAACACTATCACGAGCGGTCTCAGTCACAAATTGAGCATCGAAAGAAATGGAAAAAATATTTGCAAACAAGCAATAATCGACTCATAAATAATGTGTCTTTTTCTATTATTAATATAATAAATATTAAAATTCATTAAAACCAACAGCATTCATTTGCAATTTAAACATTTTTGAAGTGAAAATTTTGGATAAATCAATCTTAGTTGAATCGAAAATATCTAAATATCAATCTTAATTGAAAATATCTTAATCCACCAATAAAAAATTTAGCGAGATGTACGACAACTTGTGCGTTGTGGCATTCCAGCTGATTTACGCTCCACTGTTTGGAAAATTTTGATCAACCAGCAAGTATGTGATATAAAGAAACGTTTGGGAAAATATTATTACCGTAACTTATGCAATTCCGAGGGTACACCATCGGAGCGCCAGGTAATCGCTTTATTGGAATCATTTCAGGCTACGTTAAGGAAAATTTACGGAAATTTTTTACTTTTTTTTGCAAATAAACATTGCAATAATCAATTGCATGTATACAACCACTTTTTATGCCAATAATTCATTGCGTTTATTCAGTCTTTTACGGCAATTTCATTAATAAAAACCATATGATTTTTGATTATTTTATTTTGTTATTTCGATTTTCGTCAACTTTAGTATAATGCAAATCATCAAAAACAAATCACATTGGACCTTTTGCGCACAATGCCGAATAATATATATTTTATGTTTCCTACATGTGAAGGGGTTTATTTTTTATTTCTTCTTAGATTTATAAAAGTTCGAAACTTTTCTAAATATGCAACTAAAAATTACAGAAAAAGATAGGTAGTAAAAATTGGAGGTACTTAATTTTCTCACCGAAAAATACGAAGCGATTTCAGACGCAAAAATTGGAACAGGTGCTGCGAGCCTATTGCTTGCATAATTCATCAATTGGATATTGTCAAGGAATGAATTTTATAGCCGGTACAGCAATGTTATTCCTTGGGGCTGAAGATACATTTTGGTTTCTTGTAGCTATCACTGAGAAATATTTTCATCAGTCATATTTTGATCAGTCCCTAACCGGCGCACAAGCTGATCAAGTAATTGGTTTATTTTTTTATTTTAGAACATTTTATCATTTAACATTTTAGAACATCAAACATCGCAAATCCTTTTTTTGACAATTTAGGAAGTCTTGAAAGAGATAATCGAATCTCGGCTTCCTCGCCTCGCAGCACATTTTGAAGAATGCGACATCGATTTGGCTACTGTAACATTAAACTGGTTTTTGGCACTTTTTTTTGATGCAGTCCCACTTCAGGTTAGGCTTTACAAAAAAATTGCCAAATTTTTTCATGGGTCAAATATTTTATTTGTTTAAATTTTAAATTTTCCACCTTTTTTGAACTTAATAGTTGTAATAACCATGCACTTCAGACTTTTTGATGTATGAGCATTGTTTTTTAGAGCAATTGCATGTTATTTATAATTGCATTCTAAGATGGATCTATCTAAAATTAAAGCTATAACTATGAAATCACTTTTAAAAATTTATCACGTAAAGGATTTTTTGTTGTCTTCTCACGAAACCAAAACATTACATTATTACCCAAACATTACCCAAAACATTATTCCTAGGATTTGGGATTTTTGCTGGGATTGGGATTTGGGCAATGAATTTATTTATGGGCTCACATCGATCTATTTTTACAATAATTAAAAATTTGTTTTGGCTCAAATTTTATCAATCATTTTCCTCAAAATTTTTCTATTTTTTCTACCATTGAATTCGTTTTCAACCATAGCCGTTCAATCAGCACTAAGTTTGCATATAATAATTAGTTTCTGGATTAAACCATAATTCTCAAAGTGTACTAAAATTTATTTGTAAAATCAAAGAACAAAACCAAAAATTTTATGCAAAATCTTAATAGATTTGCTAAAATTGGGTCAAACTAATACATGGAATGAAATTCAATTGAATTGAAAGAGATTAATTTCAAATCCATGCATTTATAATCCTTTGTTTCTGGTAATGTTAACCACAGATATTTGGTTAAATAATTTTTAAAATATTTCTTTCGGATTTCTTATAAGAAATCATTCAATTTGTGATGGTTTAATCGAGATTCTTGTACGCTTCAAATGAATCCAATCTCCTCTATCGGTATCGAACCAAACGATACCCAATTCATGATTACCATTAAAATTAACTTTCATACAATTTGAAAACCACCATCCTGTAATAAAATATTTTACAATGACAATGCCAGGTATATTAAATCGCTTTAGTTGATTTTGTTGCTTGGTCGGCAAGAATTATGATTTCGCTATATGCTAATAGTAATCCTAATACACTGATTTGTAATTTTCACCGTTTTCGTTATGCTCTAATGGAAAAGTTGTTCCTTCTATTTCTGTAATATGCAAATGAACAATTAATTATTCTTCATAAAATAACTATTATCTGTGACTCGTTTCATTATTGCAAGATTTAGTTCCATTTGAATGCGGTTGTTTCTTCTATTTCCCAAATATAGCCATCCGTTATTATATTAGTATATGTATATATATTTCATACCTAAGGATTTCACTTAAAGAATCACCTGCTGAATAATATCGAGCACAATGTTTACTACTTGTATCTTCATCTCTGTCTGGTGTGCTAAAGCTTCGGCCATTGTGAAATTCCATCGAATTGGACAAATTGCTTATTTGCTGCTTATAGCCATCAATATTTAGCCTATAAACCGATTTTATTCATGTGGAATATGCCGTTTCACAATGAATATACTGGAATCCAACTGAAAACTGAATCTAACCTCTAGAGCTACTTTGTACTAAATCATCATCGTCAGTTATCTACCTGTACTTGTCTTTCATCAATTATGGCTTTGAAAACCATACCTATAAGCATGAGATAGATTAGCCACTGAGAAATTATCGTAATAAGCCACTCTGTAGTCACCAAATAGATCCCACGCTTCGAACCGTACCATTTGAGCTGACGATTTTGTTAAGGCATGTAAATATTCATTTCCGATCCAATGATCTCCAGAAATCTAAATCGAAGAACTATTTTGATGAACGGTTTCATCAAATCCAAATTATTTCTGAATTCAGTTTTGCTGGAAAAAACCCGCCAGAAGTCCGTAAATGCACTGTGTTGCTAATTTTATTTTGCGAAATTAGCAGCATGGCGCATTTGCGCACCATTGGCTAATGACCATCATTAAATAATATATCTATCTTTTCCATATGATTTTACTGATTTCTTGCTAAAAAGTCTAGGTTATTGCTTTTATTTTTATATTTTTTTATATACTTTTATTTTTTATGTATATTTTTTAAACAATAATTAAGTAATAGTATCACATACCTTCCCAAAAAACCACCGGTATTCTTCAAAAGTACGGTTAAAAATCGCGTTACCATATGGGCGTTGTTGAATTATTGTCCATTCTTGATCACATTGGCAAAATAATGAAGGAAATACTGAAGATGGCTTAATGAGAGTCCTTTCCTCCTGGTACTTCCCAAATGATTCTGCACAATCTGCATTTTATTTTATGGTTGGTTAAAAAATAAAAGCAAAATATAGAAAATATATTCAAATTGTGCATCAAGCAAAAATTGTGCATCGCTTTTAAATTTGATATTACGAGTTTGCAAAATCTCGCTTTATCACTTCCTTCTTTGTTGAATGGCACTCTCCATTTCTGATTTGATTGTTATAGCTAAGATAAATTCTTCTCAAAAAGCCATTTAGAGATAAAGATGATAGAAGTAGTGGACATCATCATCTGGATTACGCTATTATATCATCGTACTGAGAAGTAAATATCCTGATACTGTCTTCGACAGGGTCTAAGATTATCATTAAAAATCTAGGTGGTGCTTATAACCCAGCTATACTTTCATCGATAATTGTTTTCCTAGTCTTTTTAATTGGACCAAAATTTTTAATTCTGCCAGCTGCGAGCTAAATTAGCCTGAAATCTTTGGCTCCAATCATTTACTCTCTTTACTCATTCAGTATCTTTTTATTTATGACTAAGTAAATAAATAAATAACCTTTTGGTAATTGTTTCTGAAGTCGATCTAAAGCTTCTTCGTTGATTGTAATTCGAGTAATCATGTCTTTTTGCTCATCGTCTAGGAATAATATATGCTGGTTATTCATCACAATATCACTCTGAGCAATATTCAACAATTCATTTTCAGCTTTTTGCTTAATTTCGTTCATAATTAATTCGATTTTATTGTCGTGATATTCTAAAAAAAAATTGTTTTCTGATTTAAGCGAAGGAGTTTCCATAATATTTTTAATTGAAATTTATGCAATGCTATTTTTTTTTTTTTGAGAGTCCTAACCATTACTGGTTAAACTCGCTCCACTGGCTTGTCGCATTGGACAATAAGCCAGGAAGTCTCTTGGCTATAGAAATGTAGGTGAGTCACCGGCATCACCTGGATTGTTGGACAGGTTTACTCTTCCGAGGAATCGAATCTCAGTATCGGTGCTCCGAATTTACAACAAGCCACTGAGCCATTCTATCCCCAAAATGCTATTCATTTGCTGAGGATCCTTTTCCCTTTGAATCCCTTTTGACTGTAAGTCATCTTTTAATGAGTAAAGAATGCTTAATTAAAAGCCAATAGTTAACTTTATATTATAATAGTTGATAATTCTACAATAATCATGATTTTATATGAACTCAGTGGTAGGAAATAATGAAAGATCAGTAGAAACTGAATAAATTTCAAGACCAAGAATCTTCGAACAGTTTTTGAGTTCTGATTTCATTTGCTCTGATTTTTCATTTTGTATAAGATTATAACTGAGGAACTGCTGGAATTGCATTGATATATTCAAAAGATCGATCTGAAAAATTTGATCAGTATATCTTGCCTAATGATTCTGCCAGTATAGGTACAATGACCTTTCTCCTTCTTCTTAGAGCATTTCTTGTTTAACTGCTCCGTTATTAGATCCTTTAGCTAACAAGTCACTTTGGAATAGAAATACGAATGGATCTCCATTTTATTCGAATAATGAAAGATCTTACTTGTAGATTGGATATTTTTGTATTAATTTGCTTATTTTCACTTGTCAACGAATTAAGTTTGATAAGCTGCTCAGTTAATGCGGAGAAAATTTTCGTGTGGGATCGCTTAACTGCATCAGCAACTCCTATCCACTTTGCCATAGTTTTCTCAATTTCGACAATTTGATAGTTTGTTAAACGGAATAGTTCTGTCTAAAACTGCGAAAATTAGGTTGATCTGAACATTAATAAAATTTTTGCAAAATGTAATTACTTAAAACTATTTTGCAAAACTTAAAATATTCATCAAACTGTCGTTTAATTGGCTATTCAAATATTTTGTAGTATAATGCAATTTCAGAATATCTTCCTCCATCTCACTGAAGTGGTTCATTGCAGCATCAATCGAATGCATATTTTTATTTATCATCATCGTCTGCAAAATTATCGATATTGCAAATAAATAATTTAGCTAATTTACAAATATTTCGGCTCGAAAATTTTCGAAAAAATAGATCTTAACTACATTTTACCAATCAATAAGTAATTAGACTACTAATATTCCTATTTCTTCCTCTAACACTCATCTTTGGTTTGGTTGTCTTCAATGGCTATCATATAATTACTTGTAGATAGAAATGAGCAGCAGCCAGACGTCATTAATAGATTCATTGACACGTCTCTTCAAGAGACCGAGATCAATATGATTATTATAAATCTTTAATTGTGCCAAAAGGGTACCAGTTCAGCGATGTCATTGCTCATAGCATGTATCAAGCCGGTTCGTAAACCTTCTCGCTTCAATTTTTCATTTTCATCTCCATTTGGGAAATCATCATCTTAATCAATTTTTTTTAAACCTTAATCTTGATCAATTCAAAAATTTTTCAAAATATGATATTAAATTTTTAAATTGCTCATTAATTTCCTTTTTTTCTGGTAGTTTTTGAAGAGAAATCCATTTACAAATTATACATATCGTCTTAAAACAAAAAAATTGGAAAATTTTTGTATTTTTATCTGACAACGGGAATTAATGTTTGAAGAGACGAAAAGGCCAGCTTTTTATCAGATTTTTTAGTCGGCAAAAAGATTTTTATATGGTTGGAAGTGAAAAAAATGCGTGGCGCTGGTAGTCTATGTTTACCTCTAAACTAACTTGAAGGAAAATTTTCTTGAAGGATCAGTGTAGTTGCCAATGATGAAGAAAAGATACGGATCAATGTGGGCGAATTTTAAATGAATGATCCGAATTTAAATCTTCAATCATTCAGAAAATTATGCATAATTTCATGGCCACTATCGAATTTCTGTGTTATTTTAGTTTTAATTTAACTTGACCGTATTTCAGCAATTTAATATGGCCCCTGAGAAATACCTATAATATAAATATAATCGATGTCACCACCATGACCACTTCCTTCTTGAACATTGTATAACGTGCTCTGCCTCTGATTTGCTCGTAAACGCATCAACTTCATTAACTGTTTCTGTAGGAATAAATCCTTAGTTTTTTCTGGCAAGATTTGATTCGGAATTAAAAGTGGAGCGCAAAAGCCCTTTAAATCTCCATTAGATCCATAGATCCGCAAGAAATGATGCAACGATTTATCTGTTCAAGTTTTATGAATTTTATCAATTTTGAAATTTTTTTGAAAAAATTTTTTTTACCTCAATTCGTGTGAATCGAAAATTATTCCACTGTAGCATATCACTGATTTTTTTAAATTCATATTTGATATCTGAAGGGTTTTCTTCCTCCAGTGAATCCATTCTAATTGATTTTATATCCTAAAATGGATTATTTGCAAGATTCTTAAAATCTCTTTTCACTGCTTTTACTTTATTAAATGCATTGCAAGATTTCTTCCGCTCAAAATCTTCCCTTAAATTCATTGAAGAAGATATTGATATAATAGGGGATTTTGCTTATAATTGCGGATCATGCGATTTAATGTTTTTTGGATTTTTCCAAAGGCTTAGAAACCATAAAATTAATAGTTGCAAATGTGTAATTCAAAACATAGAAGGAAAAAATCTTGTAATGCATTATAGAAAAGTAAAAAAATTCATTACACAATTTAACATATGGTGCTTTTTATGGGTGCTTTTCAGTCACATATCAGGGAGGGAATTTTTTATTTGTTACTTATTTCCTTTTTCTTCTGGCTCTATATCCTTCATATCTTTTATCACTTAACTTTTCTATCATTCTTGTAATACCCTAGATTATGGCATTTCAAAAATAATCGGGACATTGTTGTTAATGTATTGACCTAAAGGTACCTATTTTTTATCTACTTAGCAGAAAAATTTTTTAAAAGTAAATGCTTTCCTTGCTATCTTCATCTATTTTATTTTGAAGTATGAATTCTTTTGAATAATCTTCCTCTTCCTCATCAATGAACGCTCTGAAATAATTTCGTATCTTTTGTAAAAATCTTAGTTCATATATTATTTATGTAATTCATGAAATCTAAAAAATAACAAAAAAACCTGTTACTATGAATAGGATTTCCATTCAGCGTGTCACTTTTGCAATAATAATTTTGTAATTTCGCTACTTTCTGTTCTAAGATATCAATCCTTGCAAGCAAATGATTTAAAATAGACGCATTTCCTGCTTCTTCGTCATTACCTTTTCCAGGCACTGTCGCAAACAGCAAAAACAAAAGTAGCATTTAATTGTTTAAAATTTTGAATTTAATAAGAAATTCTCGAGAAAACGGTGAAAATTTCGAATAAAGTTACGATTTATATCGCGTGCAGACTGAAAAAAGTATAAATTAATAATAGTCGTATTAGAAAGATTTAGAATAAAATAATTATTAATAGATCGACCGATAGATGATCGAAGAAGATGGATTAGTGCAATCTGGATGCACCGATGCCAATAAAAACTCTTCTAGATCTTATCAAATAAATTATTCATCGATTATCTAAACTCACTGAAAAAGAAGCAATAACGAAATGAATTTTTTGAGCAACTTTATACATTTTTACACTTAGATGATTTCAACGAATTAAACTGCTCTTAAAACTCACTATGATTCTTATTTATGATGGAACTAGAGAAAAGGGAAATTAAGATGAAGAAACGATTTCACTGACCAAAAACTAAGTTTTTTTTTGCTCGAGATTTTCCATTCGGAAGCTCGAGGTATAACCAAAACTGTGTCCATCAATCAACTGAAGATAGATCAGTAATGAATTCTTTCCTTTCCTAATATTCTTCGTCTGCATTCAGATCAAAAGTCAATTAATTAGCGAAGATGTCGAATTCATGTCGAATTTTCGCTTTTCTGCCAAATTAATTCTACAGCATTACATTACATTATTAGTGTCAGTTTACCGACCACACATAAATCAGTTGAATAGTCTGAAATATATTCATAATTCACGAAATGATAATCATAGGTGCAAAAAATGCTTAGTATAAATGTAATTTCATTTGGTGATTTATATAAATGCCTCAGATTCTTTCATCATAAAGCAGTAGTATAAGAGAAAAATAAACGCTTTTACTTCCAATTAGGCTCACTTCGCTGGCTGTTAGTACGATTAGAAAATTTTATCAGGAAAACTATATTCAGTTATAAAAGTAAGGGTGCGATTCATTTCCTTGAAGCTTAAATAAAGTTTTTCTAGTTTTGCACATTTATGGCGATTATGATGGTTGGGAGGTATATTTCTTTGTATACGATTGAATGTAGGTTCGATTTCTCTTCAATGGCACGATTAAGTGAAATCATAGTGGAGTTGGGGATCCACTTATGCCTCTACTCCAGAGCTGCTCTCTGTCAAATATTTTCTTTCATTCTAATAGCCAACTCATATCGAAATCAGAAATTATGAGTAGAAATCGTTGTTAGAAGCAAAATATTCGAAACAAAATGTGCATCTTGAAACACGAGTTCTTCTGTATGCTATTGCATGTTTTCTTGCATCTCTATTATTTTATATTCATTTTCGATAGGGCGAGTATTTTCAGCTTATTTTCAGCTTTAGTTCTTGTTTTGTTTTTTAGAAGATATGCAATAACATATAAATTTACCACATTTTAAAAATTCAGAACTTTATATTTTCGAGCAAATTTTTAGATGAGATGAATTTCTTGCTTATTCCATAATCTTGTGGAATACTAATTTCATCTATATTTTAATTTATTTATATTTACAGACTATGATTCGTATTTGGGATTGTTTTTTGTTGGAAGGACCAAAAGTATTATTTCGTTTCGCTGTTGCATTACTGTCGATTCATGAAAACGAGGTTTTACAAAGGATGGATACGATATCTGTAATGAAAATTCTTAAGGCATCTGTGCGCTTAACTTATGATTATAACGGTTTATTTAAAGTAAGTAATCGTGTGATGTTGATGATTGATTGAAATCATTTGTCCTTCTACTAATCTCTGAATTTTATCAACTAAAATTTTTTATTAAAATTTTACCCTTACTTTTATTATCACAGAAATACTCCTTTTGAGGACAAAAAAAATTAAGACTTTTTTGTTTTTGGAAAAGTAATTTACTGGAAGTTATCGATGGAAAACTATCGAGGTATAGAAGCAATAATTAGCAAAATGTGTTTATTTATTCAGCTTGCATTTGACAAAACAAACCAATTCCCCTCACGGCGCCAAATTGAACAAAAGCAAAAAGGATATTTAGTGATACTTCAAGATCGATTATCTAGAAGACGTCAACTTAGGAGAATTCTAAGTTCGGTATGTTTTTTTGATGAAAAACTGTAAAAAGATATTTTTTGAGAGATCTTTTATTTTTCTAAAATCAACGAAAAAAATTCTATTTTTTCCAGAAATCATTTTTTTCAGACATCTCCTGTTAATCAAAATATTTCAACTATGGAATTAATCGCTTTTAGCGGAGAAGAAGGTCTTGGATACATTTGCTCTGGAAGCCAAACAAGAGGAATCATATCGCAGTTGAAATTAGTCCAAGGCTCATGTACTTTGGAAAAACTTGCTATTGAAGTATGCGAAGCGATAACATGAGGCTTGGTTACATTTCCAGTGGTTCCCTCATTGAGATGTTTAAATATTTAAAAAATTTTAGTTCGATTGCCGAATAATATCGATGACTTTCGCCAATGAAAATAATGCATTCATCTCTCTACTCTCCGGTTATATTGTAGCATTGCAAATCAAAGGCACAGACTGGTTGGTCATTTTTGAGTTTTTCCTTATCAAAAGATATTGAGAAAATTCCTTACGATCGTCAGTGTAAATGTAAAATAAATATCACATATCATTTAACTCGCACTCTTATATGGCCAACGAATAAATGCAATGAATACCACTTAAACTGGCAAAAAAAAACTTTGTGAGAAGGAATTTCCAGAGATATCCGAGGAGATTTTAATGAATGAAGCGAAAGCAACTGCTCCTAATATATTTTGATCATCAAAACTTGTTGATCATAAATAATATACCAGATAAATGAAACAATGGTTTCGCTTCATTCACTGATCTTATTTCAGTTCAAAATTATTCAGACAGAAGTTAATCAATTTGAAATTTGAAATTTTAGCGAAATTTTATGGGAATTAAAACTGAGCGATGTAGCACTAAAGTTGATGCATCATGATGAACGTCTTTATGCTGCTCTCGCCAATGGGACTTTAACCGTTATAGAGGTAAGTATTAACAGAATTCACAACTTAACTTCTGGCCTGGTTTCAAACAACTATTAGGACAAGACAGGCATTTTTATTGAAAGAAAGAGAGATAACAACACCACTTCAACACCACTTTTAATGATAGAGTTACACCCTCAAGAGATAGGAATCGAATATTTGTCAGTTGAACCTTAGCATTCCATTCCATTCGACCATTCTGTCTCTAAGGATTGATAGAGATCTTTATTTTTCCACCATTTTTTTATATATTCATAAAGAAATTTCCAAAATTCGAATCGTTTAAATTGAATTTAAACTTAAATTAATAAATTTCACGATAGTCCATAAATTATTTGAAAAATTAAATCAGATTTGCTCGTTTTTATTGAATTATTTTAAATTTCATAACAGCATGTTATGCGATTATTTCATTTTTTTCGACCATGAAAAAATATCGAAAAATCGTTTTTGGTTGCTAAACTCATTTATAATCGACTTTTTAAATTAAAAAGTTAGGCTGCTAATGGCCCTTAAAAAAATTTGCTTTAGCCTTTTCTTTTGGTGAACGAGCCTGAAAATTAACTGTAGGCCTATAGGCGATGCTATGAGTGGTTTATTATATTTTTATCACATTCTAAAATATAAATGTAGTTGGTCCCACTGAAATATAAGCTTGCCTTATTCATATTCGTTTCACTACTTTAGTTCGCCTTTATAGAAGGTCCACGAATTGGTGCCGGTTGAATTGGAACTTTACCATTTGCCAATCGGAGCAGCTCCAATAACACATATGGTTGTAGTTGATGGCACAATGTGGCTTGCTGTAGCTTGCAAAGTCGTTATCCTTAGCATGTCGTGAGTTCTTAAACATTTATTCATTTTATATGAATATTTTGTCGGTTCAAACAATTTCAGAACTTTAGTTTAAAAAAATCTGGGTGCAATGAATTTATGATGATTGGCAAATCTCAAATGGTAGTGGTGGCAAAGGACCACTAAATATTTAATCGATTAAAAGAAACTTTTTTTTTACAATTTTTGGTCATTGCTGACCTATCGACAAGGTAACAAATTTTAATAGGGATAGACTCACTTGTCGATAGACTTACAGATGGCATGTAAGTGGATGGAGATATGTGGACTAGGAGATTAGTGGAAAAGGGCGTTTTTTCTCGGATTTTCAGAGGTTTCATGAGTATCCGAGCATCGGCGGCTGAAATGCAATGTATAAAGAGGTCAAAGAAAAATATAGAGCTCTTTTTTGTAGAATCTCTTTGAGGAAAATAAATTTTTTTAGGACCTTAACGACTTTAAGAAGAATATATGTAGCGTCACCGGCAAGTGGTGGAGGAGTTCCTTTATTCGAAAAAATTAGATGTATGAGCTGCTCTCCGTATGGCGTATGGATTGTTACGGCACACTCAACTTTAATTCAGTTATGGAAAGATTCGGATTGCTTATTATTATTCGATATTGCTTTTGATCACTCGCATAAGTATGTTTTTTTCGAAAGTTTTCATCATGAAATCCATCGAAATTAAGGCATTATTTTCTAGGAAACCAAGTTTGTCGGACAATGGTAGCAAAAATAGTTCCACTGAAATTTCAACGATTCTATTCGTTCATAAACAAATTTGGGTCGGTACAAGTGATGGTTATTTAATTATTTATCGCATACGCGATGCGGAAACGATGCGAGAAATAACCAATGAATGCATCTTACAAAATCAAAAGTGATTTATTTTCCATTTAAACTTCTTTAGAGCTTGAAGCGTTGTAGAAGATTTGGCAGTTGTAAATAAAATAAGATGTCGCTTAAATTCTTTTTTGGTATCTTTTAAATTTTAGGTACCCCGTCGGGCGACGTCTCTCACCCAGTTATGGTGCGAGTTCCGCAACACATCAGACTCCATCTTATTATATTCCAACTGAATCGGAAATGCAACCCGATGAATCGGTTAATGAAAAATCGTTTGGATCAAACAATCGACGTGCACGAAAAATCTCTCTCTTTATGGATCAGAGCACAAAAAAATACAGCGGTATTTTTCCTTAGCTCTGTGAGACAATGAAAAGAGTTTTTTAGCTTTATTTTATGATAAACATTATAGTCTTTTTTCGTATCCCACAAAAAAATTTTTTTCACTTAAAGTGATCCGAAACTGCGAATCAAAATTGGACGATTCCGCTGAAAGCAAAAGAATACTAAAAGCATTTAGTAGTGTTGCTCCATCAGAAAGTTTTCATCAAAAGAAGTACCACATTTTGATTTTATTTTGATTTTATCTGAATAGCAGAATTTCTAAAAATATCAACAAAATAATTTTTCAATATCACCATGTTATCACTTATTGTTCACAGATCAGCCCGACGTTTCACTCTCCCTTCACAGTATTCAGATGTCGATTCAGCAGTATCGATGGTTTCAGAAGCAGCCAATGAAAACTGTATATTTCTGAGTTCGTCTACAGTTTATTTCTCAATAATATTTATGTGGCCATCCTATTTTTTAATCTACGAAATAACTTTATTTTTTTCACTTCCGACGATAAATTTTGATAAGGTAATTAAAAGAGCTTATTTCAGATCAGCAATCATCGCTATTTTGCGCAGCATTTGACGTTGAAGCGAAGGAAATGCGATTATGTGCACCTATGAAAAAGATAACTCCACCGTCAAAAAATGATTTGAGTACGTTTAATTCGACGCAGTCCTCTGTCGTTTCAATGGAATATGACGATCTCTTCGAAATGTACTCCGATGGTGAAAGTATCAATTGTCCACTGTGTTATGCATCGTCAAAAAAATTTTGTAAGATCTAGGAAAAGAATAGATATTAGTATAATCAATGTGAAATTAAGAAATAATTGAGATCGCTCCACATTATTGATGTGGTAAACAATTGCAAAGAATTGTTCCGCACCTCGATCCGGAAAAATCGCTCATTACCATATAAAAATAAAAAGCACATTTTAAGACTCAATTTTTATTTGTTTTCGTATAATTTTTAGGCGTGTTGCCATCGACATCTGGAATTCAACATAATGGTACTCAAGGCTTACAATTTTCATCAAGTAAGAGAACACTTAATAATATGAGGTATAGTATGTATATAGTAATATGAGGTACTAAAAAGTTTAGAATACATTCAATTTTATAAGGAAGTAGAACGTTTCTATAGGGTCGGATGCCGACACTGTGTAGCACGCCTTCTTGCTCTATTAGGAACAACTCAATATTAGTGAAAAGTCCTATACCAATGTTCATCTCTGGTGATCTGTGGTCCGTGTTCTTTAATATCTCCTATAATTTCGGGCTGTTATATTATTATTGTATAATCGTAGTATTTTGTTACCTGTCGTTCGTTACGTCTAAAGCCTTATGTTCGTCCTCGATATAGCAGTTTCTTTCGGGTGATGTTGAAATAGACCTGCACCTCTACTCCATTAAGAGGCAAGGATGATCCAAGTGAAAGAGTTACCAGCTTGACAATTGATAACAAGTAGAACATCGGAATTTGTGAGGAATTTTGCTGTGTAGCATTGTTCAGTAATTTAGATGGATGCAACAAACGATCTTTATCAGAAAGAAATATTAATGGAATATCGTCAAGTGGCTCAAATTGCTCAAAACAAGCCGCAGAATCTTGGCAGTCATTTCCTGAAACAAAAGTAAAGCTGCGACGGAAAGACTTAGATTTTGATGAAATAATAACTCAGAGGGAAATGTCCTTTCAAGGTGAATATTTCACTTTAAAAATTTGATGAAATGGAAATAAAAGGCAAATTCGTTTTTTTCAATTTATTGAATATCAAGTTTCAGATGTAAAAGTTCAATGTTCAGGTGATTTCAATTCAGATGGTTCGAACGTTGACGGACTTAATAGCCTTCGGTTAACTTATTTTTTTACGCCAATTTAGAGATTCGAAATTGCAGCACTGGATCTAAGCTGCGATTTTAACATTTATCAGCAAAATTATCATATTAGATAAGTTTAATAAGAATTGAAAAGGGAAATAAAGTCTGTGGCAGGAAATATCAAATTCAAAATCGATCGTTGAGAAGTATGATGAAAGTTAATATAACGGGGCATTAAGCAAAGCAGATATAAGCATAGTGGGATTTGTTATATTTGTTATAAGATATGGTTGATGTTACGAAGAGTGGGATGTGGCGGCGTTATAGATGGGAAATTCTAGAGAACTAAAAAGGAGTTTTCAATTCTTATTAAACACAACAGAGTTAGACTATATAACGAGTAGAAAATCGTATTACAATCCGCAGTTTTTTGTGCAGTAGCTTCGGCTTACTTACTAATAGCAACAGATTATTATAGCTTTAACGGATTGTTATTTAAATAAATTAAGCCAACTGTTAAAATCATTCCTTTTTTATTTCAGCATGCGAATGACACTAATATTGGATATGAAGATGAAAATTTCCGATAAGCCAGTTAAATGTGCTCAGCCAACCAAGTAAAGTTTTCATATTATAAACGAATAAATACTAAAAAATTTGCAACGAGTAAGTCTGGTAGGTTAAAAAAAAGATTATTTTGAACAGCCTTGGATGAACTTTGCGTTGAACTTTCCCTAATTTCATTTATTAAATCCATGCAAAGATATGCAATAATTTTTTTATAATTTCTATGCCGAAATATTATATCTCGTTGATTTAATTTCGTATACATAAATATTTGAGGGAAAAATTGTTCTTTTTCTTCAAACGGCTCTCACCATTGCTGGTTAGGCCGCTTCCGCTGGCTTTAAAGGTTTAAAGATAGGACGTCTCCAGAATGCCTGCTCCGACGCCATTGCCAGTACTAATAGAAACTATTTCTTTTTCCATCGTTCATAGATACACAAAAAATCGCTAATTTCCGTTCTACAGTTACTATGTTTTTAATTTATGAAGTGTCGTTTGACAAAAAAGATTTGGGAAACTGTCTGTCAGTTCAGGCGTCATAGTCCGACTTTTATCCTTTAACTGTAGTAAACATAGTGGTCATCAAAATCACGCACGGGTGATACTGAAGATTCTTCTTTAAATCTATCCAAAACTGATAGTGGTTTAGTAGTGAACAATTGAATCAGCTGAAAAGCAACATAATTGATTTATATCATTTTACTTATCATGAGACTAATATTTTAAAGAATTATTTAAAAGCAATATTAAGCCGGATAAAACCATTTAAAGGAAGTGAACTTCTTGAATGCAGGTTTCACTCGCTAATTATATGGCGTGATTACTTGTTTCTTCCAAAAATTGATTTACATCATTTTTTATTATTTTATTATTTTTATTATTTTTCATGAGATTATTTTATTTTTCGATCACATCAATTATCAATAATATTATCAATAATTTTGTTATAAAAATCAACTTGAGAAGGCTTACATACATACATACATTGTTTCATAGATTCGTGTCGCGCATTAACTGTACGGTTAGAAAACAGTAACCTTCTCTCGTAAGAGTTTTGAAAAAACTATTATTTACTGAAAAGATTTAGAATCGCGAATGAAACAATTGTTATAACATGTGCTGGTGACTATGGTGACACAGAATCAGTACTTAAGTGGAGGATTGACGAAAAAGTAACTTCTTTTTTTCGTAATTCTCATAATAGTTTGAATTAATCAATTCTTCTTTGATTTAAAATTTGATTCAGAATAAGATTTGTTTCAGAATTCGACAGGTGATGTGTTGTGGATTAATGACCCGGTGGTTGATTTAAATCAGTGCCGTAAACTTACTCGATATCACGCTTTACGAAACAGTCAGTCCGTATAAGAAGAATTAATCAGTTGTTCGAGTCTTGTTTCATTCATTAAATCTGAACATTCATTTCTATTCACTTGACACTGTGATAAATAGCTAGTTGTTTAATAATTATTTATTTATTTTATGTAAATTATAATTCAATTATTGTTTTGGGTTGATTTTTCATTAATTTCCTTTTTCTTTTGCTAGCACCATCTCTGCTTTGGATGGCTCCAATCTATAGTGCGGTAAAACGCTTTAGCCAAACGCCAAACGAAGTCTTATCTTAAGGATATAGGAGATGGAATACTTTTGCTCTTTGATTTATTTTTATCATATCAAAAAAGATAAAAACAATATCTGAAAGGGAAAAAAACTTTTATAGCTTATTTTCTCAATTGTTATGAAGATGAAAGTTTATAATTTTAGCTCGAATTTTGCAGTCTACTCGTACTTGTTCAAGAAATTAAGCGCAAAGGAAAAATTATTCATTCATTCTATGGATGGGAAAAGATGCTCTTTAAACGAGTGCTCGATTCCCTAAAAAATATTTTTTTGATTCCAAAAAATTTTTGATTCTAAAAATAAATATTTGCAAGTGACAATGACATTTTTTCGTCAATTTTTGTACAAAATAGCACTTTGTACATTTATATTCTTCTATTTGATCTCTGATAAAACAACGACGTTAGATTATACAAAAAAATTTTTGTAGATCGAATTCTTTTTTTTCCTTTGTATTTGTTTATTTGTTTATTTCTACGCTTTTTATAAAATGAAATTTTACATTTAATAAAATTTAAAGCTTTTTATTTTCACATTCTTCTGGTATCTCACCAGTACATAAAATTGCTGCATTGTCGTTACACTCTGCTAAACATTCTTGGTAGTATTAATTTTTATTCTCAAATCGAATCACTTTTAATTCATATATAAGAAAATAAATGCTTGAAATGCTCGTTTTTTCCATTGCATATGTTCAGTGGAAAATAAATGGATAAAGCGCTTTGTCCAGAGGTGAAACAAAAAAAAGTGCTAACGATAACCGACCGATAATATTGAACAAATGAGAATAACAACGATTTTTCAACGAATTATTTTTTATACTATGATTTTCCAAACATCCATTCAAAGTACTTTTAGAAGAATAAATCAAAAGGTTCCGAAGAAATCCATGCGGTTCCTTAGGATTAAAAGAGAGTCCAAGAGGTTATCCTTTACCCTTTCATTTTTGAGATTTAGATTGGTTGGCCCCAACTTCCACAAAAAAATTCAACCCAATCACTCTAAGAAAAATAAAATATTGAGCTGCAAAATTTTAAAATTAATCTTATACAGTTTTTATATAAACGATATATTATTCAAATGTTATTTTGATGTTTGGTGTTGTTTTTCCTCCTTAAAGTGGGAATATTTTAGCTGTGGCGACATTTTTTGCCGACACTATTGGTAATGTCGAGCAATTGTGCAAATCAAAAGTCCCTTCGTCAGCTCTTTTCCGAATTGTTTTATTAATTTTAATTTATAAAATATTTTTAATTTTGACCGGAATTGTCCATTGCTCGAGTGGTTTCATCAGACCGCTTGTGCACTTGTCATGCGAAGGTAATTCTGTGACGGAAGGGCCGTCACTTCGGCCGCCAAAGAAGCCGTTCAAGTTAGAAATGGTACTCACTATTAGTTAGAGAAAGAGAGGGCGTCAAGGTGTGAAGGCGGGCTAAATGGCAAAAAACTGGCAGCAGCTAAGGTGCACTTCTTTTGGGGATCGCTCATCGCTTCTGGTTAGGCACGCTCTGCTGGCTTATTTTAGCAACTTTTGCCAACTATGAGGAGTAAAAGTGTAGTGTAGATGTGTCAGCAGAATCACTCGGATTTTTGAAAGATAGGTTCATTTTTGCCGGAATAGAACCCTCAACGTGGCTCTCCCCAAAAAAGAGCAATAATCCATTGAGTCATTCCACCTCTTAAGCCGTATTTTAGTCTCAAAAAATAAAAATTTTAAAAATCTTAGAATTTTTTAAAATTTTTTTCTTTTAATATAATATTCTTTTAATGTTTAGTATCATTAAAATATGGTTGAAACTTAGAATTGCTTTAATTTTACGGCGTTTTTCTTTTATGGTCCGGTTTGAGCTGATTTAATGAGGAGAAAATTCCATATCCACATGAGATGATAGTGAGATGAAAGGTAGACCAGGGAAAGATGTGAACTAAGGTGATGACTACGTGAGAAAGGAAGATTAGGTTAAGAAATATTTTGACATTTGCAAAGGCGATGCGAGGTAGGTGAAGTAAATATGAAATTAACATAGCAGTGGAGATAAAAGAGAATGAGAAGGGAATGAAAAATGGGCCGCACGTTTATTGTTTCAAGAAAAATGGTTATCCCAGCAGCACTCATATTTTCTGGTTTATTCAGCTACAGGCATTACACGGGTTAAATCCTTTTACTGGAAATTCAGTAAAAAAATCAATTTTTGCTTTTATTGGTTTTTAAAAATTTTCTTTTTTTTCAGATATTCTTTGTTTCTCTTATTCAATGTATTCAATTATTCATGAGACTGATGATTCGACAACAGTAAATTTTAGTGAAGCTGGAAAATTTTTTCCAGAAAACGGTCCCCAGTTGCTTACAATTGGTGGCAAATATTTACGTATTCATCGAATTAATCCGTATGGTTTAATACCAGAAAATGATCAACAGTGGAAGCAAACTGCACGATTAGAATGTTTGTTATTTGTTCGACTGTTGGCACCAGTTCGATCACTTGCAATTGCTAGAATTCCACGTTTGTTTTTTTTTAGCTAAATTAATATTCAATTGAATGTAGAGATAAATATGTAAAAAAGGCAATGGTTTAAATACTCATTCTCGTAAACTTGTTCTTGGTTTTGCTTGATTTTTATTGTTTGTTGGTATATTTTTATTGTTCGTTTGTTTATTATTTAAATTGCTAGTCTTTAAAAATTTATCATTCTTGCAGATATGTGCTTTTTATAAAATATCGAGCATACCAGTTTACCAAAATTATAATAATTTTCACAGTACCATTTTTGATCATTTTTCGAATTCCATAGTAAACTTTTGGAAAATTTGCACTTAGTTCCATCACTGAAGATTCCTAAAGTTTAAAGTGAAATAAGAAATGAAATTGGGATAATGTTCGTGAAAAACGAAATCAAAAATCAAAAAAAAATTTCATTTTGGCTTAGTATTTTGTATATGTTATATATTCTATATTGCCTACTTATTTCATTATCGAAATTGTCCTAGAATTTTTATCATTTAATTTTATTATGAATTTTTTGTCGATTAATTTTTTCTTAAGTAATTATTTTTGCTTAAGTTCCATTGCTCTTTTAGTACGCAAATCTATATGACAATGATTCTTTTTTTTTCAGTAATTTTTAGTGATTTCATTTTATTCAAATATTTCATTTATTATTACTATAATGGAACAAAATAGTTTTTTGGCCAAAGAATAACTAACTTACTGTTCTAGAATAACTATTTTTTTTAGAAAACCCTGATTTTGATAGCTTATTGCTTGCTTTTGATGATGCGAAATTGTCAATCGTTTGTATTAACGCAGCTGAAAGAACTTTACGAACAGTTTCTTTGCATTCTTTCGAGGATGAACTTTTACGGGATGGTTACGTTACAGATTTGCCAAGTCCAGTAATTCGTGTTGATCCTAGTCAACGTTGTTGTGCAATGCTTGTATTTGGAAGGTTTGTGGTTTGGAAGGTTTTTTTCATGGTTATAAATTTTTGTTTTTTTATTGTTTGAATGAAATGATCATTTCAGTTGTCCACATTTTCTTAATTTTAATTTTTTTTATTCGATTATCCATGGATTTTATTTTAATAATATTTAGACATATTGCAATTGTGCCGTTTGATGATTCTTCATCTCATCTACATAGTTACACTATTCCATTGTCATCAGTAGATTCTCGATTGGTAAATATTATTGATATGGTGTTTCTGGATGGGTATTATGAACCGACTCTATTATTTCTTTATGAACCAGCGCAAACAACTGCTGGACGGCAAGGATTCGATTTTTTTAATTTTAAAATGGATTATATAAAAAATGAGAATTTTTATAAGTATAAAAGAAATTTTAAAGGAATTATCTTAAAGTTTTTATAAATATCGGTTTTAGAGCCTGTTTACGTTATGATACTATGTGTATTATTGGTGTTTCTTTGAACGTTAATGAACAAGTGCAGGCAGCTGTTTGGCAACTCACTAGTATGCCAATGGACTGCAGTTGGGTAACCTTTTGTTGTTTTATTCTCTTTAGCTTTTCTCATTTTTGAATTTTTAACCAAATTGTTTCATGTAATTATGTAATTAAATTTGAATTTAATTGAAATATTGAAAATCGTTTTAAAAATATTTATCGATTTATAGATGCTACCCGTGCCCAGGCCTATAGGAGGAATAATGGTGTTTGCCACTAATTCATTAATTTATCTGAATCAGTCTGTTCCTCCTTGTGGTAATTTCGCTTTCATTTCTTTTAAAATTTGTCTTTTATTCAAGAAATTCTTAAATTTCAATTTGATTTTTTATTCTAGTATCATTTTTCATTTTTTTTATTTATTAATTTATAATTTCATATATAATTCATGGTATGTGGTTTTTCGTCGAAAGCCGAAAATATTTAATAGTTATTTACGAAGAAAATAAATAGTTAATTTATAAAATTGCTTGGCGTGCTTTTAATTAAAGTTTCGAGAATTTTGCAGAATTTCTAATTCAGTTAGTGTTTAAGGAATCGTGGTGAATAGTTGTACGGATGGTTTTACAAAATTTCCGTTAAGAGATATGAAAAGCATGGCAGTATCTCTTGAAGGCTCTGTTGCATGTTGTATTGATGTAAACAAGGTTAGTTTTTATCGTTTTGTTGCTTGGACTAAGATTTTTTTTTTTAAATGATTTTCTTGGTGCAGTTTTAGATTATATTATCTATACGAGATGGTAAAATGTTCTTACTGACGTTGAATATCGATGAAACGAATTCTGTGAAATCACTTGATTTACAGGAACAATTTGGTTATTCTTCATAAATAAATTGGATTCGTTCTATTAATTTCTATATTTAAATGGCCATTCATTATTTTGGCCATTTACTAATTAAAATATACTGGAATTCGATTTCTTTTTAAGTTAAGATTATCTGGAAACAGTTGGTAAGAATTTGCGATAAAGACAATATTAACATAGTCTCTTGTCTTGTCATCATTTCAGAAACGTCTATTCCATATACAATATCCTTTCTTGCTCCTGGATATTTGTTTGTTGGATCAAGACTTGGTGATTCTATGCTCATACAATATACATATAAAAAAGCTACTGGCCTTGACGAATCTCTTTATAAGAAAAGCAAAGTTGAAACCTTATCAGAGAAAGTCGAAGAAGATGAAGATATCGAACTTTATGGAAAAGCCCTACTTCCCGTAAGATTATTTTTCTGTCATGATTGTGAGCATATTATCGAAGTCGATTTTTGAATTTTTCACTCTAAATAATTTAAATACCATAAATTATTGTTAAAAGCGAAAATGAATCTATTTTTAAAAAATTTTGTTCAGATTTTTTTTCACCAATGATTTTCATGAAAAATTTTTAAAGTTTTCGAAATTGGAAGAGCAAGGTACAGAAAAATTAGAATTTCGCGTTATCGATCGTCTTCCTAATGTAGGCCCTTGTAAAAAAATGACAGCAGGTTGTCCTCATGGAATAAATTCATATTTTCAACAGATTTCACGTCGTGATCCTCTGTTTGATCTGGTAATAATTTTTAATGCTTGATTATTATTGTATTTATAATATTATTACTTATAATATTTAGAGCAAAAGCAAAACTGCCTTCGAACCGGGATATATCTTCTTATACTAGCTTAGAGTCTGTAATGTTCCTTTAAAATTTGTTTAAAGCTCTATTGCACTTCTCTAATTATGCTTCAGAAAATAAAAAATATCAGACGAAAATTCTTAAAATATTGTAATGGAATAAAACTTTAATTCATAACCAAATATAACTGAACCAAGATTTGCAATTGTAATTCGCGACCTCTTGTTTTTTTTCCCAGAATGACATGCTTTAATTAACACATCAAGTTATATATTTATTGTTCGAATGGCTGTTATCGAACTCAAGGGAAAAGTTGAAAGTCTTATTACATGGCACAAAATTTCGCTGTTTGGTTTCGCTAACTGAGAATCAACGTAGTCAAAAAGCGGGAGGTCAAGATTGTTTTTGTTTTGTTGAAGTCCTCAAATTTATTTATTTTTTCTTTTATTCGGCAATTTATTTTTGTTTTTTTTTAGATATGTGCTTGTGGACATAGTAAAGATGCGAGCATTTGCATATTTCAGCGAAGTATAAGGCCTGATATCATTACTAGTAGCGGGTATCATTAAAATATGTGATGATTTTCAATTAAATCTTTTTGAAAATTTTTATCAGTTGAGAAACGAAATGAAAAAAAAAACATTTTCAGCATTGAAGGCGTTTTTAAATATTGGGCGGTCGGTCGAAGGGAAGATGATACTCACAAATATATCATTGCTTCGAAAGAAGTTTTTTTATTTCTTGGATAAATTTTAAGCGAAATTTTTCATTTAATTGAAAAATTTAGTTTAAAAAATTAATTTAAAAAAAATTTGGAAATTAAATTTTATACACTCAAATTTTATTTCTTCAAAAGAGTTGTTCGACTAATATTATGGTCTTAAAAGTGCTTAAAACTAAGTGCATATTTAATTTAATATTATTATTTATATTATTTAATTCAAAATACATAAATTCATTTGATCCATTTGAGATATGTTATTTTTTTGCTTATATATTTAACTTTCAGTATGGCTCGTTAATATTGGAAACAGATAACGATTTAGTGGAATTGGAAACACCAATCTTCATAACTTCTGAATCTACAGTAGCTGCTGGTGAACTTGCAGATGGTGGTATAAGTGTACAGGTATAAGAAAAATCTATAATTTTTTATTTAATTCGTTTAAGGAAATTTTCTTTGAAGAAAATTAGAATTAAAATTAGAACCATTTTGGACAACATTTGCAGGTCACAACTTCGAGTGTTGTTATAGTTGCTGATGATCAGCAGTTACAGTTCATACCGTTGCAGCTTACTTTTCCTGCTATAAGTGCATCAATAGTAGATCCATTTATTGCAATTTGTACGCAAAATGGAAAGTTATTGCTTTATGAACTTGTCAACCATCCTCATATTCATCTAAAGGTTTATCTAAGATCATACGTTGTTCATCGTTTTCTTTTTACATTTATTATAATTAAAGAACTTTTGCGTATTATAACCATTGCAATATTTTTTATTATCTACTTCTTTACTTCCTAAAGCAGTTTTTTTTGCAGTTTTGCAGTTTTTGCAGTCTGCTGAGAAAAGCCTTTGCTAAACTTTTCGTTCTTTTATATATTGTTTATATTTTTCAGGAAGTTGAAGTACCAAATACTTTAAGGCATAGCCATTCGCCCATTACTGCTCTTTCACTTTATCGTGATATGAGTGGCATTATTCGGTTTTGTTCCGTCACAAAATCTTCTCAACCGTCTATGGGTGTAAGCAGTCTGTCAAATGAAGATTTTGACGACATGGATGATTTTTTGTTATATGGCGATTCCATCAGAAAACGTAAATATAACTGATTTTTTATTAAAGGCTGATAATAAGAGATAGTTGTTTTAGCAAATTATAGTTTCCCTATGTTAACACTGAGTCTGATAAAAAAATTGCAGAGTGATATCCTAACGTATTTCTCATAACTTATATCCAATATAATGAAAATATGTTCAATTCTTTTATTTTTTTAGCAGAATTTTATTTTTTTTTTGCAAGTTATCGTTAATTGCAGAAAAGGAAACGAAAGTGAAACGACGTATTGTCGGTTTACGGCAAGAAGCGCCAGCTTTAGAAACTGACATAATCGATCCAAATACCATAGTGCCTTCACACTGGATCGTGGTATAATTTTTTCCCCATCTTTTTTTTTCTGGCGAAAAATCAGATACTTCTCATGATATAAGTAAGCAGATCCATGCGAACATATATTGAAAATAACTTGTATAGCAAATCTGCAAAAGTACAATTATTTTAAAATGAGAAAGTAAATTTTTTTGTTGGATTTGCTTGTATTTAAAAATAGAACAGATTTTTAAATTAGGTATCTGAAAAAATAGCGTGCATAATTGGAAAATAAATAACATTGGGCTAGAATTTTTTAGTAATAGACAGAAAAAACCTTTAAAAAATTTTTATTTTTTCAGAATTAGGGAAAAGTTTTGCTTTTGCTTGTTTTATGCTCATTTTATTATTTATATTTGTATTTCCATATTTAATTTCTATTTCTTCTACATTTAATTTTTACGCTCCAGCTTGCTAGAGAAAACGGTAATCTATATATATATTCTATTCCTGAGTTGCAACTAGTATATATGGTCAGAAAAATGTGCAATTTGCAAGATGTCGTTAGTGATGAATTATCGACTGGTGACGATAATCTGGATAATTCAGAACTTAATCTAAATGCAATTGGTGATTCTTTTGCTCCAAAATCGGAAGAGATCATTATGGAAGTGGTAGGTTTTGTTTTGTAGATCCATAGATTGTTGGAGTTCTATTAGGTCTTTTTCATTTTTCATAATCTCAATTATTTAATTTTAGATTCAGCATTCATCTTCTTTGATTTATTATCATTTATTATTATTCATTTATTATTTGTTACTTTTTAAATCATTTTCAGTTATTATTTGGAATGGGAATGAATCAGGCTCGTCCAATGTTATTACTGCTTGTTGATGATGTTGTTTCAGTTTATGAAATGTTTATACATGATAATGGTATTCAGGGTCATTTGGCCTTACGGTAACAATTTTTTTGGTTTATAAGTCGTGGTCATTACCGCGATATTTGATCGGCTGCATATCTTTTAATTTCAGCATATTCGGCATTTTTCTTATCGAATTGTATCGAATTGAATTGAGTTTTTAAAGTATTTTATTTTGCTAAAATTTTATCTTCTATTTGCAGTTTTATAATTTTAGAATGAATTCTAACTTTATTTTTTTAGATTTAAGCGATTAAGATTATCGTCGGTCATTCGCTCGAATCGTTTTCAAAGCGCTGAAGGTCGGACAAATCTAGAAGTCGGTAGGGACGCAGTTAGGCACAGAACGATTCTGCATCCTTTTGAACGAATTGGCAACATTGTTAGAAAATCCCAATGAAATTACAAAAATAAATTAATCTAATATTTAATATCTGAGCAGCAAATTTATAAGTGTCACTTTTTAGTTTTGTCTTTCCCTTTATTATATATTTACCAAATTGTTAAATTTTATTTTAGCTTAATGGTATTTTCATTTGCTCATCATATCCAGTTTTCTTTTTCGTCGATTCCGGAGTACCTCGTTTGCATCCGCTTAATCTAGATGGTGCTCTTTTATCATTCACTACCTTCAACAATATCGTTTGTCCCAATGGTTTCATATATTTGACCGAGAAAAGTCGAAAAATGCGCATTGCTAGATTGCCGGTATTGTTAAATGTTTTGTATTTTTTCAGCATCACTCAATTATTTTCTCATTATTTATATTTTGTAGAATGAACTGGAACTGGATGCCTCATATCCATTCCGAAGAATTCATGTCGGAAAAACTATTCATCAAATACTTTATTTAATGCTGCCAAACGTTTTTGTGTTATCAACTAGTGGACCGAAAATTGTAAAAAAATTGTGTTTATCTGTTAATGAAGAAAAGTCATTTGAAGAGTTTGAGCGATCAGATACCTTTATTTATCCAGTTGCTGATCAATATATGTTGCAGGTTTCTTTCAGTCCTTTTATTTTTCTCGCTGTTTCTTATGGATAATTATGCTTTTTTTTAAAGATGAAGCAGTTTAATTCAAATTATTTAATATAATAAGTGAAAATTTCAGTTATATTCACCAGAGGATTGGAAACCCATACCAAATGCTGAAATCAGATTAGATGAATTCGAAGTGGTAGCCGCATGCGAAGAAGTATTGCTGAAATCTGAAAGTACAGTTTCGGGTGTTCAGAATTATCTCGCTGTTGGAACATCATATAATTACGGTGAAGAAGTATTGGTTCGTGGGCGAATCATATTATCTGAAATAATCGAGGTATTTTAAATTCTTTTTTTCAAAAATTCAATAAAAATTTCTGGTAGATAAGTGTAAAATTTCCTCTTTAGGTAATGTTTGCTTTAGGTGGTTCCGGAACCAGGTCAGCCTACAACGAGGCATCGTATAAAGACGTTATATGATAAGGAGCAAAAAGGTCCAGTAACAAGTTTATGTTCTTGTAATGGATTTCTTCTCACAGGAATGGGTCAAAAAGTAATTTTCTTCGTTAACTTAATACAATAATGTCTTTATTTTCTTCACGTCGAATAAAATTATTTCATCTATCGTTTCAATTTTAAATGGTTTAGATTTTCATCTGGGCATTTCGTGATAATAATTTGCAAGGTATATCATTTTTGGATATGCATTTTTATGTTCATCATCTCGTAGGCATACGAAATCTGGCCCTAGCTTGTGATATTTATCAATCTTTAGCGTTAATACGTTATCAGGTATTTTTATAGAATATCTATATTTTATATTTTAGAGATATTTTATATTTTTATATTTTATAGAATATCTTTCTTATTTTTTGTAAGCGTTTATTTTCATTATTTTAGGAGGAATTCAAGGCATTATCCTTGGCTAGTCGTGATATGCGTAATGAAATTAAATTTCCAATGGTGTCACAGTTTCTCATCGATAACAAACAAATGGGTTTTGTTATGTCTGATGAATTTAGTAATATAACTGTATTTAATTATTTACCTGAAACACTTGAATCTTGTGGTGGGGAAAAACTCATTGTTAGAGCTGAAATAAATATCGGTACCAATGTGAACACAATGATCCGCGTTAAAGGTATTTCATTTATTAGTATATCTGGTGATTCCTCAGAGCCAGAATTTTTTGAAATTTTTTTGCAGCTTTATAACTTTTGCGCTCTAAGTCTGTGCTTTTATTTTTTCTATTTTCATTTTGAAAATATTTTACTTTATTTTTTTCAAGATCAGTAGTTTCAGGCCACGTATCAAGTGGCTTTATTGAAAGTGAACAATTTTCTCTTGAACGTCAAAGTATAATTTTTGCATCATTGGATGGAAGTTTTGGGTTTATTCGGCCATTAACTGAAAAAGTTATTTTTTTATCTCAGTATTTTCATATTGTACAAGGTACTGTTGGTTTCAAAAATTTCAAGCTTTTAAAATTTTTTATTAAATTTTAGGTATTTCGTCGCTTACATATGCTTCAGCAATTAATCTGCTCTACAGTAATACAAGCAGCCGGCTTGAATGCTAGAGGTTCTCGAGCCGCGCGCCCATTAAGGCCAAGTCATTATCTGGTTTGTTTTTAAATTGCATAGTTGTATTGTTATATTGTTTTTTTTTTAATTTTAATATCAATTTTTTATAATTTTTTATAATTTTAATATCAATTTTAATGATTTCTATTTTTTATCATATCTCATAATTCTTGCAATCACTTCAAACAAGGCATCAGTTTTTTTTTGTAAAATCTGTAATTTTTCTATGATAAGATATAATAATTTTCATAATAAGATATAATAATATAATAATAAGATATAATAATAGATCTGTTCTGCAATCTGTGAAAGCATTAATGATTATACATATATTTGAATTTTTTAAATTATATGTCTATGAAGGCAGGCAAATATTTATATTTGCAATCTAGAACTCTTTAGAAGTGGGAAAGAGTAGTAATAAATTCATCAATTAATTAACTATAAAGAATGTGATTTTTTCAGAACACTCGTAACATAGTGGATGGTGATGTTGTTATGCAATATATGCATCTTTCATTAACGGAGAAGAACGATCTAGCGAGAAAATTGGGAACAAGCCGTTATCATATAATGGATGATCTCACTGAAATTTATCGTGTAACTACTCATTACTGATACCTTCCTCATTAAGATTCAAATTCATTTGATTCCTAAATGCTTAATGCCCTTTTTCTTTCGAACGAATGAAGAGGTAATCCTTATTGCCTTTGTTCATTTATTAATGGAGAAATTATGCATTTGATTTTTTTTCAGTAGATTTTGTTGATTTCTTTAAAATGTTTTAAAGCATTGGCTGCATTCCATTTTTGCACAATTAGAATTTATAAATTGGAAATTATGGAGAAGTAAGATGGAACAGATAAGCGATTGCTTTTTATGTAAATATGTCTGACAAGTCGGTAGCAATAAATGAATCATACTCCTTGGTTTTTCAAATTTAAAATTTGTTAAAAATTTATTGAAAAAATAAAGCTGGTTTTGTTGCAATTTTATAGATTTTCATAGACTCGAAGGGAATCTATGAAAATTTGTTTCCTTTTCATCATTTTATTTCTTTCTTTCGTTAAAAATTATTAACGCTACCTTCATTATTTTCTTCCTAGGTTTTATTATTTTTCGATAGTTTGCAAGTTAGAAGGAATGGCCTCGTCCAAAAAGTCCACTTGTCGAACTATTAAAATGTAAAAAAAGTAGTCGAATCTAGATTTTCGTTCAAAAACATATTAAATATTATTTTTATTATATTATAATATAATATTCTTATTAAATATTATATTAAATATTACATCTTGATTTCCTACCGTCTACCTTTCACCATTTTTGGTTTGGATGCTTTGCTTACTGCTAATGAGGCTTTTCCATCAGTTAACAGTGATAGCGTAGCGTTAATAATATTTAATGAGTCACATGAGTGTGGATAGAAATATGGTCAGTCTTTTAACACCAGCAGGATTTCGGTTCTAATAAGTTCTAAGTTCATATCAACATAATCGAGCCTATGTATGGCCTCGGTGGAGTTAATATTGCTACTTTCATTATTGTCGATCGCACCCTATGTCGCTGAAAGATTGGATAAACTCAAAGGACATACGTAGTCTACTGAAAAATAGTGAATAAGTTATTTGTTGTCATTAATATTTTTATGGTAGTAAAAATATGATGATAAAAGCAGTTAACATTTATATTTCCACTAAATCTTTTTAGAATGGATTATAGATTTTATACGAATAGCCTGGTGAATGCAGTTTGTACCAATTTATCATATTTATTATCTATGTACCTATTGCATATATTTTCATGTTTTATTTCAGTGTGAGTTTTTTGATTTTTTTATTTTCTATCAAATATTTTAATCTTATAAGACGATTTTTACATTTTTTTTCAAGAGTTACTGTTACTGTTACAACCATTACTGGTTAAACTCGCTCTAATGGCTTGTCGCATTGGGCGATATACCAGGGAGTCCTTTGGCGATAGAAATACAGGTAATTGCCAGTATCACCCGGATTTTTGTACAGGTTTACTCCTGCAGGGAATCGAACCTCAGCATCGGCGCTCCCAATTGAGCAACAACCCACTGAGCCAATCTATACCTCTTTTTTATTTGGTATCAAATATTTCAATCATTCAATCTTATACGGCAATTTTTACATTAATTTTGTTTTATTTTAAATTTTTGCTGCAGTTCATTTTCACTACAAATCATTTTATTTTTTTCAATTTCAATTTTCTTAAAAAATTTCCCATTCCATTACTTTACAAATTTAAGGTTTTTTTGCGAGATTTCTCACTCGTTTCGCTTTTGAATTTGATTTTTCAAATAAAGATTGAATAAAAATAAAGATTGCTTTAATTTATGCAAAGTTCGGTGAAATTCGGTGATTTGTCGTCAAAATGCATTAAATTAAGAATTCTTTAAAGATTCCACATTTTCATAAAGCAAGACACTTCGAAACTACTTAAAAAAGTGTCACAAATGGAGATTTTTATTATAAATAAAATTTTATTTAAGCTGCGAAACTGTGAAAGTACGGCGTTGATTTTAGAATTTAAAGATTAGAATTTAAAGATTCGAAGATTAGAATAATATTGCGAATTAAAATAATAAATGAAAGATGAATAATGGTGACGATATTGTGGTGAAAAGGAAAACACATAAAATATTTTAAAGGACGTCGTTGGGTCAAATACGACGATATTTGTGGCATTTGCATTTTTTTGATAATTTGAAATAATTTTATGCCAAACAATTTTTTCGGCCACGGAAATAATTTTTAAGGACATTCATTGTCCTTCATTTTAGCTGAATTATTTAATTTACGATTTATCTACTATTTCGGCTTTGCATTCCAATGAGAACCAAAGAATTGAATATCATTCCGATATTTTTGATTTATATCATTATGTTTACGCCAATGCGGGGAGTGATGTATTTCCTTGAGTTAGTTTAAATATCACTGGCTTCGGCTCGCTTGGCCTAATAAAAACTGCCAGTGAAGTCTGAGTGGTTCGACTGGCTGACTTCCCGGCAAAGGCTTCCTAGTTCAGTGAGCAATAGAGCCAGCCAAACTAGAAATGATGAATGCTTTCGGGAAATTGAAGACATTCTGATCGTTGAAATTTTGTACTAAAGTTGGTTCAGTTATCGGCTTAAATTTTTTATCATTTTTTAAAAATTTCAAAATTTAGTTACAATTTTACTTACTTACATCCTTTGCTGAAATTAAAGTGGGATTATTTATGCGGAAATTTTCAGTTGAAATAGCCTTTACGACTGGTTTCGAACTTCCATCTTCGATTATGACAGCTCGTAGGTCTTATTAATGGGTTCATTCATATTTCATTTTGATAAATTCGAAAAAAATTTTTCATTCGTTGCCACGCATCTTTCACTTCAATGTATAAGTGGTACATTTGGTGATAATCCGTCTTTCTTTTTAATCGTTTTCGTTCGTGTATCGGCATACCTACCACCCATAACTGGTTGCGCGATATCCTAGCTGCTTCCAGCATGCTCGTCCTTTTATGTGAGGCGCCTCAGTGACCCTTGAATGATTGTCCTGGAATGACTCAGAAGAACTTAATTATAAAATTACAAATTCATTTGTCTTGTTCACGTATTAATCATTTGCCGGAATCGATGAAGAATTTTTCCATGTTTAACCAGTTTATTAATATTAATTTGCTCATGTTTAACTTGTCTTGAAAAGGTTGCCAACTCTTTTTTCTTTGCCGGAATCGATAAAAGATTTCTTTACTCCTTTTTAAGCAAAAATTTTCTCAACCCTGTTAAAGTTCTGTGTTTAACCAGTTTATTAATTTGTTCCATCCATTTTTCAGAAAAGGAAGATTCGGACATTAAAACTACGGTTCTCCGTTGAAGTTACGTCTTAAGAGAGTTTTTAATATTCATTCATATCAGATTTTGATTGATTGATAAATTAATTTTATGTTTTTCTTAAACTTTTTAAAGGTTATTTTATCATTCGATAAAACGACAGTTGTTGTTAGGCTACTCGCATTCATCTCTTATCGATCTTAATTAATTTTATTATTTTTATTTATGAAAATAGTTATTAATGAAATATTGGAGATGGGGATCGACTGCTGTATTCATCTATGGTTTCGTGATACCTGATTAAAATTCAAAAATCCAAAGGGTGACAGACACTACACCTCTATTTTTAAGCGATTGCCTGGTGAAAAGTTCTTATTCCATGGCGTATTGAACTAACCAAGGTATTTGAGGAGGCTAAATGCATTAGTAATATCGATAATAATAATTTCAGTTCATAGCCCTTCAGTTCAGTCCATAGAAAAGCCCTTACGAGATTTATTAAAGACATAACATTCGGCAAAATCGGTCATCAATTCGTAAATGCTGTGCTAACGGCATTTATTCATTACTTTCGCTGTCATCGTTCATTCAAGTCTTTCATCATTTTTGCTAAGGCTGTGCTGGCTTTTCGTAGGTGTAGGTGAAACTTTTGTCATGCAGTCGCTTCGCTAGAACAGGCGGGTCGCCAGCAGCAAGCGACTTTTTAAATAAGAGGTTGCTTATTCCTACCGGGAATGAAATTGATGCCGAATCGAAATCACCATTTCCCTACCATAACCAACGAAATTTTTTACTGGAATGAGAATGTAAGAATGCTTCAAAATATTCGGGTCTCCGGCTCTCTCTCTCCGGCAAAAATTTTAACTGTGTCGATAGCCGACGAAATTATCTTAATATTTAGCGACAGCGATTAGCTTATGTAAAGGGCAAACAAAGACTGCGAGTCTGGCGACCGTTGATTTTACCATTTTATTGGTCTTTTGACTTAATTTAAACTGATTTTATTTATTAATTTATTTACCTTCCAAGTTTTATTGCTCCTCGTAATCTTCTAAATCAACCAATTGAATTCCAACAATATTTTTAATATTTTCTAAGCGATTCCCTGTTTACTTCCTTTGTTTGACAAATTTGTTATTAAATTTTTCATTCTTCGAAATTTTTTCGAAAATATGAGAAAATGATTCACCTGGGAAAAGTGAAAGTGAAATGATCACCGAGTCTTAGAGTAATTTCCTTCGCCATTTACCATCAACGCCCAGTTTTTAGGGATTCCAGCAATTTAATTTTGTTTCTCGTTGAAATTCTGTTTGGCTAAAATATTTCTTCCTCTTTCTTTGTTGCAAAGGACTGCGGAAGAGTGGGAAAAAAGCCTTTATTTGTGTTAATTAACAAAATCTTGAGAATTATGCTGCCATAAAGAATGCGAAGCCACTGCATTGCAACTGAGTAATTTACTAGTAATCTTACGAAAAATGCGAATGGTGCACTCCCAATGATGAATTCGGTAGAATTTACGGTTAGCAAATAAATTTGCACGGAAGCAAACTATTCGTGAAATTTATAAATTTATATAATGAAACACAATTTTCGTAAAGCACTCACATTTATGGAAATAAACAAAATGCGTGGTATCTGAGCACTTTTTCATTTTATAGAAATTTTGTTAGGTAAATTTCCTGAGAAATTGAAATCGATCTATCTTCTAGGATTTTTGCATCTTTAAAGTCGTTGATTATTTCGAAGTCTTAGCTTTAAGCCGACCACATGATAGTTCATTCATTATAAACAAGTATTATTGCATGAAATTTCCATTGGGACCAACACGATGCAGTTGGTTCCACAGTGCTCAGTGGGTTTTATTTCTCACCTCGAAGAGGAGATGATGGTTTTCTCCTCATGCTAAACCCAAAAATGCGGTCGCCAGTTGCGTACCCGATAAAATTTGTCTGCTGTTCTACAATAGAGGAAGCCTGTGCAGGAATTGAGAGCTAAAAAAAAAATAATTGTGCTATTTAATTGTTCGATACAATATATTCTTGTTTATGAATCAGTGCTTATGGCCTTATGTGTCTGGAAAATCCCGTGGTTCAAACTCTCCTCTCTAATATTGCCAAAGGCTGGCTATATTATCCATTATTTCCTACAATCCATTAGCAACATCATCATTTTAAACCAGTTTCTAACGCTTCCTCTGCTTAGACTCAATCGTAACACTGTCACCCATCGCCATTACGTTTCTATAGCGTCAGGCGTCGCAGTCCTTTGCATTCGTTAAGGAACTATAAGAGAAGGAGAGGCACGAATTGTTAAGAAGAAGAAATAATGGAGATTTCCCTGAGAATGTGAAAGGAAGGACTCATGAGATTTTCGTCTATTTAGTAACGAATAACAAATCTTGAATCTTGTCTTGACTGACATCTGTTAGGATGAATTTTTCCAAGTTTGAAAAGAAAACTTTCAGTTGTTGAATGTCGTTGCCAGCTTTTACCAGAGGCCACCTTTGTTTATTTTTCGTATTTATTCTTGTTATATTGTCGAGAAAGCATACTGTGCGATCCTTTAATGGTGATTTGTATCCAACAATCTACGACGAAAACGATCACATAGTGATTCTCGATGAGTTAAACTTCAATAAAACTATTTTTTGTGGCAATTATAACGAATCGTGCACAGCATTTGTTGTCGAAGTAGGTGATGAATTTCTATCGAAATCAGTCTTTTCGTTAGTGCATTTGATCACGATAAATTTATTTCATGCAAATGATTTTTTATACTGTGGACTCGTGCTTTGGTTTGAAATTCCAGGGGAAACTTTTCAAAATTTTCTTAAATTTTTATAAATTTACGAAATTTTGAAGGTGAAAAGAGCTTCATTCAGTCTGATGGATAGAACCTTCCTTCAGTTGTGCAAATTTTTCAGTTTTACTCGGGCTGGTGTGGTCATTGCCGCGCTTATGCCTCAGTTTACAAAAGGCTAGCGAAAGACATCGGACTGTGGTCGAAATTTGTCAAGGTAGCTGCCATCAATTGCGCAGATCCTTTTAATCAACTTACATGTACCGCTAATGACATTATTTTTTATCCTCTAATAAAGGTACTTTTTTATATTGTTCTATTTATATTCCGATTTATTCGACCATTGTGAGGAATTTGCTTGCAGTATTTTCCACGAAATTCGCTTGATCCATCTGCGGCAAAATTACTGCCACCACGGTGGTCAGTTGCTGAAATGCGTAAGCAAATCGTTGACTCCTTATTTGATGATTTTTTCGCAAATAAATATCCCGATTGGCCAGATTTTAATTTCCTGCCGAGGTTAGTAAATTACCCTTAAATAATATTAACTTGATTTAAAAAAAGTCTGCTAAAATGTTTTTTTGTGTTGCTTTATATTAAGTCGAAACATCGTGGGTTTGATTTTCCTGTTCGCTTCTCGGCAATAAACTATCATTCAAAAATGAAGATGCTGGAGATCCATTTGTCACCAGATTTATTTCATTAATTCACAAATTTTTATTTCGTTTTTCGTAAATCGCACTTTTAAAATTGTGGATTTTTTTCAGTGTTTATAATTTTCAGAATTTTACTTATTGTAGCATGAGTACTTTAACTGGTATCTGGAGTGACATTCCAATGAAGACCAACATTTTGGTACTAATTTTTGACGAGTCGTACAACTCTTCGGCTGGAGCTCAGGTAAACTTGATAACTGTCCTCAAGATGATCATAATTTATATTTAAGATGATCATAATTTATTCAATGCGCTGAAAAAAGGTTGGATTTTTCCTTGAAATTTTAGTTAATGTTGGATTTATGGCAATATAGTGATCGAATCTTTGTGAAACGATGCTTGAAAGATCATAATTTGGCTGAAGCCAATCACATCGCTGATTTCCCCAGCTTAGTCGTTTTCCGACGAAATGAAACCTATCCAGCTTTTGCGACCGAGTACGCACTCCACTTGTTCAATCAAGTTTGGATAATCTTGAGTTCATTCAGCTTCTGGCTTGAACTATAATTTGGCGAATTTCACTTCGTTCATTTAATTTGATTAGAAATTAATTGCAGCATCCGTCGTTTATTATTCGGTTCATTAGAAGATTTCCTATTAAAGGAAGATGAAGTCGATGATCGACGCAAAAGTCCTAACAATCAAACGGATATATTTTGTCAAGCAAATCCTCAAATGTAGTAATTTGCTCAATTTGTTTAATGATAGAACTGATAATCTGCTTTTCTTTTTATCTGCTTTTCTTAACGCTTCTATATTTATATTTTATAAGTATATTCAATGATTCAAGTTGAAAATTAAATTGAGCTGTCTATAAAATTATAAGAAAAGAAAAGAAATTATAAAAAAAATTAATTCTAAAGAGTATTTCAGTTGTCGCGAGCGATTCTATGTATCTGAAAGAGATCTCCTAAAAGCAACGCGATATGCTATATTTAATGAAGTTACAAGAAGTGGAAAACAACTCAGCGGAGATAATCTGACAGATCTATTCAAATTCTACGAAGTTCTTGCAATGGTACGGCTTAATCCACATTTATTATGCATAAAATGCATTCATTCATTGAATCAATATTTGTTAATAAAATTTAATAGATTTTCGAGTTAAAAGTCGATAAGTTCATTTCTGAATTTATAAAGTACCATTTCCAGTACCATACAATTCTTTCTTATTACAATACAATTATGATAAAGTTTGCAGAAAATTTTATGTATTTTTCAATTTTCACTTTATTGTAATTTTTACTTTATTGTATTTAGAAAGCCATCAAATTTCTCCATTATATTTTAGCATTTTCCTTATGAAACATCAGTGAATGGATCGAAAGATACGAAAGAATTTATGGTGAAATTTTTTTAAAATTTTTTTATGAAATAATTGTTTCTACAGTAAATTGCGTCATCTAATTGTGGTTAACCTTTTTAATTTTAGCCTCTGGTGAAAAGCGAACAAGTACGAATGATTTTTAAGCATATGAGTGAATACTTGAAGGAAAAAAGGAATGAAATAATCCTGATGGATGATTATGCTAAGGAATTCCTGAAAGCTGAAGTATTTATTTTCATAATACTCTATTCATCCTTCAACAAATTTGAAAATGTCTCAGTGATGGCTTGAAAAACTAAAATGTATTGAAGTATTTCTAGAAGTTTAAATTAAGGAAATCAGGAGATTCTATTTGCTTTTTCAGAATGAAAGCAATAATCCATTTCCGATCGATGATGGTTGGGACCATTGTGCCGGCTCTAATTCTAAATTCCGTGGATATACTTGTGCTTTATGGATAACTTTTCATGCATTGACTGTCAGCGCTTATAAAAATAGTTTAAATGGTTTGCTTTTAGCAAATATCGCATTTTTTATTATTATTTCATTGTATGCCAATTATTTTTTTATTACAGTGGTTATTGTTAAATTTTAGAATCTGAATTCGATCCTCTTCAGCCATTACTGGCAATTCGTGGATGGGTTAATTATTTCTTTGGTTGCAGGATGTGCCGTGATCATTTCATTCGTATGACATCAATGACATTCCCTGTTGATGGACATGTATGACCTTTGCCATTATATTTTTCCTTTTCCGTTATCAATTCGCTATTATTTAAGAAATTTCAATCTTTAAAATGTTTTAAAAGCTTAATTTTATTGATTTTCAAGCCTACCATTCGATCAAAAAATGAAATAACTGGTTCTGCTTAATTCCTCAGAGAATTAGTTATGAACAAATTTCAGCCATAATTGCAATTTAAGGTATTGCGACCCGAAGATATGCATATCTATTTGTGGAAGGCACATAACATTGTTAATGCAAGATTGAAGGGACGAGAAACAGAGGATCCAAAATTTCCAAAAAATCCTTTTCCACCGTCATTCCTTTGCAAGACATGTGCTTATAAAAATGGTGAATACGACTTGAATGAAATAAGCAAATTTTTGGTTGAATATTATTCTGCCATAAAGCCATTTAATGGTTGATACTATGCACAAAATTTGCACGATTTAGACAAAATAAATTTTTTTTATAAATAGATTTTTGTATTTTTTCCTCATTAAATCGTCAACCGAGGATCGATAACGAATGCTAAAGGAATGAACACAGATGAACAAATAATGAGGATTTTCTATATTCTATATTCCCCTTCCTCAGAGAGCTCGTCACTCAGATTTTGTTTCCAGAGCTCTAGTTTTGTCAAAGGACAGGAAGGACAGTAAGAATTAGTGATCGCCTTTTCGAACTGATTCTATTCTTGAAATGGAATCTCTTATATGATTGCTTAAGAAAGTCGCTGTTTTACCAAAAACATATAAATAATAAGAAAATTCATTCGTTTGTATGAATAATTTTAGCACTATTTTTCATTTCTAAAGAACAATTGACAACAAATCCATGTATTTATTTATTTAATGGTGAGATCATTTACCAATAAATATTCGTCAAATGTTAAATTTGATTGCAATTATAAAACACTCTGTTTGGTCGGTAATATACCAAGCTTTTCGTGAAATTTCGCTGGCTTTTTCGGTGCAGAAAAAGTGCCCATCTGATTTTATCGAACGAACTGACCAATGAACAATGTGTGCACTATCGTGCTAGGAGAAAATGATAAATAAATGAAGTTTCTTAAAAATTTTTATCAAACGAATATTTAAAATTCGTAAATTTTGTTCACTTTTGCTTTTTGTTCACCCCCACGTCGCTGTTTGTATGGTTTTATGGTTCACAGCACTATTTTTTTTGGTTCGCATCAGCACATAGATTTTTCGCTATGCTTGATTCATTGACTAAAACAAATAATTAGTATTAAAAAGAAGCTACAAATGGAGCAAGCAATGATCTCTCGCAGTACTCAATAATAGAAGTTTAGGGTCCTTGGATAAAACTCAGGAGAAGATGCTCTTTGGGTTGAAGTCTTCAAATGTTGCCCGACTCTCATGATTCACCTTCAATGACTCTACAGTGTGGTACAGAAGAAAACGAAGAACTACCAATTCTTAAAGAGTGTGGTAGAACGAATTGTGACGATTGTCGAAAAATTAGCCTTCTAGACATATCTACAAATATCTGAGAAAATTTTCGTTTCATTCCGCTGAATAGAATTATTGTATTATTGGATAACTGGATGTATGCTAACTAAGTTCAATCCGGAGTGCGGAACATCATGCCATCATACAAATATTGACGCTGAGGATGGAAAATCGCTTCAGATATTGGTATTTAATGGCCATTGATTCTGCTGCCTTCGTCTCTGGACGATAATAGAATCCGACGGTATTATGGAGAAGAGCATTCTGCTAGCGCACTTTACCAGCGCACATCAGCATAGGTCTGCATGTATGGGGAATAGACAAATCCTTTGAATCTGAAAACAGGTGTTTGCCAGGGTTGCATCATTTCATTTTCTCTACAATATTCAACTGTGCGATAAAATGGATCATGGGTACGGCTTGAGTTGTGCAGTTCATTCTTTAGCATCATATAGATTATTAGAGTATAATAAATGGAGTTTGAAAAGTGTGGTTAATTTTCATTTATCTCCTAAATAGCTGTAGCGAGAAGTGCATTCTTCCGACTGGCATAATCTCTATGGAATTGCCGTGTAATAACTATAAAAACGAAAGTTTGATTGTAGTGCTTACTTAATTGCTTGCAGTTGAAACATGGGCCAGTGAGAGTGAATGGGCCAGTGAGAGAAAATATTAATAGGCTATCTAAAGGAAGAATTTACTTGCTTGCATGGATAAAATCTCATATAATTGCAACGATCTTCGCTCAAATATCATCTGCATTGACGATGTCCTCCTAGAGCGTCGCCGACGCTGGTTAAGCCATATTCAGGAATTGGCTAATGCACAAGCTTTACAATGGATGGCAAAAGCGAGCAGGACCAATTAAAACATGGAACTGGGTCGAAAGAGATTTTGAGTTTTTATGCAGGTAGCCCAGTGGGCTTAGATAGTGGGAAAAAACGAGTGCTTCAGTTATTCTCAGGAATGGTATCGAATCGAGTAGCTTGTAGACACCTTACCCTTGTAGCCAGTGCAGCCAGATAATCAGTACTGGTGCAGGTTATTTGAATATAATAGATCGATAAATAATGATATTAACATATTTTACGCTGATTAAGAGAAATATTTAATAGCGTTTTTGTTTTGGGAAAAAACGATCGTTTTTTTCCTTAGGAATGTAGTGTGGTAATGTTTTCATATTGTTTTATGCTTTTTTGAGATTTTCATCCAAATACCAATTAAAAATTAAAAATTGTGTAATTTCATATATTTTGCATGGATAAATTGTATTTTCGTTTCATTTGCTTCCAATTTTAAAAAATAATTTAGCAGTAATATGCAATCTCAATTTTGACAAAATTAGTACTATTCATTTTTCATGCTTATACTTTTTTATTGTTAACACAGCAAATTTCTTTTCTACTCACCTATTCATATAGGAAAAAACTTCTGACAAGCAACGGAAATGAATTATAATTGGTTTTCTGGTTTTCATTAAAAACGTCAAAAACGAGAATACTCAACGCAGAAATGTTTTAATCCGTAAATTCCTTGTTTATAATAAAAATATGCCTTCCGGTATATTACAATAAATATTGTGTACTTAAAACTATCAAATGATATCGCATCTCTGCTTCAGTGAAGAATTATTTTTTATGACGAAACTTACAAGTAATTAATTGAAATATTTTTTGAAGTTTGCAATTATAAAGAAGCATAAATAAGGTTTTAAATAAAGTTTCCAGAGATTTTTTTCAATGATTATCATGAATTACACGATTATCGCAAACGATCTGAATTACTTGTCCACAAAGCGTGAAAATTTTCAAAATTGAAGTGCTTCTTGGGTTCGAGCATGCAAAATTTGCTTGAGCACTGTGCTTTTGATTAGGCACATTAGAGCCGTGCAATTAACATTTAAATGTTTGTGGCGGAATTCTCCAAAAGATTTTCATTAATTTCAAGATGATAAGCGAATTATGTTTCCAAGTCATGCTAAAATATTAAAATCCATCATTTCTTTTATTCATCATCATTTCAATTATCATAAAAATTGGACGGTCGATTTGCCACTTTGACGGGACTGAATCTGCCATTAAAGGTGAAATCCGGTTAATGGTTAATGGTGGGGATCCATCAGCACTTCTATTCCCAAGTGCTTAGCAAACTGATTTCAGACTAGCGGCCAGTGAAATCAGCCAAATCGGAGATGGTGGGTATCACTGGAAGAAAAAGATGAATATAAATACAAAAATTTGATATACATGGCATAAATATTAAATATAAAAATATAAACGATATGGTAATAATAATAACAATAAAAATAATAGTGGAAATAAAAAAAAATTGATGAGAAAAGAACAAGCGAATTGTTTCGATCAATGCTCTGGAAGAAAACAAAAATTTATCGAAACGAACTTTTCCATGATCCCCTACGACCCGTTCGACCCGTTTGATCCGTATGAATTTTTTTCGAACTTATGGCCAAAGCTACTACGGAGGTTTTTCTGCCCAATTTCCGAACATATATATTTCCGAACATAAATTAGTAATTATTGCACAGTTTTGACGCAAAAAAATTCTTCATTCTTCATTCGTTTCAAAAGGGTGTAAAAAGAACTACCAGAAAAAAAATTTTTTTTTGTTTTCGATGTAACAAAAAATTCCACTGTAATCGGAAATACTTGTTTTGCGGGAATTTTTCATTTTTGAAAAAATATTTTTTGTATATTTTTTAAATTGATTTCATTTGAACTAACTTAAAATTCAAAGTGAAAACTCACTTTTGCTAAAATTGTGAAAATTAATTTCAAATTGGACTTTACAAGTACCACAGCAATAGATCAAATTAATCACTGTCCAATCCCTCTCTTTTTTGATAATATTTGCTATGTCAATAGGAATTCAGGCATTCCACGGCTGTGGCACTCATGATTTCCGTGTTTTATTTGCTTTATTGATATATATATATATATATATATATATAAATTAGATGATTTCTATAGTTCATCCACAGATTTTTTCTAGTTTCCAACTCTAATCGAATTCACCAGCTTCTCCTAACTTTTAATAAGTTTCATATTGTTTAATCTCTATATATGATTTCTTTTAACATCGGTAGAGAACCCTTTGGGAATAGAATTACAAATGGGTCCTCAGCGCCGCCTTAGCTAAACTTATTCTTATGATATCAAAAATAAAATTTTATTAGTCAAATTGTATTTCAATCAAAAATATTTAAGAAATTTTCGATAAAAATACTTAAAATATTTGATACATTTTGATGTTTTTTTAGAATTTTTATTGCTCTATCGATATTCATCGAATCAAACATCTTCGTCAAACTATATAAACATCCATTTTTATTGAAATAGTTGAACTTCTAACAAATTTTTCAATTTTTCCAATTTTTTGCTTCCATAATTTCCTTCTTTATTTTTAGAACCTTCTAGAACCTTTAAATATATAGAAATGCGTGGTAAAAAAAATAAGTGGCTTTCTTATTAGGCTGCAAGATTGGAAATTTTTGCCAGGACCTTTGCTAGAAATTTTTCATCACTTGAATTTTCCACTAACAAATTTTTCTTATGCCAGAGACAAAATCTTGTGCTAGAAATAAGAATGTAAGCAGCAACTAGAATTTTATTGCCACAGATAATCGAATTTTTGAACACCAAATTATTGCTCTTATTCGACCGAAGAGAGAGTAGAAATGCAACTTCTGAAGAAACAGTTTTGCAAAGTACGATAATCGATGTTAGGCGCCTAAATATTTGAATTTCCGACAATAATAGCATTGTTTCTTTTGAATTTTGAACTTCGAAGGAACGAATTTGCACAAAAAAATGACCTAATATAATGAATTCGAGCTGATGGTACCGAATATCGAAATTTAACCTGCGAAGAGTTTTCTTTTTTTGAATTTGGAACCTTCCCATTCATTATTGACCTAACATAATTTAAAAAAATTAAAAATTGACAAATGGTTCCACGGATAGATTAAACGGACCAAGGTGAAACGAAACATATACTGAATCTCCAAGCTGAAAATGACATATAATATTTTGATTCTTGAAAATTTGAAATTTTTAAAATAAAAAGATTGTTTTTATCAGCGGGAGGTCGTTTTCAATAAAATATTCCAAATTTATTGCTAAATTATTTCTTAATTTTTCGAATTAAACCTTACTTATTTAATAAAGGACGATTATGCTTCCCTCTTCATTTGTTTTCTTTTTTTTAAATTCTTCTTTTTCTTATAATTTTAAATTCTTTAAAATTCTTTGAATTTTCTTTTTTTAAATTTAATTTTAATTTGTCTTTGATAAAAGTAAACTTGCCATAGTATCAAAACCCGGATGGTTGCTGGGTAGCCAACTATATCTCCAAGTGATTTTATGGTGAAATGATCAAGTCTCTTTGTTTGCGTCTTTCTACTTCTGATCAGGCGGCGTATTAACAGTAATAAAATAATTACAAAACATGAGCATAGAATTTCCTCACGAATTGAAATAAGTTCTCAAAATACGTCAAGGGAAGCCAGAATCTATCTGCTAATATTTTGTAAGCGCGGTGAGATGCTGGCTATAGCGGCTTGGAATGTTAGAACGCTTATGGATGTTGCAAGCCATGCGATCACTGCCCACATCTTTTTAAGCACCGTGTGGATGCGGCTTGTTTATCAGAGGTTTTCCTATCGGCTCCAGAGTAATTATTAAACCTGGTTCTGAGCAAAGATATTGATTATATCATTGTGGTGTCTCGGAGAGCTCGGGATGAAATGGCGTAGCGATTGTCATGTCTGAAAAGGCTCGATCCGCTCTGATTGAATGGAAACCAGTAAATGAATGTATGGCCTACGTCCGTTTCAAGAGAAAGTTCAGTGAAATGAATGTCAGTGACATCTCTGGAACTGCGAATGAATATTAGTCTCAACTAAATGCCTACAAAATTCGGCCGCTTCAGTAGTATGTTGTACTAGTAAAAAATGCGTTATTTGGGTGTCGGAAGCTACTGTCCAACTGTCTAAAAAAGCTGCCAACGCCTTTAATATCAGAAAATTCTGACTATCGGGTGCTTCGAAGAATTACAACGACAGCAGCACGACGAGTTAGAAATCGCTATTGGAGCTATGTGGCTTTGGAAATGGAGACGACGGCTCAGTTAGGTGATAAAAGGAAACTATTACTTCTTCTTTAATGGGTGCCTGTTTAGGCTATTAAGGATTGCCTCGTAAAATAAAAAAAATTTTTTTAGGTCAAACTTAATCACAAATGCGCCATCTGTTCTCTTAAAATGACTGATTCGCTCGTCAAATCACAAGTTTGCAACTGCGAATCGCCAACAGAAGAGGAAACAGTCTCTATCGCCCAGAAATCTAAGACCAATAAAACTCCTGGAGAAGACGGTCTTCGGACCGAATTCTTCAATGTTGTTCATCATTGTTCATAACTCATCTTCAACAAATATACTTTTTGGTATGGGCAAAAAGAAATAACAGGAGACTGGAGCAAAGCAATTTCCCAATTCTTAAGGAAAATGACAGGACGTACTGCAACAATTACCGAGGAATCAGCCTATTCTCCGGAACTTTCGCTTCTCTTCTGCTAAATACACTCATGGCAACATGTGATAGTAGAATGCGTCCTAACCAAATTAAATTCAGATTGGGACGCTGTTATGCTCATCAAATATTTATGCTAAGAATGGTGCTGGGACAAATGCCCACTGCCATTTGCCCTATCGATTTTGCAGGTGCCTTCGATTCGATTCATAGAGCAGCGCTCTGGAATGTCATGAAATATGAATAAATGAAATATGAATATGAATGTGATGATGAAATATATTCCAAAGAAGAGCATTCGCCTCATAAAGGTATTTTATCAGCATATCCAGGTCTGTGTACAGGGGGAACTGACTGACCCTTTCGAAATAAATAAATAAAATGTCAAGGATGTATCCTTTCCCTACAATATTCAACTATGTCATAGACTGGATAATAAGCATCGCTTGTCTGTACTCAAGAGGTGTAAAGATCAATCCGGATCACCGCATCACAGACCTTGAATGCGCTGATGATGTAGTCCTTTTTGTTGACAGTTATAATGAAATGCAAATAATGCTAAACAATGAACAACCACGGCAAAAATTGGGCTCAGAATCAGTGTAAATAAAACAAGGTGAAAAGTATTTTCGTCTAACATAGAATAAAATACATATAAAATACCTACTTTTATCAACTGCGGTTGATAAAATGCCCGACTTTAAATATCTTGGATCCACTCTAGCCTCAAATGGCCAGGCAAAAGGCGAAATTACCACTCGGATAACGACAGCTAGAAATGTGTTCTTCGGTTGACGAAATCCTTATGAAATCGTCGCGAAATCACCATAAAGATGAAAGTCCGCATCCATATAGCTGCAAATGGCTTCGCAGTGAGAGTGAAAGACATTAAGAAGCTATCAGTCTATGACCACTCAGGTCTAAGATACTTTTTACGGGCTCGTCGAGCATATAAAATCGCACATGATTGTATTTACCTTCGCTCAAATATCACCTGTATTAATAATATTATTACAGAGCATCGACTTCGCTGGTTAGGGCATGTTCTTCGTCGTCCACCACAGTTCGTCCCTCAAACATTGGATCGATGACGTCAAAAGCGAGATGAGCCAATCAAGGCCTGGATTAATACAGTCAGGAAAGATTTCGGACGTATAGGGAGACCAGCGATATATGGACTTAGACGATGGAAAGAGGAATTGCTTCTATTATTACTAGCGATGGCGTGGGACTGAGCTCTTGGAGGCTTCTTACCCTTATAGCCAGTGAAGTCAGCCTAACTAGTTATGTTGATAGCTGTTAGAAGAAGAAGGTGCGATGAGATGAACTAAGTTTTGTACACTCAACATTTAAACACATTAAGGTACTATTAGTTTTTTATCAGTGCCTCTTCTAAGCAATTTCAGGTCTTTTTTTCTGGGAGTGAGAGGGGATGAGGGGCTATAATTATATGGGAAATCATTATTCTACGTATAGCCAATGGTAAAGAAAAAGCACACCCAACATATTCTATCAGAATAGTTGGAACACAGCGCAAAATCACGAAGCCCTGCAAAAATGGAGTTGGCTTGGAAAATCATCCACGAAACCTTGAACTTTGCCTGGAACCACAGGGTTACTAAAATGCAGCCCGGCTTTCTTATTTAAATTACATTCGACAAATATTTTTTTCAGGCGATGTATGTTCGTTTCCTTTGCCCTTTGACCTTATTTATTTAGATCATTTGATTGTTGCTGCAACTATTTTCCCCAAATTCTTTTTCCTTGACCTCTTATTCATGGAAATTTTTCAGATTATTTTTTAGCCTTTAGGCGCTTGAGAGGGTCGCGAGGTGTACAAGTGGGAAGGTCACGAGATGGAGGAAAGTTGTTAGTTTCCGCAAATCTATTAAATATTATGAAAAACATTGCTATTATATGAAATTATTTGCGGTGAAGCTAACGATAAAGCCTGTTTTATCAGTAGAGAAATCAGCTATTTTTTTTACATCTTTGTTTCTCATTCTTTCATAGTTATTGCTATTGCATTTTCCCCAGTTTTCTCGCAAAGAAATAGATTTGGCTTCGTCGACTTGCCGATCAGTTGTTCGCCTACAATTGGTTGTATGTGGTTTTGAGCCTACGTCGGATTTAATTCAGGTTGCTGTTTGAGTTTTAAGCACTACTGGTTTACTGATTTTATGTAGGAATGGCCACGGTCGTCCGACTGAAATCGACATTTATTATTAACTCGATTTTCCTTCCTGACTCCCTCAGCGCTGCTAACCAAAGCAACAGTGGTTATGCTGATAGAAGGAAGATAAGAAGCCAGTTTAGCATCAGTGGAAATTTGGTTCCAAATCCTTTCATGTAGATCATTACAGGTTTGAATAAAAGATACTGTGGAAGGTGGATGATATCTCCTTGGTGTTCATCCAATTTCAAGGAAGATCTGGCGGCTTTATTTATTTTTTGTAAATTTCTAAATTTCCTTTTTAAGCAGCTTGTTGTATTTTTCATTTCTTATATTATATTATAAAATTATATTCCACTTTCATTATAATCTGTCCATGTAAGTTAATAAAACGTAACAATTTAAATTGAATAAAATGCTAAATTTTAAGCTAATTTATTCTTCTTCTCAACTCGAATTTAAAAATCAGCCGAATTCAATTAAAAATTCTAAAAATTTTCAATTGGTATTAATGGTGGAACAAAAGTAAATGAATTTTTAGGATTCCCGATTTTTCATGTTTTTGCGACTTCAAAAACTTCTTTAAAGTAATTTTATTATTTAATTTCAGGTTTTTTGGTGTCTTAATTTCGCTCAAACAATTTCGTTGAAATCTAATGATTTGCTTCAATAGGTGATTATTTTTTTTAAGCGAAAGGACGGAATTTTCATTGGATGAGAGCTTATTTATTTTCTTTGGATTTTTTTATAAATGATCAGTCATTCTTGGTTCCAACTATCAAACCGATCGCATTTTTCCATAGACATTGTGGATTGCCTTCGATTTGTATGTAAATTCATCATTATTAGGTAAAAAAAAATTTCCTCATTTTTTTGTATTTTATTTCTTTTTCTTATTTTTTTCTTATTTCTTGTTATTTTTTATTTTGTTTATTTTCATTTTTTATTATTTATAATGATATTCTCGCATCATTCATTCTGTTTTCTATTTGCACAGTTTTTTAGATCTTTTTCAAAATTTATAGATTATGTTAACTCGAAAAAGGCGTCAACAAGTTCCCACATTTTTAGAGGGGACTCCGGGTCGGTATTTTAAAAGAGATATGCCACCAAAAATGCCGTCTTATGATGGTAGGTCATTTGGCATTTTGATTTATTAAAAATTTCTACTTATTTATTTGTGAGAATTTTGTTTGAAAAATTACAGTTATTACTTAATGTTTTTTTTTATTTGCTATTTCGAGAAATTCAAAAAATAAATAGCAAAAATTGAAAATTTGATATTTTCTTCAGCAAGAACCATATTAGAAATATCTGATAAATATTTTCCGACAATTCTTAATAATAATGCGGCTTAATAATTAATATACAACAAGAAAGGTATTTTTGCAGGCTTTCAACAAAATGCGCCAGTTGATTCGGATTCGTGGGCTCAGTCAACCCAAAGTCTTGATCATCATATTAAAGGTAATTTAAGTAATAAGAATTCTCGAAGTGTGGTAAGCATATGTCGGCCTGTGACTTATTTACCATCACAGAATTGTAATGGTGGTCCTTCGATTCATCCCATCGTCACTAATTTAGGAATGGGTGTCTCTTCAAGTGTCGGAAATGTTGTCCAGGTATAATTTTATAATTCTCATTTTTTTAAATAAGATTTTTTCCAGTGGATAAAATTCCAAACTTTCCGTTATTTTATCAGCTGAGATTTTCATTTTTGAAATAATTTTCTGGTTTTTATTTTTAATTTTTAAAATTAACTTGTAAAGATTCAAAAAGAATTCTAAAAAAAATTTTCTAAAAATTTCATTTTTTCTTTGCAGCATGAAACTAATTCGATGTCTAACAAAAGCGTCAATCAGCGACCAACGTCCATCTCTTTACAGAGCCTCCCTGGTTATTATTTTATTTATTTTATTTATTTTTACTTCTTTATTCCTTTGTAAAACGACAGCTGTTCAAATATTTCGAATATTTTCGAATATTCTAAGCAAGAATTAGTTTTGCTAAAAAATCAGTGCGATTTTCATATTTTCACTCATTTTTTCACTCATTAATTTTCAATAATTTTTCACTCATTTTTTCGCTACCATATTTTAGCCATTTCAAGTAATATTTTTGGTTCAGCGATTTTGAGTCGATTCTTATAACCTGAAATAACCTCAAATTAAATTTAAGGACGTTCAATAACTAGCTGTATAGCAAATGCAGGTTTGTGTGTTGATCCACGTGATGATAATTTGCCACTTCCAGCGAACTGGGGAATTGAACTCACTCAAGATGGAATAAGGTTTATATTAACTTAAATTTTGCTTCTTATGAAGATATGGCTCATATTTCTATTTCATTTTAGATATTATGTGGACCACAAGAGAAAAAGGACACATTGGATACATCCATTAGCAAGAGAAACTCTGCCTCGTGGATGGATAAAACGATATGATGAAGTGAACGGCGTTGTTTATGTGAAGTGTGTTTTAAAATTGTGGTTTATTACATTTAAACTGGTAAAAAAATTTGTTTTTAGACGTTTTTGAATTTTTTGTGGTTTTATTATGATTATTTATTGTACCATTGTGTTTGCGTAATCATCCAATTTTTCTATAGAAAGAGCGAAAATTATTTCAAAATTAGGATGGTCGATTTTTAAGACTTTCAGTTTTTGTAGTGAAACTGAACGTCGTTGTCAGTTTTATCATCCTGGCTTCACAACACCATTAGGAACATCGCATCATTGCCCGGAAAAACACTGCATCTGTCGTAAAATATTTATAAATTATGTACCATCAATCGGCAATTATTTGGAAGAATGGAGGCACATAGATGGTAATCGCAAAGAATCTGTCATTACACCACTAAAAGCCGAAAGCACCATAGAGAATCTCAATATCATAAGTGAAGGTATGAAATTATGAAATGTTTTACTTAACTCAAGTAACGTATTAATTTGTAGTTTTATCGAATATTTATGAAAAATTTCGATAAATTTAAAAATGCATATTTTTATAATTACAAGTTAACGACTGTACCTACCCAACGGTTGCTTCTTTTTTTGCAGATACACCAAGTTGGCTTCGTTTATATTCTAGCGCACCAACGAAATTCGACCATATTTTATCGGTTAATAAATTTTCGATTTTTCATATTTTTTCATAAAAGTCATTTAAAAGTCACTAGCCCATCTACAAGAATCAAGCAGTGCTTTTTTCAGTGGGAGTTATTTTCGATTTCACAGTTGGAGGATTTCGATATGCACTTGAGAAAACTATTTAAACAAGAGGTTATTGATACGGTGATTAGATATGAGCGTTTACGACGTGAAATTTATCGGGAATTATTTAGGAGGCAACTAGATGACGATTCTTCGTCGATAATTGTATAATCTCATTTATAATTGCTAAAAGATATGCCAAAGAATATGTAAAATGAAAAAGTTTTGCATAAAAAAAATGTTTGTTGGTAAAATTTGTTAATTAATTAATGGTGGCATGTGATTTGCTTTCTTATTGTTAGACATGATAGACATGGTGTTAATAATCATATTTATATGGGTAAAGCATAAAAAAGCCAGTTGATTTTGTTTATTATTTGGTGATATAAATGCAACTAAGATATATTTTGGCTTTTTTTTATGCTGCACCAGTCAATACCCCAGTGATTAATGGTATTACTGAATTATATAATTATTTCTTTGTAATTTGTGTGTAAATGCTGGAAAAAAATATTTTTTTTGAAAATGTCATATAAAGCTGGAAGGAAACTAATTGTTTTAACTGTAAATATAATTGTAAAACATAATTAGTTCCAAGTGGTTATATAAAGGAAATTTTAGGTTCGGATTTAGTTAAAACAATTAGAAGTTTAATTCAAAATTTTTTCTCCAAAAATGGATTTGGCTGTAGAAATTTCCTTGTTTTCTTTCATTTTGTTTAATTATAAAGTTAAGGATCAGGTAATCGCTAATGAGGGAGGATTCATTTGGAGTGGTAGTGGTCATAGTAACCTATACAATTTTCTCGTTTCTAAAATTTTGATAGTGTTAATATTTATATGGGTAAAATATAAAAAAGCCAGTTGATTCATTTCAGGATTTCGATGGAAGCGAAATCCGAGATGAGAATAATTAAAACGGTAATCGAAACAATGCAATATGTCGTATATTTATAAAAAATAACCAGAAAATCCATGCAAACCGTACAAAATAAATAATCAAAAATCGAGTAATTCTGCAATCCAATCTTTTCATTGAATCTTTTGGAATTGAGTCAATAAAAGGAGAAACCGAAGTGATCTTTTGCTTTGTAGCGGGTTGGACGAATGTATGCTTTTCGTTCGTAGCATTCCTTAAATTTTTTCAAATTGTAAATTTGGAAAAAATGAAAGAATCGATGACTACCAAGATTGTACGTCTATCTTGCTTCCTTCTCTCTAGAATTCATTTAAAAAAATTTATGAATTTGAACTTGAATTTGAACAAAAATCTGCAAGAATAGTAAAAGTTACGAAAATTACTTGAGAAATGCTGCAGATGTCATCGCAAATATTATTTTTCGGTGGAAATATTATGGATGTTTGCGGTCGATTGATATTCCTTTCGTCCTTTTTAATAACCGTTTTGGGAGTATAAACACAACGTGAAGTAGTTTCCTCGTAAAACGGAACGTTTTTTATTCGATTCGAGTTGGCAAATGGATTTTTTGGCATAAAAAGAGTAAGAAATTTATCAGCGAAAGAAGGGATTTATCGGCTGTTGGAGATTTCGTTGTTTTATTACTTTTATTCTCCTTCCGATTTGGCTGGTTTTACTTGCTGATGAAGCGGAATCTGCTAGAATAAGATCGCTTCGTCATGCAGTCAGTTGGCAGTTTCTATTGCCAGAAGTACAGGTCACCAGCAACACTCCGAATGCAAATTGCTAATGGGTTTAACAGTCATATTTATACAAACTTATTATTGATTTTAGGTTTTTTGAACAGAATAATTTTTTGAACGAAATAGTACAAATTAGCAAACAATTTGAAGTGGATAAATTATTTAGAAATCTAAACTCAGTGACTTCCGCTGTAAGTGCAACCTAAAAGAAAAGCGAAAGTGCAATCTACCAGGACAATCCATTTACAGGAAAGCGTTTTAACGCTTTCTCTGGTTCGTCTGTAAGCGAATATAAAGACATATAAATCAAAATTTTTAGGTAATTCAAAATGCTTTAATTATTGTAACGAATTTTTGGTGACAAAAATATCGACACATTTGGTGACCCAGTGGGTTGTTGTTCACATTTCGGAGTGCTGTTGTTATAAGGAGTAAAGAAGCCTCGCAGCAGAAGTAAACCTGTCCTTTAAAAATCTTTAAGATGCTGGCGATTCACGTATTTATTTCTATTGTCAACTGACAAGTGGTTTCCTGAAAAAATTTGTCTAGTCCGATAAGCCAGTTAGAAATGCGTTCGTTCCTCTGAAATCTCTATGGGATCGCCGTGAAATCATCATCAAAAAGAAAGCATTTATCAGGCTACAGTATATCATCTTGTTATATAGCTAGGAAACGTGGTCAATGAAGTAGAGGATGCTAATTAATCAATTAATCAAGAAAGCTACTGTCACCAAATGGCGAAGGAACGCGCAAGCACAACGCATCTACGATATATCTCTTTCCTCTTGCAGATAAGCTGAGAAGAACCACAGTTACAAATCATCGTCGAAATTATGCAAAAGTAATCTAAGGCGTCTAAGTAAAAACAATGGGAAGAAAATTCGCTGCAGGTAGCACTTTAACTACGAACGGTACGGTCCAGAATCTGCATTAAAAAAATAAATCGGGACTTCTCATAGAGCTATTAACCTTTGATCACTCTTATCTAAGGCATATTTCACGTGCGGACAAAAGCTTAATGATTACCACCTTCATTCAAATACCATCTGCATTAACCATATCACCTGCACTAGTTAGGCCACGTTCTTCGCCGTCTATCACAGAAACTGACGCATGTATCATTGTTTTTGAGGCCCAAGGACCAATGAAGACTTGGACGGATTCAGTAAGGAGAGATTCCGAACGTATAGGCAGCCTCCGATATACTGACTTTGGTTATGGAAAAAAGAATAGCTAGCTTGTATTACCATCAAACGTGAGATCGGAACGAGTGGATTGGAAATCTACTCTTATTCCCACTCTCCTACTCTCGTAACCAGTATAGCCATTCCAAGCAGTATTGGTAAGAGATGAACGATATTAGAGGAAGAGCAAGAAGAATATGCAAGAAGAATATCTGATAAGCCAGAGAAATGAATATGGTTACTTAAAAGATTGCTGTCGAACAGGGACTTTTGGCACAAACGCAGAACGATTTGTCGTTTCGCCATAGAATGGAATGTTCGCAAATCGTTGGCGATCTATTTGTACTATTCTATAATAAAATATTCTCGTTGCTTGATCGGCTGTATAACACTTTCATGAATGAATGAAATAAATTAATTTTCATGAAAATTCTTAACAAGAAATTGACAGATTTTTGATTCAGTTTTAGCAAAAGACTCAAACACTATAAGCAGCGAATTTGTTTAAATTGCTGGCCAAGCTAATTAGATCATTATTTATACTGAAATTAAACTGGGACCTCGATTCACGCACCTAATTTTACTGGGAGCTGGAACTTTCCACAGAAAATCGCTTTGGTTCGATGTAATTCCATAGAAAGGAACATTTTGCATTCGCTGTAAATATTGCATTGCTGAACGATTCAAGCCATTTGAGATTGGGGTGAATCCTCGAACATTGGAAGCAATATGAGAATTCGTTGTTTGAGATTGAAATGAATTCACTATCTCGTCAGACGAATCTAAATTTTAAAATGGTTTCAAACATATTTTTAAAACCACCACCGATCAGCAAATCGAGAAAAAAAACTGGAACCAGGAATGAAATTTAGTGAAGGTGTTAGATCACCACTGTCGTGTACTGGTGGAGGAATCACATATCCACTATTTCCATCTAATGAAACACGTTTGGAGGCTGAAAAATTAGTGATAACTTTTATCACGAATTTGTGATAAAATGAAGACGTGAAAGTTTCCAGTTGAACTACTCTGTACTGGTCGGTGACGGCGATAGCACGAGGTCGTCTGCCCTTTCCTCCTTCTCTTCCACCGATTCTTTATTTCCTCACATTCGCTTCGCACCACGCATTTTCGCAAGATTCTTTCGCCTTTTTATCCTTTCCCGTGCCTCTAATAAATCTTTTTTTAAGCCTTTTTTAAATAAAAGCAAATAATCATAAACCTCTTGTTGTACAGCCAACTTCACCAGTCTTAGACATTTTTTCGCAAATATTCGCCATAATAAGAAGAATTATAGCCAATAACACAATATAAATTTGTTTCCATTGGAAACCCGAAATTTCTGCCAAAAATTAATCCCAAATATTTTTCATTATCAAATCAAATTTTTTTAATACATCGCAAGAATATGAATTAAAAAAATTATTCAATGAACTGCTCGACAGAATCCACTAAATTTAGTCGAATAAATTTTAAAAAACACAATAATCAACAACAATAAAAGAGTAACAGAAAAGAAATTAACAGTAGCAATTTTCTGTAATTACCTCCTTAAAATAATCGCAATCAAACGGCATTCTCCATTCTATTTGCTGTTTTTCTAAACAATAAATTAATAGCAATTGCATAGCAACAAAGAAGACTCTTAAGAAAATAAGAAAGCTCTTCGTGCAAGACGTTTATATATATATATATATATATATATATGTATAATAATGAATCGACGATAATATCAGTGTTGCCTAAATAAAGACCGAGCGAATCGAGACAACTGACACTCTAAAAAAGGCTCAAAATTAAAAAAATTCAAAGTTTACAAAAATTAAACAACCAATTCGAAAAAAAATGTATCAAAGGTAAATATTCAAAAATCAAGAAAAATAAAATAATTTACCATTATTAATCATTACTTATTGAGAAGAAAGCGATTTTAATCAAGAGAATATCAACAAAAAATTTTAAATTAAAATAAATCGGAAATATTTCATATTTTCTCATCAAATGTTAGATGTTAGCTAACGTAAAAAATAAGATTTTGAATAAAGCAAAGCATTTTAATCGTCAAATCAAAACTAATTTCCTAGCAACTTCTGAATTTCTTATCGTCCTGTTTATAGAATAGGTGAGGGATATTAAAAAAATTAAAGAGTGTGCAGTTTGACTGTCCATTAGCAAAATTTACCGTGAACAATGGCATCAATAAACATTACCCGAAAGATGAATTGTTATCATTCACTCAAAATCAAGTCCCGCAAATCCTCTAATTTTTGATTCTAATTTACAATCGCATAATGCTATAACAAATTCTGCTCGATGAAGAAAGCATAAAATTGGCAAAATTATAGACAGAACGTTATCGTCGATATGCGGAATAAAAACAAGAAATCATTAAATATACTATTTAGCCTCTCCAAAATCTATAGAAAATAAACATAAATACAATGACAAAAATACAGCCAACAGTAAAAATCACCCAATCTTCACTGACGCGACGTCCGATCATTCTTATCGTTGTTGATGATAATCCTAACTTTAAAAAAAACTAATATTCTTATGAAACATTTTTATACTTTTCTTCAATATAATTCGATAATTCAAAAATTTACCTGTTGGACGACGTCCAATATTTTACGCTTAGCATCACGTAAAATTGTTCCCTGAGAGCGAATCGAACTTAATACGGCATTACCATGGTTTATAAGCTCATCTACAGCTTTATTTGATGAATGTATACGATCATTAAGCAAAAGTTCACCATCGTCCAATAATAATTGTACTGATTCATTCGGACGGAACCTAAAAAAATTCTGTTCTACAATAAATAATCGCCATAATTCTTAATTATCATTTTTCCTTCTTATTTTCCTCCTTTTTTTATACTTATTTGCCTGACGAAACGATTCTTTTCAGATATCCATAAGTAACAACTAACGAAAAACGACCTTTGAGTAAGAAGTTCTTCTCTTTCAGCCAAATTCCTCCATTTATTAGTTAATCTTGTATGTGTGTTTGATATAGTTGAATGCATTCGATGACAATCATATTTTAACTGATCGATTTTATATTTGAAAGTTTTACGGCGTTGCATCGATTCCTTATTAACAAGCATATCCAACCTTTGAGAGTTTTCATCGATCATCCTTTAAAAACAATTAGAAATAATAGATTACAAAAAATAAAAATAATAACGCTAACGTTCTTTAAAGAGAAATTATTAACATAAATTGTCAAAAAAAGGATTAAAAATTATTAAGCGACGATAAATTTATATTCCATTTAATGTACTAAAAATATATGTGCAAACGTTGGAAGTCTCACATAGGCAAATTACGGTAAACGCCACGAAAAAAGGTTCCTTAATCAGCCATCTGGGGAAACAATTTCAGTTGAAAACTTTTCATTTTCAGTTTTTTGAACTTCACTTTTTTTAGATTCCATTTTTCACCAAATCACTGTTATCAGTACAATCCGAATCGAAAATAAATGGATCGAATATCCCTTTCACAAAAATTTCGAAAAATTTTGTAAAGTTTGAAACTGCAGACAAAAAGAGAATCTGACTTTTTTGATGGATCTTAAAAACAGCAGATACAAATCCTACCGAAACATTTAACTTTAGGAAATATTTTTCCACATTTATTTGATTTACCCAACATTCTTTCTGCATGTTTTTATGTCCTCGCGTTGATTTATTCAAATAGACGCACGGAGGTGACATCTAACTGAAATATATCAAAGAAAATAGTGGCGTGGCTCACTTCTCCGAAAATCATCAATCATCAATTTCTTCCTTGGCTTATATTTCCTTAGTTACTGAGGATTGACAGATTTGCCGCATTTCAAATAATCTGCGACATTCCAGAAAAGCCATCTCTTTAAGGAAAAGAATTATTCGTCGACAACACGAAAGGAGCAAATAAATGTAACACGCTTTCCACACTAACAAATTTCATTTTCATTTTCCTAAACAATCGTTACCACTGCATTAGCCAATAACATAAAAACTTTACATCCATCCATATCCATTTAAAAACTAGGATTCGCCCTATGGAAATTATCTGATTAAATGCGGGCACGTTGAAAAGACTGCTAAATTTCGGCTTACGGCCGGAAGAATATTTCCTGGACGAGAAATCAGGGTAAACACGATAGTGAAAACTCGAAAAAAGTATGACACCTGAGTTTTTCGTACATAATTTGCATAATTTTCTGGGCAAAACTTTCGTCTTTTGCTTGTTCTAACGAGTTTAGTTGTGAATAAAGCGATTCGAGCATAGAATTCGTTTCGTAATACAACGTTTCCATATTCCAACCAACTGAAATTGAAATATTTTACTTCAAAAAGAATTTTTTTGAAAAGAGAAAGAAAATAATTATTTGGTGAAAATGGTGCAGAATTTCTGGATGGTTGATCAATTCAAATTAGAAGCTTTCTTCAAAATAAAAACACAAGATAACTTCCTCACAACAAGTTTAGTTCTATTCACTGGTATCGCTCGACCGGTCGATTGTCAAAAGGCCTGCTGATCTTGGAAGGAATGAACAAGTACCAAAAGAAAGTCAAGTGCGGATAGTCGTATCTCCATCTCCGAATGCCTTTCTAGAGCGATCAAAGCAATCTCATCTCAGGAGTAGGCCGAAACTCAACCAGGAATGGTACTTGTCGATAGAAATCCAGGTGCTGAATGGATGACAAAGTCTGAAAGCCCCTTCAATGCCTTTTAAATAGTTAGTAACCCTCTAATATTTTAGAGTACTATTACAATGCCAGTGTACCCTCACTTTTTTTGAGAAAAATTGGCACTACACTCAAAGCCAACCCCAAAAGCCGACAATCAGTATAATTCGCTCTCCTTCTATATATCAGCTTTATGGTTTATTCATTTTAGTAATGTTAGGTAATGGAAATGGGTGAGGTGGTTTTCTGGAACATTGACGAGTGAGGTTTGAAAATTCCTTAATTTGTAGTCGTCGACTATTTAATTTACTTTAAATTGAAGGCATTAGTGCGATGCTATTTCGTGCTACCGTCTTACCTAACTACATTTTTTCCGTATATTTCGGGAAAATTTTTGCGGTTCCTCGATGTTTTTCGGCCTAATTGAGGATTTCACGTTTGACTTTCATCGCTGTTTCTTTGCGGACAACATCAATGATTTCTCGCTTATCATCTTATCTTATCTTATCTCTTCGCTATTAGCAAACAATTGAGTGTTGCGTTGGGCCAAATAACCTTTCTTTCTTCCCCCATTAAAATAATCGGATAGTTCAGTGAAAGAAATCTGTGGAACTTATCAGTTTGTGTTTTCATTTCCAGTTGATTTATTAATGATTAGCATTTATTGCTTCTGGCTAGGATCGATCCATTAGCTAGTAGAATGACAGACGTTCGTTAAAAAATCCGCTAACGACAGAAACGCATTTGGTTCTATAAGCAAGAATTTTTTAATGGCAAGTTGGCAGCCAACTTTATTATTTGTCGATGTAATTTTATTAGGTCGTCACTGCTATTTTCATTTTTATTTTCACGCATAATTTCCAAAAATTTAACCTTTAGAAATCCTAAGATTTTTAAGATAATTTGTTTGGCCTAAAACTAATCAACTTTTCAGCTTTTGCCATTAGACTCTATTTTTGCCATTAGACTGTATTTTTTCGCTTTTGCGGGTGACTTTTTTTTATTTCTACTTTCCTGCTTTGTTATTTGCTAATTTAATTATATTTTTTTCAGTTATTTTCGCGCAAATGAAACTATGAATACCTGTTTAAGTGATGAATTGGATAGGTTAACAGAAGCTTTTAATTTTACTCCTGATTCAATTTTTGTCGATAATTTTGTAAGGAATTTCAATTCTCATTATTTTCGCTCATATTTTGTGAAAGCTAATTTTGTTTTCTTTGTTTTCGATAAAGTGGGATTAAAAATTTATTAAAAAAAATATTAAAAATTCGGCGAAAATGGTTTTCTTTGAAGAGAAAAGTTCTGTTTAGGATAATTTTCTGTCAATAATAACCAATTATTGATGAAATAGATTATAATTTTAAGCCATATTTTAGGAGATTCTAGTTTATTATCTTCTGTATTTTTTCTGGGTTTATTCATTATCCTAATTTTTATTATGAGTTTGTCTAAGCGTTTTTGCTGGATTAAAATTCTAGCGATTTCTTAAATATGCTTAAATATGCGTTATAAATAGCAAATCCAACTTTCTTTCAGGAAAATTGCCTTGAATTAGATCAACCTTTCAATACATTTTCAATATCGGTTAGCGAGTTCCATTTTTTTACATTGATTATTTCGAAATTTTTAGGTAAAACTCAACATTTAATGAAATTTTTAATTTTATATGGAATTATATCTAATAATATTTCAATAAAATGTTTTTAGTCTGAGCCACAATTTCCTGACTATGATCAACAGCATAAACTCGGTTCAAATGCAGCATGTACGTCAATTAATACTGAAATTGATTCAGGTGGCATATCACCAGCCTCAAGTGAATCAGGAATTGACTTATCGCCACTTATATATTTAGAGGTGTAATTTTGAGAATTTTCTTAAATAGTGAATGTATACTGGATGGCATTTCTAGCAGATTTTACGAACAAAACCGTTAACAATTAAGTAAAGTAATTAAAGTAAAAGTAATTTATAAACAATTCGAAAAAAAAGAAAATTAAAAAAATGAAGAAAAATTCTTGAATGCGTTTGTTTTACCAACTTCATTATATAACTGTGATAAATCAAATTCATCTGACTCAATCTCACTTGAAAAGTTTAAGAATGCATTTATATTCATTTATAAAAATATTGATTTAAATTCAGTTTTACTAAAAATTTTTCCATATTTATATTTTTTAATATGCAGCTTTTTCTTGTTTTTTTTTTTGTAAATTTCGAATTGTTTAGGAGCAGTGCGCCGACCTGACACGGCAAGGAGAGCAGCTTTTGAATTTTGCTTCCCCCTCTGATATGCAGAACCAAGAAGACCAGATTGCACTGCATTCAGAACCAGTGGTTGATGTTTCACGACTTGTACCTGTCACTCTTCAAACTGATAAGGTAATTTTAAAAAACTTTGATTTTCTTTTTTTACTTTTTTATTTTATTATTTCTTATAATCCACTTTTTAAATTGTTTTTTTATATTATTATCTATCGCTATTCCTTTCTTCGATTGTTTTCTAATTTTCAAGAGAAAGTTAAAATGAATTAATTTTAAAAATATATTATCGATGTTATCGTTTATTTTTTTAGCCACCGCTTTTAGCGAAACCACAACTTCTTTGTTTTGTGCCTTCTAATCAAGTGCAGCCGGTAACTCTAACATTCAATTCTTATTTTAGAAAACTAGTGTTTAATTGTAAAATTAATTTGGTGTATAATAATAATCTTATTATGGGATAAAAAATCCGTACTTTTATTATTAGCTGAATATGCCTCTGGAAGTATATCACCTTTTGATATTTTAAAATATATCCTTATTATTTTCATACTACAAACTTTGAAATTAAATTTACATCATGTTTATTTGCAGACAAAAGGTTTGTAGATCCTAAAGGAATATTTTGAGCCGTTTTGAGCCATTTCTTTCTAATTTTAAATCTTTTTTAATAAAATTAATTTTTTTTATAATATATAAGATTTTCTGATCTAAAAATTGGATATTTGAGGAAAATGTCACTGCACATTCACCCCATATAGCAGTTACCCCACAGAAAAGCGAAACATATATACAGACGGCATGCATGTTCAAGAATTTGTTGAAGGATGTAAATATTATTTTGTTATTTGTTTCCTTTTTGGTCATTTTTTTCGTTGAAATATAATTAAATAATATAAAGTGTTTCAATTGATAAAAACTTTTTCACTTTAAGTCTGCTTTTTCTCAGGAATTTGAAAAAAGAATGGAAATTCGAAGGTACAAAAATCGAGTAGCTGCTCAACGCTCGAGGATTCGTAAACGTGACGTAAGTCTTTTCGATATAATTGGTTCAAGATAATTTAATGTCCCATATAATCTGTTTTATAATAATGTTAGTTTCATTATTTCGAAATTTTTAAATCAGTTTTAAATGAAATTGATCATAAATCCCAACCTATTTTTTCAGCAATTTGCGCAATTAAATATGGAAATAGCTAAAAAAAATGCGATGATATCACAATTATCGGCTGAAAATTTGGCACTTAAGGATGAAAATGCTATATTAATGCAAAAACTTAATGCACTACAACATGAAGTTTGTTAAAATAATTTTTGAAATTAAGGCATTTAAATTTTTTTATGATTTTCTATGATTTCTTGTGTAGATGTTTTATTTATATGTTTCATTTATTATGCCAATATTTCTTCAAATTTTTTATGGTTTCATAGCACTTGTGAGTTCATGGTATTTGCGGTTTCTCTCTACATTTTCATGATTCCTTGCCTGTTACATTTGTCTTTTTTTGTGCTTTTCCAATAACTTCTCTAATTCTATAATTTCAAGCTCTTGTCAGTCAATTTCTCGTGTTCTTTTTTGCTCTCTCCTTTCCTTTTTTTGATTGTCTCATAGGATTCTGTATGCAAAAGTATTAGATATTAATAGCCAATTTTCTTTTTTTCGATTTCTTAAGATTTCATTTTTTATATTTATTGTACCTTTTGGGCCTTTGAGATTTTTTGCTTATTAAGAAAATATTTTATTTACATTGAAATTATGCCACTAATGTTTTTTTTCTGCATTTTCGATGCATCATACATTTTCCCAAAATATATTTATATTTTCTTTTTCACCTGCCTCATTTGTATTTTTTAATTTTTTCCATCATGATCTGAGAATGTCTGTTATAAAACTTAGCAAAATTTTTGACTTAAATTAGCTATCAGTTTAATTTTGAAATAAAATTTTTAGAATGAAGCATTAAAAACAAAAAAAGGCTATGGGAAAGCAACCCTTGCGTCGCTTTTTGCCGTTGTCTTTTGTTTAACTTTATGTGGATCAAAATTTCCGTTAGTTTTTTACGTGCAATTTTTGTATTGTATTTTTTGTCGGTTAATAAATGATATAATCGAATTTGATATACTTTTTTGAAAAAATTCGAGAGGATCAAAAGTTTAGCATAAAAATAGACTTTTATTCGCATAATTTTAAAAATTTTCTAGAGTTATGGAGCCGCTCAACTCAGATTTGGGTGATGCTAAAATAGATTTAAAGAAAGCAGAATTTGTCTTTACTCATCATGGTCGGGTCGCCCTATCAGTTGACACTGATTTAAATAATGTATAAACTTTTCTTTCTTGTTCGAAAAATTCACTGGATTTTTATTTTTTGAATTTAATTTAAATTATATTTTGGTATGTAATTATAATGGTTTCTCAATTATTTTATCTTTTTGTGATGTCTCTTGTTGGTTTCTGCTGAATTTTCCTAAGAAAATTTTATAGAAAAAGTAAAGTGAGAAATATATATATGTATATATAAAAGTGAGAAAATCAAACCTTAAGAGATATAAAATAAACCATTTTGAAAAAGATGTGGGAGATGGATCTGTTTTATGCTTAAACTTAATTACAATTAATTTGTTATCAAGGAAGAAAATGGCTCTTCGGCGGAACTGGAAGCACAGCAGAACAATAGTACTCCAGATAATAAAGTTAACTGTATAGAAGCAGTAAGGAAGTATTGGAACCAGACAGAAGCCATGCAGTATAATTAATATATTAAATTTTTGTACATTTTGAGGAACACAATTTTTTTTAATCTAAATAATTATTAATATTTTAATATAATCAAGATAAATATAATTAAACAGTCTTAAATTTCAATTTCAATATTTAAAATTCCGTCTAAAAGAATTTAATTTCATATTTGCAGGTTGAACAATGACGTTCAGGACTGGGTTGATCGCCATGAAAGTCTAATGCTCTTACAAATCCAAAAAACTTTCCGAATTCCTTTACAAAAATTACGCGATAAAACTAATAAAGAAAAAGCAAAACGAGTCGATAATTCAGTTTATGTCACAGAAAAACAAAAAGCATATTTTAAAAGGTAACTTTAGGCGAGTTTTCTTAAGTGAAAATATCCGTCAAAATGACGCAAAGGTTATTTTAATTCAAAATTATTATTTATTAACAAATTGTTCAAAGATCGAGACAAGATAAGGTAGAGGATGCCCGGCTAAAAGCAGCTCGTGAGAGGTCGTGGAGGCATATTGATATGATTAGCAATACGAATAAACAAAAACTGAAAGACCCGGAATCGTTGGGGTAATTTTTGATTTTTTAAAAATTTCTCTTTATATTTTGAGCGTTGTTTTCGCAAATATCGTTTTAATTTTTTCATTAATATTTTTTCAGTTTTTTTCATTTTAGGCAGAATAATAATTTTCCTGAATGGTTCACGCGTGATACCGGTCTTTTCGTTCCGTCAAACATAGAACTACAGTATATGGAGCTTTTAAAGACATTCAAACAGCGAGAAGATACCCTTTATTTCATGTCAATGAAGGTTAACCACAATTCTGCTAATAACATTCTGCTAACATCATTTTTTTTATTATCGTTTTGCAGTCTGGGTTGAATCCAGTGAGAGTTATCTGTTTGTCCATTTGCCGTTTTATCAATCAGAAATTTATTTCCATTTATTCCATTACTTCATGACAACTCCAATTTTATATTTTTTTTAAATTGCGTGGTTCTTTATGCGTTCAGTAACAAAAGTAACGGAAATGATCTTTATTTTTATTATTTTTATAGGATTATTATTTACTGCCAGCTGTTGATCGTAATGGTACCGAACGACCACTTTTGACACTTATATTGCCAGCGTTTTCATATAATGGAACGGTTCCTAATCAGGTGTGAGATATTCATTTCTTCATTTATTTTTTACATTGATACGATAATTTTATTCAAAGGGTAGCTATTTATTGGGATGGGGATTGGGCCATTTCACAAACATATCGCGTACCATGAGAACTTATGACGAACAAATTGGTTAAATGAACGATATTTTTCTTATCATTTGCTTTAAAAAATTGTAAATTTTCAGATCTCAATGATGCGGTTAGAGTGTGAAGTTATTGGAACTGGTCTCTTTCATATCCCAGAGTCTATACTACCAGCATTTCATTATCAACCTTGCAAATGATAAAATTTTGTCCATTTTCATTATATTTCTGTGATTTTATTTTTGATGTGTTCTATTTAATTGCTTTGGGTTTTTTGTGGTTTTATATCTCATAAGACGTTCAATCTTACATTTTTCTGTTCCTTGTTGTTCTCGTTACATTAGCATTTACTGCTGAAACCTTGAGAATGGTTTGAACCTTGCTATGGAACTTTATATTAACCTCATTTTCACTTCAGTCTTATCTCTTTTTTCGCAATCTTTTTCATTTTTAGTTTTTTGCAGCAACGTTCATAGTTCCTTAAACTTGAAGTAATTTTGTTTCAGACATAATATTGAGATATGGAGTATTATAAATGTTTATACAATGCTTTTTATTAAAGGGATTTATTAAGGTATTATTGTTTTTTTATTTTCTTATCTTCACGATTCTGTTAGAGATATTTCTGATATTTTACCATTGTACCATTGTGTATTTTAATATTATTATGAATGTTATAAGAAATAAAACTGAAACCATCATTTACAATTTTTTTCATTGTGGAAAAAACCACATTGTGGAAATTCTTCGCTTTTGGAGAACTATGCAAATTCTAAAACTCAAATTCTATAGGATTTTGAATGATAAAAGAGGTTATTTATGTATATGGATATTTTGAAGAGGTTTATCTTTTTAATTCTACCTTTTTTTTTTAATTTTAATTAATGCGAAGAATGTTAGAACATTTTGAATGTATGAAATTAGGTGATAGTCGTCCACACTTTCATCCAAATATCGTGTTGACATCGCACGCCTATCCGAAGCCTTCCTTAATTATAGGTTTAGAGCACCTGGCTCAAAAATCAGTCAGAAACTGGTAGGTCTATCATTGCTGCCAACAGAAGGAGAAATAGAGTCGCGATCACGATATAAGCAAAAATATCTCGGTTATTTGGAATTAGGTTAGCGCTCATGCAATACGCTACCTCAAGGAAAATAGTCAGACGGACAAACTCCTATATATCAACCTTCTCTCCTTCTCTCGAATACTATCTATATTTAGAATAAAGTCACAAAGAGTCACTAGTGCTAGTTTAGCCATGTTCTTCGTTGTCCACCACAAGAATTAATGCACATCCTGCTACTTGTCTTGTGGTAGATAAAATGAGGAGGGCCGATGAAAACCTGGACTGATGCAGTCAGGATTTTGAACCCATAGGTGATCCAGGTGATCTAGAAAGTGGATAAAGAAGCGATTTTATCCTTTCAGGAATGGTATCGAATCCGGAGGAAGTAGCTCAATCAGAAGTGAAGCGAGGCAAACCAGCTGTGTGCTATTAAAAGAAGACATTCTATATTCTACATAACTGAATAATTTCGTTTAAAATGTGAAGAAAATATTTTTATAATAACTGAATAGAAAAACGAGAAAAGTTTCTGAAGTTGGAATCGGTGCAATGGATGTTTTATGCTCAATCGAAATCTTTTAGTGGTACCAAACATTCCATAGGTTGGTGCAATTGAATAGTCCAAGAGATGGGATCTTTTGGAAGAATCGATAGGGGCGGGACATAGATCTCCAGGATGGATTTTACTTTCAATAGCAAGTTTCGTTGAGGCGACGAATTAAATCGACGATGTCTGACCTTGAATTGAAAAAGTCGTGAAAGGCATCGTTTATTTATGGGAAAAGATATGATTAGACTTGCAGCGAACTTAATTTTGCTTCTATTTCTTAGAATTTATTATCAGTTTTAAATATTAAATATTGGCGAGGAACCACAGATCTGCGAAGCCAGTCGCCTATAATGAGAAAAATTTATTTGAATAATTGCAATTTCTTAATATCGTTGGATTAACATCCATTTCAGGGAGAAACAATGTGCACTTTGTACAAAAATTTCTCTTTTTCGCTTCCAATTTTTCAATAAAATATTAAAATATTTATCGCGATGACTGACGAAGCAGAAATAACCGAGAACTTTTCATATAGTATTTCAAAACTTGCTTTGATTAACTCAATAATAGCTAAATTACCAATAAAGACGTAGCATTCAACAGCCAACGTTAATTAGCAATAAATATCTGAAGAGACCGAACCTCATTCAGGTGGTACCATCTGGAACCTCAATTTCAGCATTGTTTAAGACATTAGCCAATAGACAAGCGAATAGCTAACATGTGCTTCTCAATTAAAATTTTCACTCTTTCAAAGAAATCCATAAAAATTTTTCTAAAATCATTTAATGCCAAAAATTTCAACAATTAATATAATATTTTCACTTCTTTTGCACTACAGGAAGTACTCCACTCTACTGGACCGTTTATTGAGAAAATAAGTATTTCTATCGAATTATTTGAATAATCTTCCATGCACATTTTTATTTCACAGTTTACTAATTCATCTTAAACATTTCTCATTAATTTCAGTATAACTTATCAAATACGATTTATATCATATATATATTACAAAACATTTCCAATAATAATACAATCAATAATAATACAATCCAATATGAGATAAATAAGTAGATTACGACTCAAATTGCGTGACTTTCTGTGCTTTTTTTCTATTCATGATCAAAACGATTTTATCCTCGAAGCCATTTGAACGATTTACACCATCCCATCTATAACCAGGTGCAATATTGAACCGATTCGGTGGCCAACTACCCTTATATTTGGGATAAACTGCAAACAACTGCTGAGATAAATCTTGAGGGAGAAAATTTTTTTTGTTTATTTAAGAATCCTCACTATTATTGGTTAAACTGGCTCCGTTCGCTTGTCGCATTGGACAAATATGCCAGAGAATTCCTTGGCATAAAAATACAAATGAGTCGACAGCGTCAGTCGGATTTTTGGACAGGTTTACTCCTGCGGGGAATAGAACTTCAGTATTGGCTCTCCGAATTGAGCAACAACTCACTGAGCCATCCACTGAGGAAAAAGGTTACGATACAATAATTGAAGATAAGCATCAATTCAGTCTTCAAAAGCATTCACTTTAATTTTGGTTTTGCTTTAATTGATTCCCAACTTAATAAAACAATAAGCAAAGAAAACTGACCAAGAAAAAACTTTCAATAATTGGTTCAATCAACGTAGCTTTATTTTTAATATAACCAAAAGTCAAGGAAACCTTCCGGAACCTCCTAAGTCAATATTTATGACAAGACTAAACCTCAAAAGAAATTAAAATTTTGAAATATTTATGAGCAACAAACCAACACCACCACTTTTAACTCTTGCTTTTTCTTCCTTTTTCTTAACATATTGAAACATTGGATCTTTTTCATATACTACCTGGAAAATAACCTGCTGCAAATGAAAAATAATAAAATAATTAATTTCAATATATTAATAAATATATATGCATTATATATATGCATATTAATAAATATATATATATACGTAATAGCTATTAGCAGTTGGTAATGAACGAGAAAAGATATAAAAATGCTAATGAAAAGATAAAATACAACTCTTACATTCTTCAAATGTTCATTCATTGCTTCATCATCAGCATGGCGCGCGAAATTTTCCTTGACAACTCGGGCCATCTCATCAAGTTGCTCAGTACGCTGAAAATCAGTAAGTTGCGGTACTAAATACCATACAAATATTAGTAAGAAATTATTTCGAAATTCTGCAAATTTTGCAATATTCCTAACAACGCTCTGTGACTGAAAAGAATGAATATGAATAAATCGAATGAAAATTTGAACCTTTTTTCAGTCTTAGATGAAGAGATGAAGAAGATCATTAGCAAAAGTTTTATATCAATACAAAGGAAAACCATACCCTCTTTAACTGATATAACCCTTTGTTCCACTTTTCATACTTTTCTTGCAATTCTTTTTGCTTGCGTTCCTCTCTTTCTTTTTTTCGCTTATCTTCAACAGATCCTCTATCTTTACCAGTTATGTTAAATCGTTTCGGAATCTGTTTTTCGTCCAATTCATTTTTTTGCTAAAAATCCATCCTATAGATCCATATTTACTGTTAAATTCAATGAGTTCCCTGCTTCATTACATTCTATTGTATTCTAATTTAAGATCGAAATGATTTTGGATGGTAATCCTTCAATAAACAGATAGTCAGTCGTTTATATATTTCGATTATACGACCGTATTTTGGCAACTAAATTAGTTCCAATATCTCGATTATATATGATAATCTAACATAAGAATTCTTACAATCTGTAATTTTGTAAATTCGTAAAAACTTGATTTACCTTTGTCGATACATTCATTGATTTATCAACAATAGTTTCCTCCTTCGGCGAAAATCTCTCTGAAAATGCAAAAAAATTAGCCAGTCAAAACGTAGTGCAAAAAATGAAAGTTAGTTTCTTAACTGAAGATTGACAAAAAATGAAAAAATTTTCATTTAGATTTCACTCTTTTAATGATTCATATAAAAAAGTAAGAAAAAACTTAGTAAAATTGATTGTTTTTCATTACCTAATTTTATTCTGTTGAGCTGATATTTTTTGTTGTCAGATGATTCATATCGTGGTTTGAAAGTTCGTTTCACAGCTGGTAACTTGGATAACACCGAGTTTCGTTTATGAGATGGATATTCTACTGGGATGCAAGAGCCTGCTGGAGAAGAACGAAAATTCTTTCGGAGTGGAGAAACATCTGTGTCTGATTCATTAGTGCGCTTCCGGTTGTAAGAAGGACGATCCAACTGAATATCTCCTTTTCTGGAGTGAACCGATGGCTTAATTTCTTTGTATTTATTCGAATTCGTGAATTTGAGATCCCTTCTATTTAAAAAAGCTGAATCTAATTGTCCATGAGAATCGTGTGATAATGCACTCAATTTATCAGAATGAAACCTTCCCCTAATACCTCGAGGAGAATCATCGGACTGATTAGAATTGAATCGTTTTCTAACACGCCGAGGCGAATTATCTGACTGATCTGAATCAGAAATTTTTCTAATACGTCGCGACGATGTATCTGACTGATCTGAATTAAACTGCTTTTCACGCTTTTCAAACGATATATTATTATCAAAATCTTTTCCTCCATTCTCTTTGTCGCAGTTCTCTAATTTTTTTGACTGAGCGTTTGAAGTAATACTGGTCTGTTCATTGAACATTTTCGTTCTTTTTTCATCTAGTACTTCATCACTTGTAGAACTTGACTGCACTACGATATCTGAACCTTAACATCAAAAAGTCGTAACTTTTCAGAAAAAATACAAAAAAAAGAAAATATCTTAGCAAGAATTGTAAAAAAATACCGATTTCATCGACAGACAAAAATGTTTTCTTGAATTTCTGAGATGTATCTAATATCGGCGACTTAGTTTCACACTAAAACATTAAAAATTTTAAAAAGGAAAATTTTCGAGGGAGATTAATAAGATTTTTATAGAGGCAAATCTTATCATAAATATTCAGTTAGAAACTTCGGAGGTTTTTTATAGTATCTGATGTAACAATAGATAATAAACTAATATTTTAGAACCTTTGATTTTTGCTTTGATCACAAAAGCTCCCATTCTTAGCAATTCGAAAAAATTCTTTAAAAAGAAGGGTTAACCTTTTCTCTTAACATTTAACCTTATTCAGAAATAGCGAAAATTTGCTATTACCTCTGGTAAATATCATGCATTATTGATTCAAAAAATTGATATTCATAAATTAAATTAAAATAATTATAATCATTTTATTTATAATTATTTAAAATTAAATTAAATTAAATTAATTAAAATTAAAATAAAATGAATTATATTGAAAATTTAAAATATCTTTTTAAATAATACAAAATCGAACCGTTACATTCACTATTTCTTCCTCATCCGACGAATTTCTACTCGTACCGGGTTCGACAACCATAAAAGCATCTTCTTCATGGATTTTCAGGCTGAAAAAAAATTTTGAATGTGATTGCAATTTTCGATAATTGATAGTATAGTTGTACCCAAATCTAAGAGAAATACAACATATTGAAGTCGCAAGAAATCAATCAAAAAAACCAATGAATTTCTAAAAGATATGCCCGAAACAAATTGTCATCAAAAATTACCCTAAACTGATCTTTTGCTTTTTCTTTTTATGTTTCTTCTTCGATTCACGCGTACCATTCGATAGATATTTCTTCAAATACTCTTCCTTTGCTTTCTTTTCATCTGACGTATTCATCCCAAAAAAAATTCTTTAAAAATTAATAATAATTTATTAATAATAATTATTTCATTAATAATTATTTTCAAGAATGGATTAAAATAAGATCATGAAACCACAACTATTCCTTTGCATCTGATAGACATAACTGAATTGTTATAAAATTGTAAGTTGAAGATCATGAAAATTTCTGCTACAAACTATTATTTAAATTGTGTGAAAATTTAACTAATAAAGTAAATTAGTATTAATAAAAAATAAATTAAGTTAATAATCAATAAAAACAGCATAAAAAATTTTTGAAAAACAAGAAGCTGTTCAGATAAACAACGATAAGTAAATAGAGAATTATCTTTGTGAAATATTTATTAATTTATTACTGATAAACATAATAAATAATTATAATCGAATGAGTAAATTTAATAAAAAGAAAAAGTTAACCGAGGAAATTAACAATAACAAGGTGGAAAATAACATGTGCAAAGATGAAATCTGCAAATGCCCGTTCACAACTAATTTGTGGAAAAATTGCCTTATTTTCTGGATTCACTTGAATACGAAGTGAGGCTGAAAAAATAATTTATTGAATAAAAAGCAATATTTTAATAAATAAACATAAATATAAAAGGTAACTAAATGAAGGATAATAAAAATATACCTTAAAAATTAAAAATTAAATCAAAAATTTAATAATTAGAAAATCAATACATGGAAATTTTGAAATAAGAGGTTTTATACATAGAAATGATATAATCTATTTCTTCTATATTTTTTTTATTAATTAAATGTCTCTGTTATTAATGGATTTATAGTAACGCTTAAAATTACAAAACAAATTCTGTAGGCCTTTGAAAAATTTCGTTGAGAAACAAACCTGCAAGCACAAAACATCCAACTGTCGAAATAAACCCGGATAAGAATGAATTGAATGGAAAAGTACCGATACAAACACAATAAATGAACCTACAAAATGGTAATTTTTTGCAGCAAAATATTTTATCATTTACAGTTCATTTATTATTATATATTATTTATGTTTATAACAACAGATTTGAAAGAAGAAATTAAAAGAAGAAATATGCTTTTCCTAATACATCTAAAACACCAAAAAACCAACGAAATATAATGCTGATATTGGCTTATGTTAGCATTATCATTATCTTAGAAAATGGACAAAAATCAAGAAAACTCAAGAATTCCACAGTCCCAAGGCTAATGGTATGAATCATGGAATTTATTAAATGATAAAAATTACCTAATATTTTTTTTGGGAAATCGTTTTTATTCAGATATCAATAAAAGGATTCAAAGAATATAAATTATTAGATAATAATTAAAAGGAACTTAGTTTCTTACTTAATAATAAAAATTATAAAAAATTTAATTATTCAATATGCCGAATTTGTTTTGTAGTAATTCCTCTTCTTCTTCTAAAAGCTTTCACCATCACTGGTTAGGCTAGCTACAAGGTAAATCATCTCTGTTGTTCGGTCTGTTGCCATCGCTAGTAGTAATAAAAGCCATTCCTTTTTCCATCGTTTAAGTCCATATATCGCTAGTTCCTCTATTGGGTGGCGAAGGACATGCCCTAATCATCGAAGGCGATGTGATGGTACCGATAAACAGGTGGTATCTGAGTGAAGGCTGAAGCGACTATGGAAGGTTTTAACCACTCAGCGGACCCATAAAATATATCTTAGATATGAGTGGTCGAAGGAAGATAATTCTTAATACCTTTCACTCTCACTGCCCATATCTCGCAGCCACTTAGCAAAATAGAGGTAATTTCAACTATATAAATGCGGAATTCTATGGTGATTTCGCGACGACTATTATAAAGGTTTTGTCAACCGGAAGAACGCCTTTCTAGCTTGTCCGAAAGTCAATTGTTTCTTTCGCTTGATAGTTTGAAATTAGAGTGGGTCTGAGGAATTTATAGTCTGGCACTTCCTCAACCGGTAATGAATTGATAAGAATAGGTATTTTATTATAACGAGCTAATAATAGTGATCAATTTGATCAAAAAGTTAATGTACGCAGAATCGGGTCACTCACTCGAATTTTTTTAATAAATTCACTCCTGTTAAGACCAGTAAATTAGGCAATAAATACTCGACGCAAATAATCTAAAGTACAAAGCAACCCTACTATTCGACTATTCCTACCCTAATTTAATAACGGAATTAAGATGATAAAACTAAAAAACGACAAAAAATGAAACTATTAAGTTTCTCTAAATAGGCAAGGAAATAAAAATTACAATCAAGAACAATTAAACAGTTAAAAGAAAACTTACTGGATAACTCCACTAATAAACACATAAAACATGTATGCATCGATGATTTTTAATTTTGATGAGGTTGTTCGCCGATAATCTTCGAACAATTTGCATATTACATCTATCAACTTCATTTTCGACAAAGCTAACTAAAAAAACTTGTATTAAAAATCAATATATACAATTTATAAACATATCAATAAAAATTTTTGGAATTGGATTTTCAGAAGAATGATCTTCAAAATTTCGCAATCGAATCATCGTTTTGAATTTTACGCTCAAATATACACTAATTATGGGATCAAGGAGGTTGAATGGATAGTGGTTTAGACTACTTCGTTGAGAGGAAAAGATACGATTCCTTTAGCGATATGAATAAACCTATCATTAAAAACTTTGACAGTACTGATAACTCTATGGAGAATGAGTGAAAAAAATTTCGAAAAAAGACCGTCTGGTATAACGAGCAGAATCCTAAGGCGATTCTTATGAACCGTTCTCAGTGACTGAAACAAATGGTAAACAATCATGTAAATTCTTGAGCCGAGAAAACTCTCACGCAAACTCGAAAAGTTTTAAGAGGAATTTGGACATATTATGAAATATGAGAAAATCAATGCTTATGGATGTAAAAAATCATGTGATCGTGCATACAGCATCCAAATATCGTGTGGACATCGCTTGCTTGTTGGAAGTCATCTTTCTAACTGTAGGGACAAAGTGGTACCTGAATCTGTTTGACTCTATCTGGTTTTGATAAGAACTACTGGATATATCACAGTAGTGTTTCTGATACCTTATAAGATAGGAAGAAATCTAGTCGCAATCGTACTATAACAAAGGGTATAGCCAGATCTACCAGCTGTCATCGTTTGGAACCCTATTAATGACCGGTTGGCCTATGCTACCTTTAAAGTGCAAGTTTTGCGATGTCAATTAGTGTTTATTTTCTGGTGCACGGATCACTTAAATAAAGATAGATTTCGTGCCGAATAGATTTTGTCTTAACAGTATCTTTCCCAAAAAATGACGACACTGTAATCGTGAAGGATTAGACTAGGAAGGCTGAGGCTGTTTCATTGTCTTCTGTTGGCAAGTTCTTCCGTTGGAGAGTTTTCTTCGTTTTGCTGAAAATTTCGAACTTTTCACCATCGATATATGCTATCATTGCAGAATACACCTAATTTCAGAATTCATCAGATCAACATTTCGAACAGATTTGTTGGTCAATCATAGCTGGAAGACTTTCGTGAGAAGAAGATTTTATAGTCCCTTATGTCGCAATGGCTGGCAACACCCACAAGTCTGATCATATTATAGTTAGCGCCAAGATCCGAATGAAACACTCAAAACATAGCGTTTCCAAGATCAATTATTTCAAGTTAAATAATGGTAAAAGTCAGCACACTTTGAGATAATGAAATAGATAAAGGACTTGAACAATGTCTAGAACTGCAAGAGTACTGACCCTACTGAAGGAATTAACTAAACCCTAGGATGCATGACTCAAAGCAAAGTAAGCCTCAGATGAAACAGTCTGACTGTTCTACTCCACTGCCAGACCAGAGTGTTATTAAGGAGATATTAGCTACCCATCAGTTTGTAGACTCGAAAGGCAAATGAGATAAAAACCGGTACTGGAATGGTACGGCTTTTAATAAGATGAGGGCTCGAGCTATTCCGTCTATTTCGCAAAGCAAGCTTTCGCAGTCAGAGAAACAATCAGTGAAATTGTTCACGATAAGGATGGAAACCCCATTCCCACTTAAACCATCAAAGATCGTCCGATGAAAATATCCCTACAGTTCATAAGCCTATAACTCGCAGAGAATGCCTTTGTGCGGCATTTTTCAAATATACCCCAGCGTTCTTCACAACACAACAGTAAAGACTATATTCACTAAGAGAGGATATTGTAAAATCTGCCGGTCTGCCGGTACTTTTGGTCCAATCGACAAGGAAGTACTCTGTAAGTCAAATAACATGATGATCCAATGAAGTTGATCGAACTTTTCAAATCGAACTTTTCAAAAACGCACTATCAAGTACCATAGGTTAGCAAGCAAATTGTGTATAGAGAAGATTGATATAGCCTCCTGAAATATGAACCAATGTCCGCCCCTACAATTTTTTATTAAGGATAGGTTGCCTTTAAAGCTAATAAAATCGCAATTTATATGAATTTATATTCGACAATGGCTCGGACTTTAAATATCTCCGACTTGTGACAAATCTAATGGGCAGAAAAAAGATGGAATTGCAGCGTGTAAAGCAACGACTGCTTTATATTGCTCGTCTGACGGTGCCAATGCCGAGCATTACTTATGGGCAAAAAATTTTAAAATTTTACAAAAATGAATAATTTTGAAAAATTAATTAATAAGGAATCGTCACCTCTCATAAAAATTTTAAACTCAAAAAATATTTAAAATGTGAAACTTTAAAGAATCCAAAGAACAAATCAACTAAAAACCACGATTAACGATTAACTAGCACAAACGCAAAAACGCAAAAATTCAACACGAAAGGCGAGAGTTAAGAATATGGAAGATAGCTAAGGTGGCAGCGTGTCCAAGGCTAAGGTGGCAGCGTGGCCAAGGCTAAGGTGGCAGCGTGGCCAAGGCTAAGGTGGCAGCGTGGCCAAGGCTAAGGTGGCAGCGTGGCCAAGGCTAAGATGGCCCACTCCTAGGAACCTAATGTATGTGCTGCCATGTCTACTTTGCAAAACCTTTTATATATAAGCACCGAATCAACGAAAAAAAACGATTGAATCGGTTTACGAAGCACCAACTTTTTTTGCTAAAAAGAATAATGTGAGCTGGAATGAATGCAGATCCAAAGTGCTAATTAGCAGTCTCGGCCGAATGGCTTACGATCCGAGATCGAAAGTTAGTGTTTAATCAATTGCTGCGTCATCGAATGGGCAGTGGGATTGAGGTTAAAGGTGGTGTAGGGGATTTGGTGCATTGTGGGCTTTCTAACTTTTTGTATTTGGAAAACCCACTGCCGGTTCGAGTGGGATGCAACATCATTCTCAGTCACATAAGATTCATGGTGAATGAACAGTTTTCAGGCGAGTATAAGGTGAACATGGCGAGAGATGGACATCCGGTGTCTTTTCCTGCGTCTTGATTGTATGGAAACATTCACCACTGCTGGTAATTATTTATGGTTAGGTATTATAATTATTAGATAATTAGCATAGATAATCGAGAACTGATTTGTTATCAGCGATTAATTTATTGCCATATTTCTTGTATAAAAAAATCCCTTCCTATGGAAACTTCCTGTCGGTAATGCAGCTCATCCTCAACTTTGGGTCTTCTACCAGAAGCCTGGAAACTTAAAGATTCTGAGCAATATCTTAGCCATTCTGCGCTCTTCTAGACAGCGATTTCCGAATCTCCGACGTATTTTATATTAACAAAAACATTTATGTGAATAGGCGGTTTCGAAAAGGACTCATCATTTTTGGTTTGGTTGGCTGCAGTGGCTATTAGGATGAGAGATTTCAGTCGTCAGAAAGTCTTATTTGGAAGTAGAAAGTTTAAATTCTTCGCTATTTTGGCACCCATCACTTCCAGTTCTCTTCCCGTTATTATGGTTAAAAATTCGCTGCGAGGGATTCATCTGGCGATTGAAATTAGTGGGTCATTAGCAGCACTCGAATTTTCTAGTGGCAGATTTTCCTCGTCGGGGTCAGACCTTTGATGCTGCGTGCAGATCAAAGCAGTTATGCCGTACTTTACTCTGTTTTATTGTAAAACAGTCAAGAAAGTATGATATTTGAGATGGGATGAATGGTTTGTTGGCTACTAAAGAATTCCTAGGTAAGTAAAGTTAAGCGAACTCTGGAAAGTGGGATAAATATAAATTTTCCGAATGGATTATTTTGCTTCGTTCCGATACTTCTCCGGATAAAGTTGTCATATTTAGAAAAGGTTCATATATCAAGTTTTCGAAATATGAAATTCTCCGGATTTCGTCCGAACATTCATATTTATTCAACAAAGAAAATTTCGCCATTCAAACATTCGTTAATTTTTGTTTATCATTTTTATCATAATTAAAGAAATATAGAATTTCTGAACAGACAAAAAGTCGAATAATAATTCCCTCAGTCGAAACGCATTGCCTACTACTTTATCTCGACAACGAGGACAAAAGGTTATAGATTCACGTAACCTTTCATTCTTCCCTTTTCTCTCTCCTTTCTTTCCTTCCATGATTGCATTTTTCTGCTTCCATGTGGTTTTCTCGTTCGTAGACTACCATAGCAGATTAGAATAGCCCACAAGTATTGTTTTACTGACTCACCTTACTTCAGTAGCATATTCGAATTTTAGCATCACGGCAATATTTTCAAATGTTTCCTATTTAATGGCATTGTCGGGGATCTCGTTGGTACCAACAACTTCAACAGGAGCAGATCTCTGTTGTAATATTTATATTCTTCTAATAGAACCCCTCATTTCTAGCTCATTGCACTGGATACTAGGATGAGGCTAAAATTGGATATGAGGTTTACAAATGGATAACTTCAGTATTGGTCGATTTTGAATTGCAGTTTTACTCAGTCTACATTCTTACTTGCCAACAAAAATGCATTCTGGTCTAACTTTTTTCCAGAAAATGTATTCCAAGATGATTTTAAAATTTGATTCATTTAGATAAAACTATTAAAGAAGTTGCATTAATCATTGAAATAGAAAAAGAATATGGCAGATTGCTTAGTTCCACGAATTTTGCTCATCCAAACGTTCATATTTTCGTTGGCAACCTTTGTTAATGATATGAAATGTTCGGTGATATATGCGACGATCTTAGAGAAATTTTCCGAGCTGGTGAAATGGTATGGTATCATTTCTTCAATTGAACTAAACTTAACTGCTTTAAAAAGCTTTAAGAAGTTTATTAGGTTGAAATCACTATTGAACAAGTTCCGGATTTAAGCTGGGCAAATGCAAAAATTCATGCAGTAATTCCATGCACAAGGATTTCACAAATTGCTGAATTTAATGATGAACATAAATTTTCTTGATTTTCTACAACTCTCAATCTTTTTTCGCGATTTTCAGGCGATTTATCAAAAATTATTTGGTTTTTTAAGTCGGTATACAATGTAATGTAAGTGAAAGCAATCACGACGCCACTTTTCACCGATTTTTTAATTTCTATTCGAGTAAACTGTTTTATTATATGAGGTTTTCAGCCAGATTGATCTCCATGATAGTTCTTCAAAATTTTTTTATATCTTCGGCATATACAGCAGAACATGAACTTGTAATTCTTCATCAGCAAATCTTCCCATCGCAAGAAATAATTTCAACATTTTTGCAGAGAAATTCGTTCAGTTTTATACACCACAAGGTTAAGGTTTGTGTATCGAGCAGTGTGACTGTTAGGCAAAGCAAATATGCATTCGCGAAAACGCCAATCAAAACTGTCGGAAGAATCATTTGAACTCAAAATCCCAACGATAATTTTTCGAAAGTTTTCGTTATCTTTGGCATTTTACATAAACTCTACAATAATTCAGATGTCGTGGCGGGAATTCGCATAAGTCGGAAGATCAGTAGAAGGACGAATTTTGCGAGCTCCACGGTGGATTGCCTCTTCAGGAATGGATGCCTCGATTAGGAAAATTGCTATATTTGTGCAAAAATTTGGGCCAAACAGGATGGGATTTGCCACTATTACGAAGGTTTCTAGATCACGATAATTTCTTGATTCAAAAAATAAATAAGTGGAGAAAATTTGGATAATTCACTATGTCGTTGTTATTCCATTAGCACACGACTGTTTACACTGGGACGGTAGTACATTTTTGAAATTTAGAAGGTTTTTGAAATGGTAGTTTTTTAGTTCTACACATCGGACTAGGAATTATTTTTGGTAATGAGTCGCTGGAATCCTAGATTTCTAAGCCAATTTTCACTTAATTCATAGAAATCCTGCATCAACGATATCCATAAATGTGCTTTTGAAAGGGTAGGGCGATTCATTTCATATTAAGCCATAGCCATATTAATGGTTATAGGAATAGAAATCTGTGAATTCGTTAGGGCTTAAATTCTATTTTTATTGAATCTTCATTTAATCATTCTGTACTATTTGTTCGTTGCATTTTTTCATGAAGAGAGTGGATCGTCAGCACCAGTGACGTTTCTTAAAGACAAATTTATTTTTGTTGGGACCATTATAACTTTTGTGAAAACGGTTAACAGTAATAAACATTTTTCTAATCGTTTTTACAGCATCTCAACCACGGAGTTGTTTTGTGCCCGAAGGACTATGAAGATTTTCGATTATTTGGTGAAATTCTTTATCCATTTGAAGCGGTTCCAAATGATCAGAAAGTTGAATACAAGGTGTTTGCTATATATTTTATGAGTGTTCTTATTCATAGATTAATCAACGAATAATTAATTTCAACGTACAGAAAACAAGGACTGCTGCTTTCACTTACATTTTTAGTTTCATGCAATCTCAGAAATTCAGTTAATATTAAATTAATATTAAATTAATATTGTTTAATATTAAATTAAACAAATATTTTTAAAAATTTTGGATTTTTGGAAATTTCATTTATTTCTTTTTTGTAAATAAATCTTTAAGAAAAAACACAAAGTCGGATCAATATGTTATTATCAAGCTTGCTTAGAGTTACCTGGAAGAGTTACAATTTAAGTATAGCGCTTATAATTTGGAAGGTGTCGACGGAATGGGAACGGTAGTACGGCAGTTAATACATTACAAAAGTTTTTCAACCTAACTAAGCCTCAAATCTATTTATATCTATAAAAATTTTAACGAATGTTTTTCATTTTCATTTAAAAATATAAATCATAAGTTTCGTGAACATCTCTTCCGGTCAGTTTTTTTATGAAAAAAATCCATTTTTACTGAAAAGCAAATTCATTTCGCTAAATTTCTTCATTTTCTCTCAGTAATGAACCATAATGAATGAATTTGCCTTTAATTTATGGCCTTTAAATCGTGCTAAGTGTCATAATATGGAAAATTATTTATTATTTCCTTCTAAGAGAGAAAATTGAATTTTTTCCACTATTGATCATTTTTTAATCGAAGTTGCAGGGCTTTAATTTATTTATTTGTTTAATGTGGGTAAATGGGTGGATTTAGGCTTGATTAAAGTGAAAAATTCGTTAATTCCAGCAAGCAACCGGAGAAACTGGGAAGTCGGATCCTTCATTACTTGAAGCAAGGAATGTTCGACCAACGCTAGCAGAAAATGATCGTGAACGATTGACTGCAGATAATAACAGTCTTCATAATCAGGTGGTAAATATTAGCGAAGTGGATTAACCTAAATTTTCATCTTCAATTATTGTAAATAACTAAAATAGTATGTAAACATTTTTTAAATTTTCTGTTCTGTTCTTTGTTCTTTTCTGGATTTTTTAAAATCAGTTTATTTTTCTAATAAAGTTTGTAGCTCCAATTTTTCATTACCATTTACTGATATGTCCACTGATTCGGTTTTGTAAAAGTCTTCTTTTGTCATTTAACTTTTCAGGATCAGAATGTTATCTTCCCTATGTTCACTTTATTTGATAACTTATCACCAGCTGTTAATGAGAAACAATTTGACTCAATAGTCGTGAAAGATTCGTCGATTCTAAATGAAATGAAATGAAATCACAGCATGACCTATCTACAGTTGATTCAAATTCCATGTTAAATAGTTGTCAGTTTTCCAATGTAATTAAGAGGTACTTATTATCTAATTTTATTTCTTTCTTTTATTTGGGATATTGAAACGATTGGTTAGTTAAAGCACATTTTCTGATGTTTTTTTCTAAAAATCATTTATTATTTGCTACTTATCATTTATGGTGAAATAATAAATATTTATTTATTATTAATCATTTATATTTCTATATCTGTATTTGTATATCTGTTCTCTATAGATTTTGTAACCCTGTTAATGATTTGATGTTTCTTGAATTCAAAGATAATCCAAAAAAAGGGATTATGCGATGGATTTATGCGGATTTAGCGATGGAGAAGAGGATAAGGAGAAAAAGGAGATGGATAAGGATGAAATTAGTCCAACAAATAAATCGTTAGGAGATTTTCATCTTTATTTCTTTTGATACCCTAATGATAAGTGGTGTATTAATCATTTTTCCTATTAACCAGTTCTACCAACTAATAATTTCAATGCAAATCAATTTCTAGACAGGAAGTAAGCAGCAAAATTCATTCAGTGCCTTCTCAGTCATCAAATTCATCACAGACATTCGATATGCCACTGCATTATTATTTTATTTTCTATTATGATTAGATGATGAGATTTAGTATGTTCGAATCGTGTGCATAGTCATCATAAAGTAATAGGTCATCAAATAAATATTATAGTTTTTTTGAGGTGAATTTTTCATCTTTTCTAAAAAGAGCAAGCATGGACAATTATCTGTTTGTATAGTAATGAAACATTATGAGTTTCATTCTGTTGAGTTTATGAAAATTTGCCAGGTAGTTCAGAATTAAAGAAATTAACATTTGCGACATTGCATACTCTACTAAATAATATAATGTTAGCAACAAGTAATAGAAATGAAGTGTATCCGATAACGTATAAATTAATGAAGAAGTGCTAAGGTGATTTTCGAAATTTATAAGAGATGATTTTAATAACTGATAAAGCTTTTTTGCATTTCACAGTGGAAGCTACTCTAGAATATGGGAGGGTCAGGAATAACCACTAAAATTCGAAACTAACGGTAGGAAAATACTACAAAAGTATTTGTGGGAAATAAAGGAAGCAATTCTTTACGATCTGCTTAAACCTGGTCAAACTACCTCTGATATATATACATATTTCATCTTAAACTTGCAATGTGGTCCTGTAGAAAATGTGATCCGCCAAAATAATGACTTTACTTTAAAAAAAACTCACCAAAAGGAGAACATGGCTTGGAAGTTCTACGTCATCCATTTTATAGCCCTAGCATTGCTTCGTTTCTGTTTCTGCATTCTGTTTTCTCATTTCAGATCTGTGCAATCCAGAGGAAAAAAATTTCATTCTTTTGATGTAAAAAACCTTGAAGAATACTTCCAACATATCAGTTGAAATGGCCTTTTTTTGCGACCTGCTCTTTCGGAAATATAAAAAATAAAAACTGACTCATTTAATTTTCAGAAGAAAATGAAATATTCGATGATGAGATGACTAATATGAATCTTAAAAATGATTCGAACTTTGAAGGCAAATTGAAAAAATCACTGAAAGATACTCTTCACAAAGATAAGGTGAGATTATATTTTCCGTTATAGCTGTTGAAACAAACGAAATTCAGGAATCAGCCCTTTAAGATCAGTGGAATCATCAGTTAAAATATAAGAGATTTCCAAATAATTGAGGAACTTAAGAATGTGGCAATCAGCAAATGACCCATTTTCCCATTGCAACTTGGTTAGCCAGATTGTGCCATTGCTCATTGCATTTAATTTCTTCTTCAGAAATAATTTATTTTGCAGATTTACGCGAAATTTTTCACCGAATTAATGAAATAATTTTCCCGAATTTCTGAATAATACTTTAATTCTATATTTTTTAACCATTGTATTGTACTTATCCAAATATTTTTAAAAATTTTTAATAAAATCGTAAAGTCATGAATATTCATAAAATCGAAAGAAAAATTTCAAAATTTCTAGCCAAACTGATTTATTTGATTGTTCGATTATAGTTGATTTGAAAAAATATAAGAAGTTTTCTTTTCATCTACACAGTTAAAAAAATTTTACATTTTAGATTTTAAAGCAAAATTTTTCAAAAACTTTTCCAACGAATTTTTATGAATTTATAATGAACTAATCGCAAGGAGGGACCGCATTTTGTACAGTGCAGATTATCTGTAGCTCAAGTACCACAATTCACTTACTCCTCCATTATCATTGTCACTAAATAGTTATAATCATTTTTTATTATTACTTTAAAGTATTAGTGCTAAGATTGCTGTTACAGCGTAACATCTTAAATAGAGTTCCGGCGCTACTAGTGCCTCATCTGGCATTTCCTCCCCTAAAAGACTGGCGATAGTGGCCAACAAAGCCCGGAAAGCCAAAACTGGAGAAAGACATCAAAGCAAAGATGTGCCTTTAGCAACTAAAACTGACTGTAATACATTCGATGCCTGTAATGCGCCCAACTCACTCCCATTCGCGCGAACAAGTCGCCTGCTTCCTTGTGCAGTTCCACCATTCGCTTCGCTGTATTAATTGTTTGTTTATGCACCGCATTTTTGCGTGCAATGATTGCTTGTTTGCGTGTAAAAATCGCTTAATGTGCGCGTTTGTGAAATTGTTTTGTAAATGTCCGCGAAAAACATTTATGAAAGACTTCTCGAATTTTCCAGTTTCGCTTCCACTCTCATCTTCTGCTCAATGTCTGCATTCACTGCTGTCGTTCTTAATCGCCAACTGCACTAATGCGGAAAGACTAAAATGCCACGAAATGCTTCTGCAAAACTTCACTCCATCTCCCATTTCCGCTTACATCCATTGGCTGCAAGCACAATTTGAGAGTTTTTGCCGAGGAGGCGCTTGGCGAGGAAAGCACAGGTACCGAACGATCTTTTTAGTGATTCATCGGTTCTTTTTGACATCAAATTGGATCATTTCCTAGAAGAATGCCTGCGAATATATTAAACAAAAGAACTCGTGCACTTCTCTGGAGACCAACAGAACCCGTGCACCTCTCTGGAGACCAACAGAACTCGTGCACCTCTCTGGAGACCAACAGAACTCGTGCACCTCTCTGGAGAACTTGTGGACTTCTCAAATAGTCCATCGAAATCCATTTCACAATGTAGTCGAAATATCGTTCAAAGCAAGGAGTAGAACATTTTCTTCTAATCAACAGTTCTCGATGCCAACGAGAATTGTGACGCCCAGTCAGCTGTCGCGAATTTTTGCAGCCCGCGGCCCATTATTCTGCAGCCGCTTGAAATTCTCTGCTAAATCGAAAACAATCGTCGTTTCCCTGATTTTCGATGGATTTTCTCTGCAAATTTATCGTGTTTTTGTTTCAAAAAAAAATTTGAAGACTTTTTTACACAGCGAAAATTAAATAAAATTAATTTATTAATGCTGAAGTGGTACTTCCGTGTTTTTAATTCGCGTCCATTACTTACTCAATGCATTATTTCGGGTAATTATTTTATGCATTATTTTAATTATCTTTTAAATTCCCAAGATTCCTTTGTTCACACTTTTTTATCACATTTTTTTAAAATTTGGGGCTTTTAAAATTTGTTGATAATTAGTTCCATTAAAATTATTAATAATTATTAATGTTGCTACTATTATCGTTATTTTTTTATTATTATTACTATTTTTATTATTATTGCTATTATTATTATTGCTATTATTGTTATTGCTATTATTATTATTAATGATCATTGCTATTATTTATTGTTATTATTAATATTAAAATAATATTATTATTAATTATCATCAATATATATATATATATAAATTTATATTTAATTTTTTAAAAAATATAGGTTTACTTGGTGTCGCTGGCGATGCAATTAGTCAAATTATCGTAGAACGACGAGCCATAAATAATTACGATATTCGACGATCTGGTCGATTTCTCGTTATCAGTTCTGTTTATATAGTTAGTCTCCTAATTCGGCTTCCATTCATTTATTTTTTCTATATTTTTATTTGTTAATTATTACTTATTAGATTTTTAGGCTCCATCATTGGCAAAATGGTATAAAATATTAGAACTGGTGAAAGGTAATGCAAAATTACTTCCACTGAAACGAATGGTCATCGATCAGGTGTTTTTAAATGATAGCCGATTAACCATTTAATTAACTTTCTTTTCGTTTTTTTAACAGCTCTCCATTACCGGTTAGGCTGGCTCCAATGGCTACAAGGGTAAGATGCTTACAAGCGGCGTGGTCTGATGCCGTCGTCGGCAGTAATAGAAATTCGAGTAATAGAAGCCATTCCTTTTTCCTTTGTCTAAGTCCATATATTGCTGAACCTATAAAATCTTTCCTGGCCGTATCAGTCCAGGTCTTGATTGTCCCACCTTGCTTTTGACGCCACCCAACACAAGATTTAGCAAATAATGGAATATGCGTCAACTCGTGTGGTGGACGACGGAGAATGTGCCCTAACCAGCGAAGGCTCTGTGATAACATTATTTATGCAATTGAATGAAGGTGGATGCGATTATATGATATTTTATCCGCTCGACGGGCCTGTAAAATATACCTTAGGCAAGAGTGGTCAAAGGTATATAGCTTCTTAATATCCTCCACTCTCATTGACCATGTCTCAGAAGTGGCAAGATCGAATCATGTATCACGGCTATATAGATGCGAACTCTTGGTGGCTATATAGATGCGGACTTTTAATGGTAATTTCATGACGATTCCATAAAGGTTTCGTTAACCAGAAGATCTCATTTCTAGTTGCCATGATCCGGGCTATAATGTCGTATTTTGTCTGGCCATTTGGTATTAGAGTGGACCCAAGGTTTAAAATCAGGCACTTCCTCGACCGGCAATGAATCTACAAAAAGGGGCATTTTATTAGGTTCTTGTACATAAGACGAAAAGACTTTCGTTATTACATTGTACATTAATATACATTGACCCTGAGTCCTATTCTTGCTGCAGTTTCTGACACCGTTATTTAGTATTACTTACATTTTGTCATAAAGGACTACACCATCAGCGTATTCAAGATCTATTATACGATGCTCTGGAATGATTTGGACACCCCTTGAGTGCCCACAACCGATGTCCATTACCTAATCTACTGTATAGTGGAATATTGTAGTGAAAAGAACGCAGCCTTGACGCACACCAGTTGACACCACTTCTTTCTTTCAGAGGATTCTGTCACTTCTCCATATGCACAGACCTATGCCGACATACACTTACAAAATTCCTTTATGAGTCGAATGATTTTCTCTGGAATCTTCTGTTCTCTGGAATACCATTGCGTACCATCATCCTCCAGTGTATTTACTAATTGAATCGAAGGTAGCCGCAAAGTCGATATAATGGTGGGTTGCACACATATGAAGAGATGTTCCCTTTTTAACGTAAATATCTGGTTAGTGCAGCCGCGTCTCGACATGAATCCAGCTTGATTAGGGTGCATCCTGCCGTCCCGTACTGCCATAAGTCTACTGAGTAAAAGGGAAATAAAATTTTTCGCTGAAAGATGTAGTAGGCTGATTCCTCTATAATTTTCGCAGTATGTCTCATTTACTTGGGGACTGGGAGCAGAATTGCTTTGCTCCATTTATCTGGTAATATGTCTTTCTTCCATACTAGAAAATACATTTGTTGAAGGTGCGTTATGATGGACATTTGAAGAGTTCAACTGGAAAACCACCTTTTCCTGGGGTCTTATTGACCTTAAGCTTATCAAGAAGCATTTCATGAACGATCTAAATTTATTTTTGAAAATAAAATGTAAGGCAAAAGCGCTAGCAGCGAGTGGTTTCGATTCACCTACCTCTGGGTTATGGGTCCAGCACGTTTCCACTGCTATAATGGAGATTATTTCTTCTTCTGTTGGCGATTCACAGTTGCAAACAGATGGTTCGACGAACGTATCAGCTATGTCCAGGTCAACATATGACGCATCATAGTTAAGTTTGGCCTCAAAAAATTTCATCCATCTCATGAGGCGAACATTAACAGACATCATTATTTCGTATTATTTCACTGATTTATAATTGCTTTATGATGAAGGCGGAATATTTTCCTATTATCGTCTAATCGAGCTGCTATGTCGCTCCAGCAGCAATTTTTGTCCCGTCGTGCTGCTGTCGTTGTAATTCTTCTAAGCACCCGATATCAGGATTTCCTGATATTCTGACTTTAGTAGCTTTTTCAGATAATTTGATTTTTGCTTCCTGCATCCAACTAGCGCACTAGTATACCCTGGCGTGGAAGTGGCTGACTTTTGGAGACATCCCTTTAGTTTGGACCAGTATTCATTTGCCGTTCCAGAAAAATCATTGTATCATTGAAATGCTTCAATAATTCGGTACTGAAATGCGCTACTGTTCGCAAATTTTAAGACAGTTGAAAGATCTTGGGGAATGCTGTTTTCTGCGATTTGTCAATTTTATGGGAATCTTGGCTCGAATCATAACATGTTTAGATCCATGAAGTTTGTTCGTTTCAGCGTTTCGATAGGAACGACTATCACGGAATCTTCCAGTGGCGACTAACAGAATCAATCCGGTTGAAGTGTTGATTATCTGGGAGATGCCGGAAGTAAATATTAGTAACAAAAAATTCCTCTTCAACATAGCAAAAAAGGCGCATCGATCTCCAATGCCACATTTGCCAACTGTCGAGGTCATCGCAGCGGCATTATAACTTATGCGCATATTTCTATTCTTTCTATGGCCATTTCGGTTTAGGCTTCGTAACTGTTGAAATTCGGTATAGAACTTATTTTTATCACGGTCATCTGCCGACAAGGTTGGAGCATAGACAATGATGATCGAGATATTGCAGAACTTTAAATCTAAATTATATCTATTTCCTTGATAGATTTCGAGCACAATTAGCTTGGGAGCATTCTTTATATATGAACCTTGAGATAATATACTTATCGCATATACCATTCCGCTCGGAGTATCATGTGCGTCGGTGTACGCGGACGCCCTTTCAAGAATTTCTGACTCTTTCACCTTAAAATCATTTGAGAATAGAGTTACAGGTGGGTCCTCAACAACCACTTGGATTTTTGATATGGCAGGCTTACTCTTGTCGAAGATAAGCGTAATATAATTTTATAATATTAATTCTGTATAATAAGGCGGTAAAAAAATGAAAAAAGAAAAAAGTTTAGAAAATTAAAAAACATTTGAGCCCAAAAGAAGCAATAATATATTATTAACGAATAATTAAGCGGTTTTTTATATCTTAATAAACCAGTTGGACGAACAGACCAATAAATCAGTACATAAAAGCATTTCGTCGTCAAATGGCAAAAGAAAATTCGTACCGGATTTTAGTAATATGGCCGTGGCTACCATTTAATTAATACTTATTAAAAATTAATTATTTAGTATTTTATTTGCGAAATGGGTTAATGATAAGGCAAATGCCACCTGAAATGGATATTAACTCAAGTTGGAACATCATACTTCATCGAGCTGCAATATCGCCGAAATGGTGAAAGCAAAAGGAGATAGAATGAATTATTGTTTAGTTTAGAGCGCTAATGTGGAGCTTCTACGGCAGGAATATCAAAAATGTTGGGAAAAAAGGACTTAATTATATTTCCCAAGTTATTTCCTGGCAAAATTTGCCTATTCCGACAGTAAAGTGAGCGTAGCAATAGCAACAATGAGTACTATCAGAAAAAAATTTAAATGAAATTGAAATTAGTGGAATTAGTTGTCAAGTTATTATATTTACTAATTTAAATAATTATATATTGTTAATTGTAATTGATTCCACTCCCCACAGGAGTAAACCTGTCCAAAAATCCGGGTGATGCTGGCGACTCACCTGTATTTCTGTCGCCAAGGGATTCCCTACCATATTTGTACGACAAGCCAGTGGGAGCGAGTTAGTTAGTAATGGGGGCACTTTAAAAACAATTATTGTTATTTTTTACTATTTCTATTTTCCTTGAACTCGCTGAAAATGAAGGAATTTTAAGTTTATTACCTGCATTATTTATTTTTGTTTATAGTTATTCATAGGTGATTTAGTTTACATATATAAATATTTATATTTACATTTATTTATATAATATATATATTTATATTATTATGTTTATATTTACATTATATTTATATATTTATATTTTAAATTGATTAAATATATATTGCTTATATATATATATATATATATATATTTATATTATATTTTAAATTGCTTATTTATATATTATATTATATTATATTTTAAAATATTTATATTTATTTTTATTTTAAATTGCTTTATTATTAGCCCTTATTTACTTGTGTTTATTTTTTTATGCAAATTTCTACTCATCCTTACTCTTTTATAATTTTCATATAATGTTTTCTATAATTTTTTCGTTAAATTAAATGAATTACTAAAAATTGATAATTTTTTTAGAATTTTTTTTTATAACAATTTAAAATCAGTTGAAATTAAGAAATGTGTAAGTTGACTTGGAATAATCTGCATTTAGACGGTATTTTCTCCACCATTCACTGCAAGTACTTTATATAATTTACGACTGCTGGAAGGTCAACGATTTTCAAAAGCTTTCGAAGCACTCAAAAGAGATTTTCCCGATATATTTCTAACAGGCATCAAGGTTAGATTTTCAAAACATAATAATTCGAATCAATTCAGCATTAAACGATCATTTGAAGAGCTTGCTAAATACATTATTTTAGCACATTCTATTACTTATTTAATACTTCCTTCCCTTCTTCCAACAGCATATTTCTGATTTTGCGAGCTCTATTGATTGATATAAGACCATTCATCTTAGAATTAGAATTATATGGAGTAAAGCGAGAAGAATACATATATTTTTGTAAAATTTTTCCTTCCTTCAATTTTGGATTTTTTTTTAGTTCTGGCCGTTCATTTTATTGTTGAACTTCTATTTTATACCTCTTAATTTTCGAGTAATTTTTGTACAAATTGCCGCTTTATTGTGGAATGCATACTTCTCATACCGTACGCAGTTGTGTGCAGGTTTATATCCAGACGTGTATTAAACTGATTTATAAATTTCGCGATCTGATTTTTTGCACGTATATCAGTTGTAACTAGTGCGTATTCTATGTGTACTCTCGTTTTTTTTAGATTAAAGAAATTTTTTAGCCTTTTTGAAAATGAAAATAAAATAAAATGAAAGCTTGCTTATCAACTTTGTTAAGTTATGATTATATTTGTTATTTTCTTCGACGCTCGAATTGTTCTTTAAATTTTTGGTATTAATAAAAATTTATTTGTTGCTCCAAATATAACAAGAAAGATTTTGAAAAATTAAATGGTTTCTACAATGGTTTGTATTGTTCTATTCACGTGTCTTTAAAAAGGAATATTTAGATAAGTTGATTTGGGTCATTCATTTTTTTTGATAATGAAGGACGATGAGTTTTTTGGCAATTGTGGGACACACCATGCAAAAATATTCGTTTAATTCCTATTAATTTTGTTAATTTACGTGAAAAGAACTGTGCTCAATTTATTCTCTGTTTTTTTTAGACATGTTAATTTTAACATTAAACGCGAAGAGGAGCTTGAGTGGTCCTTGGTCACAATCGTCGTTGAAACTGCGACACTTGTCAAGAGTGAGTAGCACGGAAAACAATGTAAGGTGATCGGTCTAGCAAAAGACGAAAATGTGATATGAATATAATTCCAACTTTACTATAAATTTGCAAAATAAAGTAAAAGACTGAGAGGAAATTTAATTTTGGCCATAGCCTCGGTGCAAGCAATTTGAAAGAGTGTTATTAAACGAATGTTATCATTGAGATTTTCTGTTTAGGCATCTGTTTTGTGGAATTTGAGATAACTTAGGCTTCAGTTTTCTTTGTCTTCAAAAAATGCATACGGCTGTATTAGGTTGGTGGCTGCAGGGATGAAGGGTGGGCTTTTAAGCTTATCTATCACAACCATCTCCAAGTCTGCAAGCAATAAGGCTCGCTCTGTCTGAGCCCATAAATCGCTGAGCCTATCTCTTTTGGCTCTGCCAATAGTTTTATTCGGCGAAATTGTTTGATTTGAATATTTGAATGTACGGCATAATTCAGTCGACATCAGAGCTCACTGCTGGAAAACAAATTTTCCTTCAATCTGAAGAAAAATCTTCATTTATTTTGACGATTTTCGAAAACAAAACGACATTTTTATTGTTTATTTGACCCACTGAACACAAAATATTTTTGGGTCGCCATTTGAGAATTGGGATTGATCGACGAAAATGTGGACGTTGGTTATCTAAGCGTTTTTCAGCACCACTGCCACCACTTATCACGCTTCGCGAACTTCATCACTGCATTTTATGTATCGTTCGCAGAAATTCTTTATTGTGAGTCGCATATTTTTATTCTTTCTCGTACATTATTGACTGCAAAGATCAGCCAACTTTTCGCGACTAATGCCCTCCGTTTTCGTCAATCAGTCAGTTTATGTGGTCATACAAGTATCTATAAGAATATTGTAAATATTATAAAAATATTATAATGACTCACAATAATAATATTAATAATAATATTGATAGTAATAGTGATAATGATAATAATAATAGTGATAGTGACAGTGATATTTATAAAATACAACTCTTATTTTTATTTCAGTTTTTAAATCACGAATCATAATGATGAAAATTTCTTATTTTTATTTTTCCACACTTACTTGCTTTGTTTTAATTCATCTTTTTTCGATTTGTTTTTTCTTACGATCAGAAAAACTTAAAAACTTACACTTAAACTTATAAAAACTTATTTGGTGAATTATCAGCACCAGCCGGATCTGAATTCTAATGAAAGCCATCAAAAATGAGAATGAATTTATGGCACTTAAATTCATAGCCAAATTTATAACCGTGTGAATGAACCTTGGAAACTGAATAGGGCACCGAATGAAAAATCGCAACTGAAAGAATAAAAAATATTGCAGTAAGCAAGCATTTGTTTCGTCTACAAGTTCTTTTTCTTTTTTTCTGGTTTGAGTTCGGTTCCTCTCAGTTCGATTTCAGGTAATTCTAGCGATTTGCTTGGCCCTGATTTTTTCAACTGTTATGCACTCAGTTTATAAAGACAAATACAGTAATTCTGTAATATCATTTTATTCAGAAATCGATAAAAATGGTGCGTCGAATTGTATAATTAGTCTTTTTATTTTTGCAAAGTTCTTTAAATCCATTGCTTTCAGTGGAACCATTCAGCTTATTGCTTGTTTTTTGCCTGTTTTCCCTTTTCCCATTTCCGATATCTGGTCGGACTGATCAACAAACATTCGAATGGTACCAAAGAGGACGTTGATGAGAGATTCAAGTTTTTCGAGATTTCGCTGTCCCCAATTATTTTTTAGCATTCATGGCACTCTTCGAACTTTTTTTAGTTTAACAACTTCGAACACTTTTTAGTTTTTCTTTAATTCTATTAAATTTTTTTTTCTGCGAATGGAATCTTTTATTGTCAAAAAATTGTTCTTTGTTGTGAAGAAATAAAACGGTTGCAATTTTCGGTTGCAGTCCATTCGCTTTACACCTGAATTATAAAATTATCTGATTCGTGGCGCATTTAGCATTGCTCGTTCCACTGGCTATTAAAATGAGAGGGTTTTGCCAGAGAGGTGCAAGTGCAGAGGTGCAAGACCAAGTGGGTTCCATTTTTAGTAGGCTCGCTGTCGTGAAGAGGTTGCAGCCGAGCCCATTCTCTAGCTCAAAGCAATTTTCACCCCATCCGCAGTAGATTTTTCATGCCCAAATCCATAATCACTGAACATAAAAAAATTTTAGTCGCTTTTTAATTAATAAATTTTTTAAAAAATTTTTTAGTTGACGAATGGTCCTTATTGGAGAATGACTGTAAATTGCCAATCATTGCACCGGATGAGGCGGACCTTCGTAATTATATAGAACATTATGGGTATGAATGCCCTAAGTTATTTGAGCATCTACTTTTCCTTGCTTCTTGCCAGAGTTTCTTGATCCTAAGCTGCAAGTCTAACTTTAATTTCAGGCCAATTCACTGTAATACTAACCAACCAAACATAGTCTTTCTCGATGCCAATGGAAAAATTGTTGTCAATAAAGAATTGGAACAATGGCGAAGACCCTCTGTTCCACATTTCAAGTAAATATTTCGTATGAGATTTTCAAAGATTTCAGTTCAGTTGTGGAATTTTTACTTTTTATATGGTCATTTCTCATTTTACCGTCCGAAACCATAAATTTGAAATATATTGCCTCGCCTCGCTTATAACACTTGAAATATGTTGCATTTCTTTTCTGCGTTCAGAATTTAATTCCTTCTCGATCACCGATTTTTTAGATGTTTCTATCGCGCAATTGGTGGTGCACTTTTCCCAAATATTACAACCTATGAATGGTTAACTGAACAGATTGAAGTAAGAGAATTGTCTTGAAAGAACAGATTGTAATGGTAGTGTCTAACCTTTAGTGCAGTGAAATATTCCAGCAAATCTCATCGTAATCTAAAGCGCTCCAATAGGTAGGTTGATACCGGCAGAAGGTCGACTGAGGATAGAAGCGCAGGAGGACCACATCACCGGGAAGTCTATCGTTTATTTAAGGAAAGCTATCCTATCTACTTTTTGTCTTAATGGAAAGGGATCTTTAAATTTAACTGATCTAACTTCTCCCACTCTTTCCACAATATAACTGTTAATTCCTACTGGCTTTATATTTAAATATTTAAATTTATATTTCTGGTACATTTTGCATCAAAAACTGTTTCACACAAATTTTATTCGTTACTCGTATCTTCCTTTTTTCAGATTCCATTAAATGAACCGACGATAGTACCGTACGAACAATTTGTTGTCCAGTGTTACAATAAGACCCTTATCGCTTTAATAAATGATATTCCACAATATAACGATTCGAAAATTTATGAACGAGCTTTTGCAACGTTTCCTAGAAAAACTAAAGCGGTCAGTAAATGATACTAGAATAAAATAAATCGCTGGAGATAAGGTCGCTAATCATGTTATCACAATCATTTAGGGCTTTTCAAATATATTCAACAAATTATCTTCTTGATTTATTTTGCCTCATTGAATATATTTATATTTAAGAGCGATAATTTATAAAAATAAAAGTAAAAGCAAGATTTGACTATTCAGATCGAAGACGATCAAAAATTTGATGGCGAATCATTCATACAGGCAACATCGGTAGATTTTATTTTAACTATTTATTTTAAACTATAGGCATTTTGATATTTTCATTTCTAATAAATAAACACATTTATAGGAGCGGCCATCGTTAAGCATACTCGTATTAGATTCAGTAGCTCATAATCAATTCCTTAGGCACATGAAAAGAACTCTTACGTTTATGAAAAAAATTGGATTTGTTTTTCTTGAAGGTGAATTTTTTTTCTTAAATTTTTGGTGAAAAAAATGCCTTTTGAAGAATATATCTTTCCTCTTCTGAAAATATCCTCTTTTGACAGACCGTTTCGATGGTTTCACTGACCACTGGAATGATCGTGATATTTCGCTAAAGAATCACGTCGGCATGCATATCCCTAATATCACCCAAATGTTATTAATGTTATAAATGTCGATTATGCTACAGGACATTTGACAAGCCATTTCGGCCATATTTTAGGTAATCTAAAAAAATTCATCGTATTCAGTTTGCACGGCGAGGTGTAGGCCATGGCCACACTCAGAACGCCCATGATAAGTGATCGATGTCCACACTTTCTAAATATCAAGTAGATATCCCCTAATTGTCGGATGCCCTTACTTCGAGTCTCGATTAATTATTAAATATAGCTCAGAACAGAGGTATTGATTGTATCAATGTGTTTCTGACAACTCGAGGCAAGATGGTCTAGTCAAGGTCTGGACTGACACGATCAGGAAAGATGTTGAACGCAATGGTGCACCAGCATGGACTTAAACGATGGAAAAAAGAATAGCTTCTATTATATCAGCGATGGCATCGGATCAAGCTTGGAGCATCTTACTCTTATAACCCAGAGGGGCCAGTCTAACCAATAATGGTGATATCTTTGTAGCGCAGCGATAAGAGCGGTTAGAAGAAGAAAAAGATTCCTCCAGTAAATCTAATTTGTTTTCACTGGAACAAAATCTCTCTTTAATTTTTCGTTCCTTTATTCCTTTCATTCTTTTAAATGATTAATTTTTCAGTGGCGAAAAATCCTTAAGATCCTTAACATTTTTGTTTATTTTCACTTATCACAATAGTTTTTAAGATATGAGAAAGCAGCGGTCCTAGCGTATTTGATTTTTAACAGTAATTTGTTATTATAAAGCAGATAATACTGAAGTAATATTTTTTATTATTTTTATATATTTCACCGTTATTGTAAGTTAAATTGCAATTTTGACATACAGGTTACACAAAGATTGGCGATAATTCTGCTGTGAATCTATTGCCTGTATTAGCAGGCAAAACAATTTTACCTCAAATAGGCGGCAATGGTGAAGAAGTTGTAGCAAATGGAGAAATTGTTGATTTAGAATCCGAACAATTCCTATGGAATTTTATGAAAGGTAGTGCAAATTAAACGATTTCCTCATTTCAGACTTGTTTTTATACAGTTCTGGATGCACCAACCAAGTCTTTCAGTTTTTTTCCTTGTGTGTGTTAAACTCTAATTTGTATTTTCATGATAATCCATGCTTATAAATCATATATCTCTTTCCAGAACAAAGATGTATAACGATGTTAAATGATGATATACTGGATTTGCGAAGAGGTCTGTTCCATTATCCAAGAGAGTCATTCGTTGGATTCAAGCAATCTCCTACACATTATTATTTTAGACCGTTTCATTTGTTCAACACGCGTCATACAATCAGGCCGGGTGGGCAATGTACCAGTAGTGGACAGGTTCTTTCATAATTCAGTTGATAAACAATTTCTCATTGTTTTAATAAATTCAAAGAAAGTTCTTAGAAATTAGTCCATTTTATGAAGTTTTTTGTTTTTTCTTGCAATAATTATCTTGTTTTCACCAGAGAATCTTAAGGACGGAAGTATTGGTAGGTCCAGAGCACCACCTGGGTTTCATTTTGCTCTCCTTAAGAAACCGAATTCATTACAGCTTAGTCGAAACATTATTAAGCCATCTTTAATCTTAAAAGCAAAAGATATTTTTTTAGACAAACGTTGAAAGCTACCTTGATATATGGGAATCATTTTCGATGAAATTCAAAAATATCTGTCATTTTTCATTCAATTTCCTGACTGGATTAACGCATGATGAGCCAAGTTTTGTCGAAGCAATCGATAAAAGCCTTTCGTTAATTTTTTTACCTAAAATAAAATGTTTAGAAGTACTGACCAAAATAATATTTATTAACAATAATAGAATTTATGATTTCTGGTTTACTTTCCAGCTTCAGCGACTAAGACTTATAAGTGACTAAGTCACTTGGGATGGAAATAGGGGTGGACAGGCAGTATAACTCGAATTTCCGTTGTAATGTTAAGTTTATTCCTCAAGCGACTCTATTTGAATCCATGAAGCCAAAAAATCTACGCTATGAAGATATTTTAAATGATAATTGTGGATAGTATCCTTCAAATCATTACTCAAATCTGTTGAAATTTTCATGTCGATTGCAGAACTGCGTTAAAACGATTATTCGCCTCAGATTTGATGGAAAATACAGTTTTTGTGATAATGGGTGATCATGGAAATCGCATATCAAGCATTCAGCGGTCATATGTAGGACGAATTGAAGAAAGAAGCCCACTGTTTACAATAAAACTTCCTGAAAAATTTACCCAACTTCACTATAATAAGTATCAAAATTTATTGCAGAATTCTAAACGGTAACTTTTTCATCTTACAAGTTTGCTATTAAGAAACCAACATTTTATTAGTCTTAACAACATGGAACTGGAAATAATCAAACAATATAATGACATTATTTTCTGAACGAAGTAGAATAAAGAAGTGGATAATGATCGTCGATAGGCAAGGGATAAGTTTCCAGGGATTATTAAAAAGTATGAGTGATCCTGTATTTCTATCGACAGCTGGCCGCTTGCTAAAAATTTCCAAGCGTAAAGAATCAGCAGAAGCAGCCTTATCAGCAATGATGAGTGCTAACCAGTTCTATAATTCTATCATTGGATTAAAGATGTGGCTTTAGATGACATCGTGAATAATGTTTTTCTCGCTAAAACTAAGGATAAAAACCATCCTTTCGTAATACCCCATGTAACTTTCGAACCTGTGCAATGAAGGGATAAATATAAAACTGAAATAGCAAAAATAATTTGACCAAAATTTCAATATTAAATTCATAAATTCTGGGTTAACAAGTAATTTCGACATATATCAAACTCTGAAAGATATTGCTAAAGGCCAATTCCGAAGAAATCGACCTTACAAGCAGCGAAAAGGTTTCTCATAGCCTGTCAATATTTTATTCGGCCATTGACTATAAAAACTTCAGATAGAAATTTAGAAGGTTCTTCCCATAGAATTTGTCGATTTGATCTCTCCACACGCTCCTCTGCTCATTTAGTTTTCTATTTTTCTAAAATTTTTCCACTTCGAAATTCAAAAATTTTTTCGTTTTTTTCAAGAAAAGCTGGTGAAAAGAAATAAAATTATCAAATTAAAGGAAGAGGTATAAGTCTTCTTGATGAAGTTGTCAGCACGAAACGTACTTGCAGCGATGCCGGTATACCACCGAATTTTTGTTTGTGCATGGATTCACAACCGGTTATCAGATTGCGAAAGTTTGCTTGTTTCATTTCTGCTTTTTGAACTTTATTCATTTGTAGTTGGCAGTTCCAAGCGATTGTTCTACAATGTTCCTAAAATCACTTCAGATCTTTTCCTAAAGCATAATACAGGTTGTAAAACCTGATAAAACAACTTGAACTAAAATCTGCTTTAAGAGTTACTAAATAGCAAAGGGGACGATTATTATATAATATTTCAGACTTGGTTGGTTTTACTAACTATTGGACCAATATAAAAAACCTTTTAAGCCATTTTTCCAGCCAGAAAGCAAGACTTAGGAATGAGTGTCAGCACGGCCTAAGATCGTTCATGTTTGGTTAAGAATGAAGAGCAAATATATTTTTTCGTATTTCTTGGATTATGACAAATTCTATTCATTAAATTTATTCATTTTCTAATCGTGGTTTTTGTTTTTTGCATATTTCAATAGTTTCAGTAATAATGTAGACTTTGCGAACGATTTTTCCCGTCTATATGTCAGGTCTATATGTCTATATGTCATCTATATGTCAGGTCTATATGTCAGAAACACTAAAATTTTTTATAGATAAATCCAATTTCTTTATCAATACAAAAAACCTTTTAAGCCATTCGGACATAGCAACGGTTCTACTAAATTTGGCAAGGAAAGAACTGTCACAATACGATTGTTTAAACATAGCCCAATTACAACTGTTGGATGAAACTATACAAAGCTATGCTGTAAATCAAATGGTCCGACACGGACTTCGAGATCAGAAGACGTTCGTCATTTCAACGCTCCACTTTCGAGCAAATTTCTGGATAAATAAGCAAAATCATAATATTAAATTTCAACGAAAAACGACCTTAGCAGCTTTAAAGCATTAAGAAAACTTTCCTTTCAGTTGGCCGAAGTTTCGAAACATCAAAGCAGCACTCGAAATATCCTTCCTGGAGATGGTAATTTCAGTCCCCACCAAGTCTCAAACCTTTCCTTCAAGGTATTTCTACCGTTTCTCAAATTCTTAGAATTTTTCCGCCGAAATGCAACATTTCTTTCAACATCCTACAAATAAAAATTTGAACCAATTCTTTGGACTAATTTCAATTAAAAATTACAGCAAACCAGACTAAACAACTTTTATTGTATTTTCAGCATTAACATATTATTACGAGCGAAGCGTTATGCAAAGAAAGGAATGATTGAATTGGTTGACGTTCCACTTATTTTGCATAAAACTATAACAAACTGTAGAGCGAAAACCTTAAAACGATTTTGCACTATGTGCATATAAATAGGTTTTCATGTTAATTATGGAATGTACATAGGAATCTTAAAGTAATAATCAGTTATTTGCTCGACTGCTTGACAATCCAGCAAACTCAATAAAATAAAATTTAATAAAATAATCCAGAAAAACAAATTCAATAATTTAATAATCGCATTTGTAACAATTCATTCAAAAAGCCAAATAAAAGAAATCATTTCAAAATGCTTGTGTAGTCAGCGGAGTCAGTTTAACCAATAATGGTGAGAACTTTAGGAAAATAGAACATTAAAAATAGAATAATAAAAATAGAACTTTGAAAAAATGTGCAAATTTGAAAAAAACATGAAAAAGTAAGATAAAAGTTAGATAAAGAAAATTCGATCATATATCAGAATCACATTTGAGAGCTTTCCGACGATAGTTGATCGGCATCTTCATTTAAATGATCTTTAGACGAACTTGCAGGACCATCCAGCATAGTGGTTGCTAGTTCCACATTATCACTTCCAGCCACATCTCTTTGTGATGTGGACTGCTCAGTTTCTTTCATAGCAGAATTAATAGAATTATGCAACATTTCATTTGCCTTATTTGCCCGTTCTGCTCTTTTTTTTTCTAACTTTTGTTGCCGACTATTTTTCCATAATTCGACAGCTTCTCTGATCTAAAAATTTTTGTAAACAAAATCAACTTGACTTTTCGAAATTTTTTTAAAATCAGTTTAACCAATCTAACTGGTTGTTCAATTTCCTCGCATTCTAAGGCACGCACTGCGTGAAGTACATCCATTGCTGTAATTGTTTTACGATTATTAGTTGCAGCGGATTCTTGAGCATACATTGAAGCATGCAAAATAAAAACTGCGGCTGCACGAGCTATAGCGATTCTGGCTTCCTGAAAAATAAATATCTAAATACCTTCAAATCTCATATGTTCATAACTGAATTGTGATGCTCCCCGAGCTAAACATGAAAAATTTCAATTTTGAGAAAAAACTTGCTCAAAGCTTGAACTTATGGTAAGAACACCACTCGGATTTGTAGTCATTAATGAATAAACAGTAAATAACCAAGAAATAAAAAAATCAATCAACGACCTTAGCAACGATAACGCCCGGCGGCAATGCATCTTTGATTAAACGAGCAACAATCGAATGCGGCAATTTCAGATCTTCAACTGCATCCATATGCGCCTGAATGGGCGGGAAAAACTGGAAAAAAACTGAATGTTTAGAAATAAAAAAATTAATGAGGTAAACGCCAGGATTAACTCTTTAACGATACGAATAGGCAAGTCACAAAGGATTAAAAACTGCAAAATAGAGTGGCAAAGCGGGACAGTCCAGAGCTCAGAACATTTTGCAGAAAGCCAACAGTTCGATTCCTACATTCCCCGAGAGTTAAAATAGCAAAAAGATAGCAGATCCGGATGGTGAGGAATGATGAAATATACTGTAGATACATGAAGAAGGTACAAAAAACATTCGCAGAAGGACCTTCTAACACCATTCTTTGCTCGTTTGACACCACTGATCACCAAAGTAAGTAGCTAGACAGGTGTGCTGCAAATGTGTAGAGACAGGGGTATTACAAGTGCGTACCAGCACTAAGTGGATTCAGGTTCCAAAGATTCTTAGAGAATGCGGCTACAACCCCTACTGTCGGATGAACTAATGCACCAGCCCCCCAACCCTTCCACAACAGCCTATCTATAATTGAAGCATCTAAATAAACTCTCGCAGTGATATTTCTAATATGTAACTGCAAATTTTGAATTTCGGCTGATCTCTAGCTGCATTTTGGAATACTAACAGTCGGATTGAATAAACTGAGGTCGCGAAATTGAGCGGGAAGCAACGTTTTAAACGTATTGTTCTAAATGTACAGTTGTTTTGGTTGGTTGGTTTCGCTGGCATTTGTTTGGGCGTCTGCGTTTCCTGTTTTTTATTGCCTTTAAGCGGGTTTGGACGGGGTTTTTGCCATATTGAGGAAAATAATTCTTAAATCCATTTTCCCACGTTACATTCGTATGTTACATTCCGGAATACGGCAACTAGAAATGCGTTCTTCCGATTGACGAAACCTTTATGGAATCTTCGTGATAACACATAAAAAGAAAATCAGCATCTAAGCCTTGATTTGTTCGATCTTACTATATGGTTCTGAGACATGGCCAATGAGAATGGAGATTACTAAGAAGTTATCTGCTTTGACCACTCTTGTCTAAGGTGCATTTTACGAGACCGTCGAGCGGAAAAAAATGTCACATGATGGCATCCATCTTCGTTCTAATACCACTTACATTAACAGTACCATCAAGAGTGTCACCTTCGCTTGGATACGTTCTCTGTCGTCCACCACAAGAGTTGTCGCATATTTCGTTACTTGTTAAACCCTGTGATGGGTGGTGTCAAAACGAGGTAGGCCAGTCAAGACCTGGACTGATACGGTCAGGAATGATTTTGAATATATAGATGGACCAGCAATATGTGAGCTAAGACATTGGAAAATAAATGGCTTCTATTACTGTCGATTATGGCATCAGACTACACCGCTTGGAAGTATTTTACTCTAACCAGTAATGACGAGAGCTGTTAGAAGAAAAAATTTGTCGGAAGGGGACACGATGGTCGAGTGACTCAGATTCCAGAATACTATTTTGTCTTCGATATGTTCGAAATAAACCAGTTATTTAAAAATTCGGGTGGTGCCGATGTCCCTTCTGTAATTTTGTCGAGTCTCTCAACGAAAATTTCTGATTATATTAATAGCTAATGGTGCTGACCAAACCAAAAATGGTGAGCATTAACCGCTTATTTACTCATATTCTTATGGATTGAAGTACTAGTGGATCTCCAACATCGCTTTTAATAAAAGTTGGCAAGGAAAAGGAATGAATCGAGGCTTGAACAAGTTGAATCGACATTGCACATTGGCTTGTTCAGAGAATTTCGATACATAGCAGCTCAAGTATTTAATGTTATTAACTATAGTTTGGCAATTTATGCTTTGCTTCGTGTTTATATTTAATCACTTCAAACCAGCATTAAGCTCAAAATAACTTGTTTTTTAGTAACATATACTATGATTTATTAATAAGATTTAAGCGAAAGGTATCATATGTTGGCGATTCACGGTAATCAAATTGATTAGCCAAACCAGGAACAGAAGTATTAGAAAAGGAAGATAATAAAGGCTGGCCGTGATCATTGCCTTCTCCAGCAGTGCAGAATATTTTTGTTTATTTGAAATGATTTATTTAAATATTTGCTTCATCAATTAGTATTATCGTTTAATTTATTTGATTTTTTAGTTATTTATAACTTTTCATCAGCACTTTTGAAGAATATTAATTTCAGTTTTATCTGTTTTAATGGCGAAGATGCCTTTAGATGAAATTAATGTAATGAATCGTCTTGCGCTTAATTCTGAAGAAAATACTGATTTTAAGAAAAAACCTGTAAGTAATCGAGTAAAATTTGGTTTATTATTCGCGATTAATGTTATTTCACAGTTTTGGGAAGAAGATTTTGGCTTTTCCTATTTTAGAGAAAAGTTTCGGGAATGTTTGGTTATTTTATTTGCTTTTGGCATATATCGACTGTCATTCTTTTTCGTTAAAGGCTTATGCTACATCAGAGATGGACGTCGCAGATGAACCGATGTTAGCTGATAATCCAAATCGTTTCGTCATCTTTCCTATCAAGTACCCTGATATTTGGGAATTTTATAAGAAGGCAGTTGCCTCATTTTGGACTCCAGAGGAAGTAAGTTTTTTATATGCATCGTTCCACAAATGTTCAAATGTTTACATCTTTGGAAGCGAAGCGATTTAGGTCATAATGTAAATTATGATTGGTATTTCCAAAGAGAAATTAGATTTATTGTTTTCCTATCAGTTTCCTATCAACTGCGTTAAAGTAAAATGAGGTAATGATGCAATAGTTGATAGTTGAAAAATATTATAATGATGTATTTTATTAAATATACGTAATTTAGGTTGATTTGAGTCGTGACTATCGTGATTGGGAAAATTTGAATCATGGTGAACGTCATTTTATTTCGCGTGTTTTGGCTTTTTTCGCTGCATCTGATGGAATCGTCAATGAAAATCTCGTATATTTTTATTTCATTCATTTGTTAATATCTTATCTAAATGCACATTTTCTTTGATTGTAGGTAAACCGCTTCTCTCAAGAGGTTCAGGTGCCGGAGGCTCGTTTTTTTTATGGTTTTCAAATTATGATAGAAAATGTTCACTCTGAAATGTATTCGAAAATGATCGAGACATATATTCGTGATGAAAAAGAACGGTAAGTATGAATGGTTTCCGTAGAATTTTTATATGTTTGAATAATTATAACACACTTTCCATCACTGTTCTATTTCTTTTAAGAATGACGCTTTTTAATGCAATTCATGAATTTGAATTCATCAAAAAGAAAGCTGACTGGGCTTTGTGTTGGATTGCCGATGAAAAGGCTTCTTACGCTGAGCGCTTAATAGCATTTGCAGCTGTTGAAGGTGAATTTACTTTACTGTCTACTTCATTCAACATCGCTTTCAATATTTTATATTTTTTCTATATGTAAATAAAATATTGTAGGAATCTTTTTCTCCGGAAGTTTCGCAGCTATTTTCTGGTTAAAAAAACGTGGTCTAATGCCAGGCTTGACACAGAGTAATGAGCTAATATCAAGAGATGAGGTACATTGTGCCAGTTTTTGTTTTATTATTGTATACGGATATTTTAGTTTTTATGTATATTTTATTGAATCCAAATGACTCTCCCGGGTTTTTTTGAAAGAATTTAAGGGAATCGCGAAGGAGCCGTGATAATTTCATGGGATAATCTCCAGGAAAATTTTCCTAAGTTTATAAGTCAACTTTTTGTAAATTTTTGGTTATGAAAAAGATCTAATTTTAGACTTGAATTTTAAATGTTTATTTTTCATATGGGTTTCAGCTTTGAAGGTTGTGAGAATTGACGAGAAAATCAGAGATTTTGGAGAATATGAAGGTTTTTGATTATATTTTAAATTAAATAATGGATTTTGGTGAAATTTTCAGGGTTTGCATAGAGATTTCGCATGTTTAATGTACAGCCATTTGAGAGGGAAACCAAGCGTAGAGCGAATCTATCAGATTATCAAAGAAGCTGTTTTAATAGAGCAGGTTTTTTACTATTTGTTGAACTGTTATTTGAACTTGATGTAATATTTCTTGGAAGGATTAACTTTTATTTAAGGAATACCTTACTGAAGCACTTCCCGTCGATTTGATTGGCATGAACTGTAAGTTAATGAGACAATATATAGAATACGTTGCTGATCATCTACTTACAGAGTTAAATTGCCCAAAAGTATGTTATTTCACACTTTTGGTTCCATCGAGGATGATATAATAGCCAAATAACCAAATTATATTAAATTTTCTATTTTTTATTCACATTGGCATATAAACAAATGAATAAATTTTGTTTCATATTATTCTTATAAAATTATCATATGTAAATGTTTTCATTTAAGCTATATGGTGCGAAGAATCCATTCGATTTTATGGATCGCATATCAATCGAAGCAAAAACGAATTTCTTCGAAAAGCGTGTGAATGACTATCAGAAAGCTGGAGTGATGGCAAATCCAAATGAGAATATTTTCAGTATTGAGGCTGATTTTTAAGGCCTTTATCTTAATTAGTTGTTATTCAGTTATCATTTATCTCCTCGAAAAAAACGCTATCTCCTTTTTCATTTATTATTTTCATGATTTTACAGCTTGTTATATCTTTCATTTATATTGTTTGTTTTTTTGTATTTTTCTATATTGATATTGAAATGGCGATTGTTCCGTCTTAAAATCTCTTCAATTGCTAAATTTTCTATCATTTAATCAGTAGATTTTAGTCTATATATCTTTACCGTCTTATTTCTCAATTTCATTTCATTATTGAGCATCACATTTCATGGACCACTTTTTACATAATTCTATTTTTTAATCGTGCACTGTTATGTTATGAAAAAGGAAGTGGCTCACTTTCCGATTTTACCATCAACTTATTAAAGATGTTATGGTCATGGTAGTATTTTAATTATCTTATTAGATTATAATAACGGAGAAATATTCAGTAAAATGATAATGCAGGTATTTGAATAGGTATTTATGCACAATATGTATACATTACATTCAAAGATTTACATTAAAATATGGCCAAGACTTGTTTAATAACCGGCGTTAAAAGAAAGTACTATTCAGTTAATATACTAAAACATAGGAATGTCTAAACAACGGGACCCGCATCCAAGCCTGGAGCATCATTAGTGGGATTTGGCTGTGGTTGTTGCCCCATTAAAACTCGGTCCTTCAACCTAAAATGATGAAATTTTGGTAACAATTTTAGTAAAAGTAGTGGAAGAAATAATTTATATTATAATATTATGATTCGACATAAAAAAATTTTGGAAAAAAGATAAACTATAAACAATATATATATTCTTCTTTACATTAAATTCTTCTTTACAGATGTATCAGTTTACTATCAGTTTGGGTGAAGTGGGTCATCTTTTGGTAAGAGAAAATTAATATATAAACTGAATGAATGCATCACGGAAGAGAGTAACACTTTTCATTCTTAAAAAAATCATTTTTGCTTTCAGATAAACGGTAAAAACGTCAAGATTCTTTAACAAGATTTAAATAATTATTCTTAACCTGTCATCGCCATATTCGCAAACAATTGCTTGCTTCTTCCGATTTAAGGCAAGTAAGAATCGATAAGCATGTGTAGGTCGCGTTATTGTTGTAAACCTACAATTCCGAAGCAGCACTAATCGAACTTCCAGTTTCTATAAAAGCTACAGTTCGAGATGTCAATAGACAGCAATTTAAAAAAACTAACAATAAAAAATCCTACAGATTGGAAAATACTAATTAAATAATTAAGAATAATAATATTTTAAAAACATTTTATTACGCTCGTTTTATAAAATACATGTGGTGCGAATTTGAATTTTTTAAGGCCATTAGTAAAATCGACCATTTTCAAAATTTAAATTTATTTATTGATATTATAGAAAATCAAGAAGTAAATGTCTTTAAAATCAACTTGCTATCAAAACGATAAAATTTTACCTCTATTGTTCGTTCAACATCTACTAAATCTGTCATTTTAAAATCAACATTGATAAAATCAATAGAACTGATGCGCCAGGCATGTATATGTACAATACCACGTAAAAGCCTTTGAAAACTTGGATAATTCGCCTGAAATTATAAATTTCGAAAAAATTTATGGATGCAAACAAAAATTTATGGATGCAAACAAATATTTGAAAAGTGATGAATTAAAAAAATTAATCTTGGCCAACTTAAAAAAATTCACAAGAATCGTTATGTACCAATGATAAAAAACAATTAGCATGAACCAAAATTGAACGTTAGCCATTAACATCGACATATAAAGCAACATGACTTAAGGAAATATTACCATATGCTTTTATCATCACTCAAATCATTGCCAATATTTATAAATATTTCACAATTTTATAAATATTATTGACCTAAAAAGGAATTACCCTTATAAGTATAAAAAATTATAATTAAATACACTAAATACTTGCCACTTATGCAGATAGCAGCAATAAAACCGCAACAGAACTGCATATACCAAAGTAAAAAACTGCAGAAGAATATATTACGAATCAAAGCGATGAGAAACAGTTCTTTAATAGAGTAATCAATGACCAAAAAATAAGATTAGTAATGAAAATGAAACAATAGAGGGGAACAAAAAGGGAAGGAAAAATGAAATAGAAAGGAGAGGAGAGAACAAAGAAAAGACTACAGAAACATGATCCCTTCTATACAAAAAATGTCATGTTACAAATTCATTTGCCACTCGAGTGGAAAAATTATTCTGATTTATAAGTCACAGCCACCAAATCGCAAAGTATTTGTAATTCGAATCTTTTCCTTATCACTGCATAAAATGAAATGTTTCTATATTCAAAAAATGTCATCCACAATCATTTGGATTAAAACCATGCAAACGTTTGACTATAAAACTAGTAATATGATTCTAATTGCCAAAATTTTGTTAAGTGGTCTCCTCGTTTTTCCTACTCATTCACAGCATCCATTATTTCTGATCTGACCCCAGTGCCTGCTAAGATGAGATAATTTTATCAAATAATTATTTGGAAACAGAAGTAGGATCATATGAATTTACAACATTTTTCTTTCTTGCCAACAGACAAGAACGAAATTCTAAAAAAATCCCATAAAAAATTTAGATACAACGAAGGCACTACCTACATACATCCATGTACAAATCCATTTTTCTCTCTGTTTTCTTTCTTCCTTATAATTATCTTTCATAATGTGAAATTAACTACCAGTAGTTTCCGTTATTTACCAAGATGCTATATTTTTATTATTTACATTTTACTATTTATGTAAACTCTTAATAATTGACATTAAAACTACTAATATAATTCCAACCGCTAAAATTTTGTTAAGTGGTCTCCTCAATTTTTTCTACACATTCACATCCATAATTTCTGGTTTGACCTCTTAATAAATAATATAGAGCGCTTCCTTTATTTCTTAAAAAGGAAACTATCAAATAAACATTTAATAAAAACTCACAGCAAAAGGTCGAATATCGCATCTTGAATGAAACTGTAAAATAAATTTTCCACTTGTTGTTTCCAATACGGATAGACGATTTGGTGAAATTCGAACGCGATACATATATTCAATACCATCGAGGAACTGTTGGCCAGAAGTATTTAACAAAACTTTTTCGGTGGCCAAAGCCACTAAACTCTTCACCAACATTTATGACACTATAAGTGACAAATCTCAACTTTCTTAAGGCGTTCATTACAAATAAATAGTTTCGCGCGTTCTCAAAAAATTTTCCTCATTTTTTAAGAATTTAATTAAAGGATTCCAACTCGAATGTTTATTTTCTTCGAATGCAAGCACAGTTCATGAAATTACATAAACGATAACCAAAATTTATTTGCTTTTAACGATTTAAATTAAATTCGATTCAAATTCGACTAACAATTTTTTGAAGAATTTTCTGAACTTTTAAATTTTCAGAATAAATTCGATTTATCCTATTTATTTATTCTATTCATCGGTTTAAAAGAATCATTGAAGGAAAGCAATCGCGAAATTCGCACAAATTTGCCAACATAGAGAACAGAAAGATTTTTTCTTTTAACGAATCAATTTTTTAAATAAATTTTAAAAAATCATAAGAAAATCCGCTGATGAACAAATAAAAAACCGGCGTATCACATTTGCGCAGCGAAAAATAAAAGCAGCCGAGAAACTTTGGTTTCCGAAGAGAACCTTCCAGAGAAAACTTACCAAGCAGCTAAATGGCATAATCCTTAAAATCCTTGAACTCACCAACCTCGACTATTTGATGAAGACAGAAAACAAGAAATTATCGACTTCAGATATTCATTTTAGAAATATTTAAAATTTTTGCAGCTAAATTTCGCAGCTAAATTATATTTAATTATGATTGGATTTCTCAAATGAAGAGCACGAACATTTCAAGGAGTTCGAATCTTAGAACGTCAAATTCTCATTTTTATTCCTTCTTCGAAAGTTAACTCTCTGAAGCGACGCTCGTGAACAGCTATGGCTTCAAATGCTGTTAATTCGCCGCCTTAATTTATTTATGAATTTCAAACAATCGAATGGAAAATTTAAAAAATTGCCATAAAAAGGATTAAAACAGAGAGAGCAACGATTTCAGGCATGTAAAAATACTGAAAAGTGTACAAAAACATTCCCTTTCGTTTAAATTTCTCGCTAATTTTTTGCATTTTAATCGTTCGATTTATCCAAAATTTCGCTTCTTCCAACGGATTTATCACTTTGTCCGTGAAAATATCCTTAACCGTCGTTATTCGCTCCGTATAACGTGGATGCGTGAGCAGATCGATCGCCACTGAATAAAGCTTCTCGCCGCTTAGCGCCGATTTGCTGATTGTACGAGCGAAGCCTGAACTGTTATTCGTTTATGCGAGAATCGTCGTCCTTTAGTCATCGAAAAATGGCGTTTTAGCGAAAGTAAATAATTACAAATGATTGCAGAAATAAGTAAATTTGAATTTATTTTTTAATATTTTTACAGAAATTTCGGAAATTCTATAAAAAATGAAATGAAATTAGGCAAATTAACCAAGTTTTTGAGCGAATGCGCCGTTGACAGTTTGTTCGGCAAATAATGGAAGAATCAACATCGGAGTCTTTGAGCAGATCGCTTCTTTTAAACTGCAAAAATACAAATTATTTTATCCCCGAAAAAGGCCCACTGAGCTGTCGCCGTTTAACCCGCGAGAATTTTTTACCTCTTCAAACCGCCATGGCTGATAAAAAGACGAGTCGACTGATGGCTAAGAATGCCGTGCTGCGGTGCCCACTTTAACACTCTGATATGTGGTGGCATATCATTTAATTTATCACCATCGTATACAAATATTATCCTCAAATTTATTCTTTTTTTCAATGGACTTTTGAAAAAGGAATTTTTTTCCTCGCTAGAAACCTGTAATCAGATAATCGTCGAAGCGTGTGATTAAATGCCTCTTGCGTCGAATTCGGTGCATTAATCCAACGTACATTCGTGCCGAGTGCAACAAGGATGGTACCACTTGACTTTTTGTCCTCCATAAACAGTTTCAAATTATTTGGCAGCTCGTTAGGCATTGAACAGTATCCACTAACTTTAATTATATCGTTTGATACTGAAATATTTCTCCACAGTTTTATTTATTTACCTTTTTATGACATAGACTTAGGCTTAGGTCTACTATGATTATAAAACAATAGCATTATTGAAAATAGCGCCATGTTTATATTTAGTTTCCACCTTTTTCCACAAAATGCTTTTTTTTCTCCTTCTTTTCATTTCCCATTTGGTCTGCACTCTGGTTACTAGGATGAGATTTCTTCACCATGGGGCCATTTTAGACTATGGCTTTTGGAGGTAGCTAGGCCCATAGCAATAGATTTCACATTTCACTTATAATGGCGGATTTATTCCTATTAAAAAGGAAAATTTGAAATTAGTCGAACCACGACGATCCTATTTAGCACATTGAATTTGAAGAAGAAATTATGATTTTCTAATTTTTAAACAAATATATAGAAAAATTTACATGATTAATTAAATAAATTAATTAAATTTACATGATTTTTTTGTGACGAAATCTTTTCTTTATATTTCTTTTATATTACTTCCTTATCAAATGAGAAGAAAGATTTTTTGCTAATCTACACCATCAAAATCAATGGTCATTTGAAATTCAGTGATTTAAATTATCATCCACAATCCGCGCTTGGCTATTCCATCAATTGCATGTTCGTGGAAGTATAAATTACTCTTACTCTAACCAGTTAAACCACCCGAATCAAAAACGATATGCGTTTTTAAAAGAAGCAATTGGAATTTTAGAATGCGTTGCTGGTTTATAGTTTTAGAAACTGTGATTACTTGGCAACGGATAAGCCATTTCGATGATATCTTCTTGAAAATTGTAACTGCTTCCTAACCACAGATTTGACGAAATTTTATGGCCAAATATTCTCAATCCCTTAAGTATGAAATATTAACACAAATGCTGCGCTATGGGCAATATTCAGTTGCATTTATATTTTCTAGATCTTTAAAAGATAGTGAAATATTATTAAAAATGCAGTTTATTTGTATTGATGTAATACCATAAAGTGGTACCAAAATTCTTTTCGAATGGATATTAATATAGCAAACGAAGATAATAAATTTCCAGAATCGTTTCTTTTTATTCTTTATTTCCTTGCAAGCAGTAGCAGTGCAATTTCTGCTTTGGCTTACCCCATTGGCAGAAACTTGTGGGATGCGACTTTTCACCAAAAAGCCATTTGATGATAGGAATACTAATAAACTCTCAGCATTGCGCAGAGCTCCTTTTATTGTGGCACAACAAATCAAAACAATTTAATGGGTCAATTTTTCCAGCACAAAATTTCAATGTTCTTGCTACATAAATCTGCATAAATTTTTCGAGCAAAAATGAAAGAAATTTTCGCTACCGGCAAGCAACTTCAAAATCGCTTCTTTTTAGATTATTATTAGTAATTGGAGCCGCAGTGCTCGAGCATTACGATTGTTTCGATCCGCCATGAGTATCAGTTCGATTTCCCAATTTCCTAACAGGAGTACCTGTCGCTAAAAAATGCGAGTGTACTGGCGACCCACTTGTATTTCTCTCTGCACGTGGGTCCCTGGGCAAAAATTTTCAACCAACTGAGCTAGAAATTGCAAGCATTGACCACTTTTCTGGTCCAGTTAAAGTTGTTTTAGTAATAATAAGTTATTATTAATAATTAATTAAAAAATACCACCTTCTTATGAAATAATTCTATATAAGCTTGTATATAGAAAGCCCCAATCGTTTCTTCAATAAAACATCTAGTACGTTCGAGAAAATTTTTTAAATTATATTTATAATCATCATAATCGGCTGACCAGACAGATGGTCTCAGGAAAAAAGACCGGCCTGAATTTTCTACTTTATCGAAAATTTTTTAGAAGATGTTAGGCACTAATTAGGCATATTATTACAGCAATTATGGTTCTTAATCACGAAGCTTTATAAAATTATAATTATAGTTGAATTGAAACTGAAATTAAAAGATATAGAAAAGCAATTGGTTCTTTAATATAATATGGTAGGTTTATTCCCATCACATGGATCGAACTCTTGATAGCTTGGAACCTTACCAAAAACAACATACCACTTCGGAGAAGATTGAAATAAATGTAATAATAATAAATAAAATACCAAGTGATAGGTCCCAGCTATATTCATGCATTAGTAGAGTCGTACTAAACATGATGTACGGTTTGGCATTGAAATAATTATTGTACAACGCAATCGCTTGAGCAGTTGGAGAAAAGAGATCGTCGACTACAACAATGTCCCATGTTGTGTTTAAAATTGATATAACCTAATTAAAATAATGAGCAGAAAATTAATAAATTTACTTTATTTTAATTTACTCAATTCTATTTCACTTTATCTTCATTCTTTCACATTCTTGATTTGAATTCTAATATAGCAAAGGTGCAAAACATAGACGTCCAAAAAATAAAAATCATTTGCCGTCTAAGCGGCTTACTGAAAATATAAAATAAAGTACCAACGTTTGTGCCTTAAGAAAATTTAAGAAAATTTATTAGAGTCATTAATGAAATATTTTTTTTGAAAAATAATTAGAATTATTTCTATTTTAAATAACTTTTGAGCTTTTCTAAACATTTTCCTTTTTACTGATATCGACTGTATCGATAATAGATTCGACTCGAATAAGTACTCATTAATTTGTTGTTGATAAGCTTGAAACTAATGCTTATCACTGAATCCACGCCTATACATATCCAGGCAAATCTATTTAAACCGAAAAATTAATGGACTGATAAGTGGTCAGATGGTTTGTTAATTGTTTACTTATTAAAAATTGCGAAGCGCATAAGGCAACGATGAATTAAATTTCCAAGTGTATAGAAGATATTCGAAGAATTTGCTAAAAGATATTTAATTGATTTGCTTTTTCAAAGCAAGTAAGTTAAAAGATATGTATATGAAAAAAGTAAAATTTACCTGCCTATTTCGAAAAGCGATAAAATCTTTAAAGTGGTTTTCATTGGAAATGCGCAGTGATAGCACAGCCTTTAAAAAACAGTTACACGAATTTTCTTCTATCATTTCTATTACAAATTCAACTCTTTCTTTCTATCTTCTAAATTCAATCCTTTAAATATTTTCTCAATAAATATAAAATATATTCAAGGATTTTCAGAAAACTGATATTTGCTTAAAAATAAAAATCTTATTAAGGTTTCACTGGGCGCAATCCCTTCACCAGGAAGCCAGTTGGAGATGGAAGTGTGAAGTGGAGGTTTGGCTTAGCTTGAAAATAGTTTAAAATAGAAAATTTCTTGGCTATGACCGGTTTGCATTTTAAAAAGAATTGTCACTTTTATTTTGTCCTGTAGACTCCAAATTTGATCAGTAAATAATCGAGAATTTTTATTTCTTGGTGTGTGAATGAAATGGGATTTAATTCCAGACAAAAAATCGTGTGATACATTCGAGTACGATATCTCCAAAAAATGGATTTCATGACCATCTTCATGCAATCTGAATTCGATATTCCATTCTGGTGAATAAATAAAGTCTAAAGAATTTGGAAAAAATTTCAAAAATATTTGGACGTACTAAATTTTTCTATAAGGAATTCAGGAAAGAGAGCAGAGTGAAAAAATTTTATCGCTGAATCCTTCATTCATTTGATGGGATAAAATTATGGAAAATACGAAGTCACAGTGATCAGACTGACTAAAAATTTATAAAGTAATTTCAAAAAAGGGTACGCTTTTGCGACAGGCAACATGCTCAGGATGTGGCTTTTCGATCCGTGCATCCCACCGAATAGAATCCTCGCGCAATCCGTGAATATAATCGATGAAAGAAATATTAAAAGTCTCCTTAAATACATCGATTGTGCACCGCTGAAAAATTCTTTTATGCTTAAGAAACCATTTTTAAATGCCTTACAATTAGCATATTTACTTGAAAATTAAAACAATTTTTAGATAACATTATTACTATTTCTATGGAATTATTGTCGCAATGTAATTTATAGATGACGTTGGGCAAAACTCATCAATTAAATACTGCAAAATCACATCGTCCTTGCAAATCGCAGATGTTCGCGAAATTTTAACCACAAAGACAAAACCATGACAAAGTAATAAGTGAGGCAACTCTTCGCATTTTAGACTCTGAATAAAACCTTCACACAAATGAAAGTGAATCTTTTGGGTCAAAGTTGACAGCAAAAATGATATTTCATAAAGAATAATAATTATTTTTGAAATATATTGGAAACACTAAATGACCATCTTACTATTTCATTACCATTACTACTTTGCCATTTATTATTAAATTCAAAAAAACAAAAAGTTAACAAAGCACTGAAAGCACAGTGTTAACCGAAATTTACGAAATCGATGATCATTTTATATTTATACATTTATAATGATAAGCAAATACATAAGCTGATAAAGAAAGTTACCCACCCATCTATGTTGTTTCCAAGCGACTAGTATCATGCAATTCACTATTTCACTATCGAATTTTTCCTCTTTTCATGAAGAAAGCCTTGAATAAATTAGTGATCCAATGCAGCGGATCAATGTGTTAGTTCTAAGCCAAAGTGAAAGGCTTAGTAGGATTCATCCTTCAAGCCATTTTTTTAAAATTCATCTAAATTTAACATTTAAATTTAAGATTCTAAATTAATAAATTTAAATTTATCACAACTCAGTTCTTTTTGTTTTTTTATCTTCTTCTTCTTCTTCTTCTAACAGCTCTCACCATTACTGGTTAGGCTGGTTCCATTGGCTACAAGAATATGACGCTTCCAAGCGGCGCGGTCTAATGCCATCGTCGATAGTAATGAAAGCCATTTCTTTTTCCATCGTCTAAATCCATATATTGCTGGTTCACCTATACACCGTATCAGTCCAGGTCTCGATTGGCTTGCCTCGTTTTTGACGCCATCCATCACACGGTTTAGCAATTAACGAAATATACGTCATTCCTGTGGTGGACGACGGAGAACGAAGGCCACGCTCTGTGATGACATTATTAATGCAGGTGGTATTTGTGCGGAGGTGGACACAATCATGTGAGATTTTATCCACTCGGCGAACCCGTAAAATATACCTTAGACAAGAGTGGTCAAAGGCAGATAACTTCTTAATATCCTCCACTCTCATTGGCCATGTCTCAGAACCATATAGTAAAATCGAACGGATCATGGTAATATAGATGCGAACTTTCGTTTTTATGGTGATTTCACGACGATTCCATAAAGATTTCGTCAACCGGAAGAACGCATTTCTAGCTGCCGTGATCCGAGTTATAATATCATCTTTTGCCTGTTTATTTGGTATTAGAGTGGACCCAAGACACCTCTTGAGTGCCGACAAGCAATGTCTATTATCCAGTCTATCGCATAGTTGAATATTGTGGGGGAAAGGTCGCAGCCCTCACGGACACCTGTTTTTATTTCGAAGGAATCCCTACTTTTTTATCTTATTTTATCTTCTTACTTCCATGATACCTGTATAATAATCTATGTTATGGATGTATATTATTTATTATATAAAAAATATTTTCTAAAAAATGAAAAAGCACGACTCATGGCCAGATAACATGCAAGTAAAAACAATCCACACCACTAAAAAAACGTCTCCAAAAAAATTTTCTTCATTAAATTGTAGACTTGCTTCGCTTGCTTCTGTCTGCCACAATTGAGCAAAAAGTCCCACTTATTTTTAATAAAACCTCAATTGTGAAATCCTTATCAGAATACTTTTGTTATCAATTAATACTACAAATTCTTTCAACATCAGCACAAATGCAAAAACATTTCTCCTTTTATTACGCATAAATTATTAAAATATCAGCATTTCACAACACATTTTATTATGAAAAATATTATTTATATTTTAATATAAAATCTTCTATGATTTCACCCATTTGAAATTTCTTGAAAACAACGCATTGATGTTTTGTGGCAAATAAAGCATTGGATTATAGAAAATTTATAGAAATTTAAAATTTTAAAAGAAAATTTCCAAAATATCTATTTTCGAAATTTCACAATCCACATTGCTAAGGTTACTGCTGATAACGAAAACCTGAAAATAGTATTCATAAAAAAAGCAAATATGGATCCAAAGTTAAATTAAATTAAATCTTTTAGAAAAGCTGATGAAAAAAAAAACAAAAACTGCATCATTTTAATGATTATTGATATATACCAGGTAATTAAATAGGAAAGATGATCATTTCGGACCGAAATATTTGTCTGACCACCGATTGGACCACCTTCTATCGTTGATTCTTAAATATTGACAAGTAATAAATAATCACATTCATTTACAATTTTAGACAAATAAAAAATATTGTATCGCCATTTCAAATGGATAATGCAAGAACCATCGAAATATTTCAAATCAAAAACGCAATTCGTGCTTTATCAATGATGAATTAAAGAGAATCGGGGGATAAAATGGCTAGGTGGGTTGTTGACCAATTGGGAGCGCAGATGTTGAGGTTCCCCACAGGAGTAAACCTGTACAAAAACCCAGGTGATGCTGGCGACTCACCTGTATTTCTATCGCCAAAGAGACTCCCTGACATATTGCCCAATGCGACAAGCCAGTGGAGCGAGTTTAACCGGTAATGGTGAGGACTCTTAAAAAAAAAAATCACGTTCATTAAAAATTTTCGACAAATAAAAAATTGCATGCATTCTTGCATTAATTAAAATACATCTTAGATACAAAACAGCAACAGCGAACTGAACCTAACTGAACCAAAAATATTATAAAATTAAAATCAGCTAATGAAAAAATAAGTATTCGAAAATTAAAAACCATAAGAAATCATGTAGATGTAAATGTGATCTAAAAATTACCATAACAAGCATCCAGAAAGATAGGCGCTGTTCCATAGCGCTTGGCCATTGCATCTAAATCTTTATAAAACCATACATCTTCGTTAGGCCGATTCTGCGAAACAAATTGTGGCCTCTGAAGTGCGATAAAAATTATCAAAATAGCAAAAATAAAAGAAAAATATATTACATAGTTTAGAAATATATAAGGGCTTGTTCTGTTGAATTACTGAAAGAAAATTCAACAAACAAATTGTCAGATGAAAAAATCTGCCTTAATAAAAATAGCCTTGATTATAGACAACCTAACAATTGATTTAAAATTTTATAAATCAATCAAAATGTAAAAAAGCATGATTTCATTCAAATGAGCAAAGTAAGCAATGCACTCATCGCTTTGATTAAGCTCGTTTCTCGATCATAAATTTTTGCGAAAGAAGATAGATCTTTAGCACCATTCGTATATTTTTTGTATTTTTTTAGTAACGATTTCACTCCTGTTGAAAGCAAAAGGCAAATCCTCATTTAAAAAATATATAAATATTAATAAAATATAAACATTTTCAGAAACGCGAACGATTGCATCGAAAGAGACAGGTCCTTCGATTTGAGCAAAACGTCGAGACTCAGTTTGTAATTTATCTGACGGAACCCAACCTCGATTGATAAGTATCACTAGCCTAAAATAAGAAATGAAGAAAGGAGAAAAATTTGTAATAATTCTGGCAAATAAAAAAATATTTACATACCCAGAATGTCGTAAACGAAATGGTGTGATAATATGTGCACCATGACTAGAAATATTAAAATTTCCTATTAGACCACCTCGTTGATCTATGTGATCTAAAAAAAAACTATCGCTATATACTATATAATTATACTAATTTTTTATATTATACTAATTCTTAAAAATTTGCGAATTAAATTTATTAATTTATTAAAAATAACAATTAAAACAATAAAAAAGGCACTTTTATCAAAACGCCCTCGTGGACGAATCAAGAATTCTCGATCATTTAAAAATTCTCCCTCAACATTCAAACGACAGTACTCCATATCTTTGAGAGAATCAATACTATAAATTCCATAGTAAAATAATAAATAATATAGTATTATAAAAGAAAAAAAAGAAATAAAAGTGATAAGTGCTACTTGTCATAAGGAAATGGTTTTGCTTCACTTTCTGTTCTCGATAACAAATTATTGATAAGATCTAATTTCCATCTTAGACGATATATTTGCCAGCATCCAAGAAGAAACGCGGTTACCGGAACTATCTTGAAATTTTAACAATAACCAATTAAATTAGCTTAACAATTAGTTATTGTTAAGCATTCATTGTTCTTTTTGGCTAGATTCGTTCCGTCAGAATATAAAATAAAACACTTTCGCCAAAGATTTTCACGTGAAGATAGAAGTATAAGTGATCGCAACACCATCATAAGTACAAGTGCTAGGAGCATAGGCGAATAATAGTGCTTCAAGCGATAATTTAAGCGATATCGCTCGACTACTCTTCTACGAATATAATAATATAATAATAACACTGTGCAACTGAATTCATTCGAGAAATTTATTTATAAATCCCCAAAATTGAAAGATTAGAAGATTTAAAAATTTAATTTTAGAGTTATTATAAAAACAAAAAATAAGTAAAAACTTACTAAAAGAGCGCAAGAGCCTGTAGTCCAATGAAAAGATTGTTTATTTTTTGCTTTGACTGATTCTTCGAAATGATCACCACGAAAGCTTTCCGCTCGCTTTTCACCAGTATTACTTTCCTTTATTTCTTGGTTTTTCTTTCCAAGCTATAATAAACAATTTATATTTTATTGCATTGTCACCACAGAACCATAAAAATTTATCGCTTTTATACACACCCACCCACTCACAAGTTTCATCCCTTCTAACAAATAATTATCCAAAGTTAAAAAATTAAATCAAAAATTGATATCTTGTCAGCTCATTTTGCGGGGGTTGAAGTGAAAGAGAGATCTATTTCCGGGGCTTAAATACCCTGAAATGATACGAGACAAAATAAACAACAAATGGACAACGATGTTGTTTAGTTAAATTGATAAAAATAGAATAAAATTAGAAATATTTCTGACTTCTTATTTCCGTTAGTATAATTTATACAAATGAATATTTAACTGCACTTTTTAAATATAATTTAACCAAATTTTAAATCGGAAATCCATTTAAATTTTACTTTATTTAATATAAATATTATTTAATAAAACTGCACTAATATGTTCGAATAACTTAGTTATGTACTGCCTGATAATTGATAAAAAACAAAACTGCACATTCAAATAATTTGATAAAAAATAAAAAAAAATAGATAATAAAGAATAAACAAACCTTAATTATAATTACTGCTGGTTTTGTTTTTTGTTGAAAACCATCGTGCAAATTGATTGCACAGAATTTTCGACGACCGTGTTTTAAAATATAAATCGCGGACAAACAGCGATCGCGCAAACGAGGACCCATCCACGCACTTAGAAACATTCAGAAACCCAAATAACAAGAGTAACAAATTTCTAAATTTTGGCTGAATCTTCGCCTTCAATTCAAAATTCTGATTCTTAAGTGGAATTTTCTCCTCTTTACTGCACGAACTTTTTTTGACGATTCGTAAAACTTAGGAAATTTGGAGTTTGATGGAGAACTGCTTGAAAGTTTTCAAATAAGTGAGGGTTGTCGGTGAAGAATCGTCCATATATTGGCAGCCAAAAAACGGTGCAGTTTAGTTGTCACCAGTTAGCTGACCATAGTTGCCAACAGGTGAAAGTCCACTCATTCGCTTATTCTGCCAGCTTTCGCTTGAAAGTCCACTCATTCGGAAATTATGCCTTCACTGGAAAACCATTAATGTTGGCTTTGGTGTAATAACTAAATTATATTTAAAATTACATGAATAATGCAATATCCACTTGGAAATCCAACAAAACGATCACTGATAAGCACACTATCAAACGATCACTGAAAATATTTATCAATGTTTATTTTTAATGAATGTCGCCGAATGGCGAACGAAAGAAAATTAGTTTTAAATTTATAATCCGCCAGAATATTCATTAATTTAATTAATTCTTTATAAATTCGTTAAAATCTGGCGGTTAAACCGTTATAAGATCATTTTCCGCTCACAGATTTGAAATTCTTTTTGCGCGTTCTAAGAAAAAACTATTCTCCTCGGTGTAGAACCATTAAGGAAACTTAGTGGTCGGCGCCCAATATCTTTTAATGATATTTCAAGTTTTTTATTTCTTTTGTATGGAAATTTTTTAAAAACCTTAGTCTTTTTATGTTTTTATTCGTAGTTTTACCTTATAATATTAAAGGTTCTGCGTGAATTCAGTTATTACATTGTATACTTTGCAATATTTTTTTTAAAAGAGTTTTCACCATTGCTGGTTGAACTCGCTGGCTTGTCGCATTGGACAAATACACCAGAGAGTCCCTTAGCGATGGAAATATATGTGAGTCGCCAGCATCACCCGAATAGGTTTGCTGCTGCTGGGAATAGAACCTTAGTATCGGCGCTTCGAATTGAGCAACAACCCACTAAGCCCCCCCTAATATGATATTAAAAGGCAAAGCCCAGCTGCATTATTAAAAGGAAGAAAACGTGTGGAAGACAAAAGTTCAGCAAAATATTTTTCGTACATGGTGCGTCAGCGGGGATTGGAGGATTCACTGCGAACGAACACGGCGGTCTGGTCGATTATTCAAGCAGCAGTAAAATAATCGACAAAGGAACGACTGAAACAAAGCGAACCGACAGTCAATGAACTAAGAACGGAGTGACATCGAGTGTCGTGAAAGTTGTTGTTGTTGTTATGAGTCGGAAAAATAAATTTTTCTTAAACTAAATTCTTTACACTAAATTTTATACTAAATTCTTTCGGTTTTTTGCGAAATCGTGGGGATTTTTATTTAATAACACAGAGTTTCATTCCTAATTTCCTTGAAACTTTGAAATATCGCTATTTTTTTCGATTTTGATTTCTAATTTGCTTTTGTTTTGTGTTGCTATGACGAGAATTCTTCAAATGATCTCTTTATCACTATTAAAGTTGAAAACTAATCTTTATACGACTTTGAACAAAGATTCTGCTTTTATTCACCGACGGTTACTGAGATTAAGAAAATTCACTTTAATGGCCGAATGGAGAAAGCCTTCCTTCAAACTGCTGTGAATGGCGATCGAAGAGATGCGATTTCTGTAGCTGACAGGTGCAAGTCAACAATCAGTCAACAGCCATCAAGAGGTAGTTTGCAGACACATAGACTCGCTCGTACGCCTTTCGGTGTAATCCTTTCCCTATTAGCAGTTGTCATCAAGCCTAAAAGCATCCCATAACATAACTGTAAAGAAAGAAAGTTCCAAAAAATCTCCATGTAGACATTGTTTTTCTAACATTGATAATGAAGGTAGTGACAGCGAACTAAAAATTTTTAAAGATTAAAACAATTTTTAAAGAAACTAATGTGAACTTAAGAATGTCACGAACAACAATGGGATAAAATTAAAAAAATTTCGCATCTCTGTGGCGATTGAAAAAACATCCAAAAAAATAAACAATGGGTTCTGTCTCGCTTCGATATTGAAAAATTAAAAATTACACCAAGGTGAGAATTTAAAAATGCTCTGTAAGGAAATTCAGCTCCTGGATCTCCTTTTGCGAGCCCAAATTGGCACAGAAAGACAAGTAAACATATTAGAAAGTAAACTCCCCTGGTAGAATGGAATTGTGATTTAATTGGAGATATATACAAGCAATATACGAACAGAAATGTTAGAAGAATTATTGGTAAATGTTGGGCAACTGGAGATGAATGCTTACTTACAGTGTGCTTATCGCAACGGCTTGAACCAGTGGAAAAATCTATATATCTACTGCTGCATTTCTTACAGTTCGGTTTACAGTTTCGTTACTCATATAGCTGCATAAAATTAAGATTCGATCTTCTGCTAGATATTACATGCTGCGCAATAATAGACAAGATAATAAAGGCAATGCGAGAGAGAATCTGTTATTTTTTTGAATGTTTTTTCAACTGCTATGAGAATGGGGAAATTTCCTGGATTTCCATGCTTCTACTTTTTCACTTAAATTTCCCAACAGCTGAACTATGACGTCCGAATCTGAGATTACTTTACGCGCTTATGAGACTAGAGCAAATACGTAGGAGAACTAGCTGCCATGTGTTTCTATCTTCCATATCAATTTATTTGTGCCTCTCATTCTCGAGCACCAGTTGATCATCGGCGTATCGGCATATCTCGTTGTTCAATTTCGTCAACCTGTTGTGAGGATTGATTTGTAAGGGCTCTTCTACCTTATCTAAATACTATTAATTCAGCTGTGTAAGAATCAGTTCTCAACTTTAATAAAGGTAAAGAATTTCTTTAAGAATTAAGTAGTAAAAGTCTGCATTTAGTTCGGTTGTATTTTCCCGTAATTCCTCTTAATTCCTCTTTATTTGTGTTATTTCTATTTATTCTTACCCTTTGGTCATATTCCTTTTGTATCTTTTATCGCTAGCATTAATTTCTTTTCATTTGATACCTTATATTTTTGTTGTTAATGCGAGCACACACATGGTGCATGTCGTCTGCTTGGTTCTTTCAAATAAATAAATAAATGTGTTTCAAAGAATTTTAAAGAAAACAAAAATCAGACCTAACTGCTAATTTAATAAATTTGTTAGTTCAACTAGAGAATAATTAAGAATAACCTCGAAGGATTGGGAATATTTAATGAGTGTATAAGTTTATTAAGAAATATAAAAAATGTATGAGGCTGCAATGGCAGAGAGGAACGGGAAGAGTGGTTGTTGACGGACAATAAAGTGGTATGAGGACGTATTAAGAGGTATTAAGGGTAATTGATTGATGTATTAAGGACATATGAGAGGAGGATTCGTTGTCGTAAAAAGCGAACACAAAAAAAACATACAAATTAAATTCACCAAATAAATGCTGTGAATCAGCATTCTAATCTAAAATTCCATTTCATTTTTATACCAAATAGACTAATTTACTATACAAAATCTCATCTCCCAAGATTTGGAAGTAGTCTCATATAATTCCCATTCACAAAAAAGGAAGCACCTGTGACCCTTCTAATTACTGACCTATATGCGTTAGTAACAAGGTACTCGAAAGGTTGATTTTCAAACATAAACATCTGTTAATTATGCGCGCCATGCTATTCACACAAAATGTTTTTTTTGGTTAATGGAAATAATATATGTATATATATATGCATATGATATAGAGCATATTGTACTTTGGTATTTGGATATTTTGGTATTTTTAGGTATTTTTGGTATCTTTTGGTATTTTTTGGTATTGGGTGCTTTGAATTTGGGCTTTGTTTATATGTTTAGATATATGTAGTTTAAGTCTGCTTCATGTTACATTCCTTGGTTATAGTATGTATGAGGAATTTACTTCACCCTTTTTCTTTTTTATCTTATTTCATTTGTTTTTTAATTCTTCGCTTGAAGTTATTGTTTATAATTTTATATTATAATAAAGATAAGGAATTCTTAGCCTGCTTGGGCACAAAACGGCGAGCCATTAGACCTACAATGGTGAACCGCATCCCTTTCGTTTGAAACTTGTTTTCGCCAGTCTAACCTCATATACTAAATCGCGCCAATCCTTTACCCAACAGGCTCAGTCCTCCACAACATTCGTTGAGATAAAGTGTTGTGTGTTTACTGTATATTACAGGCTAAGTGCATATTTATAAATTTATAAGCAAGAAAAAACATGAAAGGATATTGAAATGACTTTTTTTTCATGGCAATTTAATGAAAAAAATGATGTATATTTAAAGTTTTCAAAAGTAGTGATGATAATAGGATAAATTATTCGAGAATTGAAATTTTGCTATTTCCTCCAAACAATTATAATGAATGATAAATAGATGATCTTAATAGGTGTTTAATAGATGATTCAACGGCGCAAATTTTATCGGTTTCATATTATCATATATTGATAAGAATGAACCATGTACTGATAAAAACTGGTAAGAAGAAAAAAATTAACAATATGCAGTCGGAGAATCCAGTATAGAATATTCGGATATTTGATAAGACATGAAAGACAACAAACATATCTTCGTAAAATATTTCAGAAGATATTTCCATTTTGAATGGATATCAGCATTGCTTCTTCCACTGGTTTCTATGGTGAAATTTCCAATACAACTGCAGAAGCCTAACAATAATGCAGAAATTTGCCTTTTTTATTTTTCCAATTATTCCCGTTGATAAACCCTTTCTTCACTAGGGTTAACGTGAAATGATCAATTATCGCGTTGACAATTTCCCACAATCTAAAATTAATAAAAAATTTAAAATTAATAAAATTGATTCATATTTGTCGTTAAATTTTTATAACCGAATTAATAAACATTTCATTTCGTAAGCTTTCCATTAATGTAAATGAAATTTTTCCAGACAATGGGTGTTTTAATTGAAGAAAAGATTGAAAATGATGTCACCAGTACTCATCATGAAATGTTGGCTTGGCACCCGAGAAATGATTGGTTGGCAATTGTTTCATACAATGCACAAATTGGTGGCCAAGTTCATTTTTTCAAACACCAAGTTAGTTTATTTTTTGACGATTGTCAATATGTACAGGAAAAAAGCACAATTATTCATTCACTGGACTCAAAAAATAAGACTCAAAAAATAAGGAATAAACGAACAAATGCCATTACAAATTTGCTGTGCCTGTTTTGTGGACTAGTAATTGTGGCTTTCTCAACTGCAGTTATTGCAGTATTATTGCAGTTTATCAGGCACTTTTCTTCTTATAATAATTGATAAACGTAGGGTGGCTTAGTGCTTTTCTGAGGAATTGAGGCATTTTAATTGATGCATCATAGTTTTGACTTCTCAAGATTCTTCGATTTTCAAGAGTAAAACTATCACTAAAAGTTCGATTCGATGATACTGCTTCTATTAACAAATGGCTAAACGCTAGCCATGACAGCCAGTCAAATCAGAAATAATCAGAAATTAAGTGCTACTAGAAGATGGAGATTGACATAAAAGGTTTAACCTTTTGGCAGATATTTGATAGAAGTATTAAATCGATTTTGAAAATTTAAATATCGCCTATAATCTTAATTTCAAAAGAAATGTTTTTCAGATTGAGAAAGTTAATCATAAACCAGTGCAGAAAGCGAATTGTAAGGTGACAAAAATCAGTTGGCATCCAGAACTGATTTTATTATTAATAGGTTGGGAGAATGGTGACGTCACATTGCGATATGCGGATGAAGAAAAAGATGGTCAACCATTCTGGATTTAACAATTATTAGAATTTTTTCTACTGATATTTATGATGAATATTCAAGGTTTTCAGAATATTCTATAACAGTTGATAATGGGCCATTAAATAAAGTAACTTGCTTGGCGTGGAATAGTTCCCTGGAAAACGAATTCTGCATTGCTGATGAAGTATTATTTTTATTTTTATTGTTTCTATTATTTATTATTATTTCATTATTATTTAAATCCTTTTGATCTGAATTAAATCTAAACCACGAATCGAAGCCAAATATCAAGTGTATTTCTTTTATTGTTTCTAAAAATGCAGTCTTTTCTTCGATTCTTCACTGAAAAATTATTTTCTTCCAAAAAAAGAAATTTTTTTCTTGAAGGTAGGAAATGTGTTAATAAATAAAATGGATAAAAAAAAAGTGAGCAAAACGCTGAAAAGATTTTCTACCGGCGAGGGACTACTTTGTCTACAAAATATAAATTTCGGGTAGGTTTCATTAAGTTTTTTGTTTTAATAATCGAGCGAGAAATAATAATAATCCGACAAAGTTGGTCACCTTTTAATAGCAAATAATTCTTATGTTGCGAAAATGAGATGAAAACAAAAAAAGAAAGAATAATTAGTAAAATTAGTTACGCTGTGGAAATAAGGTTCGTAGTGAAAAGTGCGGAGACAGGCAAAATTGAACTATTGAAAACAGGAATTATTGAAAATTATTTGATTTGATTGACACTGGTCGTTATATATATATATAAATTGTGGAAGCAAAAATCAATTTTTAAGACCGGAATTCACCTGTGTTATTGGGCTCCAGCGACATAGATTTTTTTTCTTTGCTTGGACCGTCAAAGGTCATTTAATTACTTTATCAATCCAATCCTTTGGCGACTCTCGTCCAGTTGCCACTTATTTGTTTGTTTGTGTCGACAGTCTTGTTATGCAAATCGCTTGTTGATTCAGAAATCCAGCGCATCAATCTAATTGTTATCACCTTGTCACCTAATTGTTAATTCATTTCCTTCATTTCCGATTGTACTTTTCGAGTGGTTGATGCATCAGCCGGATTCGAACCAGAGCCGAACCATTTTATCAGAGCTGTTTGTTGCAACCACCTTATTACTGTGCCAATGGCCCACCACTTCAAACTGTTTTTCCGCTTTAGAATGCTCTGTTGTCGCCTTTGTGGAATTCCGGAAAAACGTTTACTCCTTAGCTTTATATTTCGGTTGGTTGCCACACGGGCCTTGCATATTTGAATATCTTTAGTTCTTCAGCTTATGTTAGTTAACAATCTCTTGGCTGTATCATTTTTGCTTATATTACTTGTATTTTTATTTTTTTGATCAATTTTCAACTATTTGCTTTTCCCTCTTATTTATCCTTATTAATCTTGAAAATTTTCCCACTTGAATTGTTGTGCCTAATAATTAATATAATTGATTAAATCTACCAATAAACGTGAAATGATCATTTATAATGCAGGATTTGCCATTTCCTGTTGGTTCTTATTCCATAATTATTGCTATCAAATTCGTGTTGCCTTATATGATGCTGTCCATCTAGACTATTTTTCTTGATCGAAATTGTGACTCTCATCTGCAAAGACCAGCTTCCATTCCCGGTAACCAGATTTTTGTTGGCAGAATTCGAGCCATCCTCATTACTTTGTTGACATTGTTGCTTTTGCTTTACCAGTTCACTGTTTTCTTCTTTCGCCATTAATTTATCCTTGTTGTTTATCTTGTTAAGTTGATTGTCCGTTCGAATCCTGTTCTTTAGGCTGAGATCTAAAATAGATATCGCCGCTTGGTGAAGAGGGAATGAAAAAAGGAAAGATCACTGTAGCATATTGACTGATTTGCGATAAAAAAAAATTTGATTCCTGGACCATGTTCGTGACGATACATATCATTTTTGACTTTGTTAGTTTCAATGACAACAATTTTTCCAGTTATAATTAGTTACAATTTTAGTTAACCAATTGATTAATTAATTTTAGTTACAATTTTGGAGATAAAAGTATAGATGGTTTTTATTCTTTTCGCAGTAGGTTTATTCCTATAAAGAGGGATGAATCGGGCCTATTATATCTGAACCTTAAACGATAGAAGGCATATTCAACCATTCTGGTCTACAAAATATAAAGTTATTCCGGATCTTTCAAAAAGTTTTCAATAGTAATTATGGCAGAATTATTTAATTTGAAGGTCGAAAGCAACAGAAAGTCAATCATCACAAGGAATTTTATACAATAAAGATAACAGATTTGAAGAACCGTTGGAATGTAATGCGAAGGGCATTAATAAACAGGTGAGATGCGAGTATTGAGGCGATAGGTGAAAATGTAAAAATGTAAAAATTTCTTTTAGGCTGATTTGGAAAAAGCCAATAAAGATGTTTCGGCATTTGTCTTCGGTGGGATCAACGGAGGAATTTATTTGTCGTCCAAAATCGAAGAAATTAAAAAAGTGTTCCAAGTAAAGAATTAATAAAATTTAAAATTTTTTAATTATTTATTTGAAATTTATTATATTTGAAATTATTTGAAATTTTAAACAAAGAACTTATAAATCGGATGAAAAATAAATCGAACTAATTAACAATTAGGCATAATTAGATGTTTTTAAAATGTCTCCATTGATATTTTATAAAATTTGTGCTAATTTTTAAATTTTTTGCTAATATTTTTGGATATTTAAAGATTGTTATAAGCATGAAAAGAATATTTGAGAGATTTTTGGGAAAAAAGCTAAAACATAAACGTTTCAGGACACATTTCGAGAGAGATTTAGGATATAAGATTTTGAGGAAAAAGGGATTAAAAAACTAAATATCTGGGATTTTAGAGAAAAAAGGAATAATGTAAAAAAATATTTTTTTCTTATAAAAAATTCTCCCTGCCGGAATAAACCTGTCCAAAAATCCCGACTTATTTCCTAATCCTAATTCTATTTCTAATCGCCAAGAAACTCCCTGGTACCCCCGACAAGTCAGCGGGGTAAGTTCAACCAGTAATGGTGAGTACTCCTAAAAAAGTAATATTGATAATAATGATAATAAAATAACCTTTATCAACCTTTATCAGTTTCTATCTATTCTATTGAAATACATCCGCGGAAAAGTTAAAACAACATCTTTTCATGCATATTAAATATACATTTATAATATCCAATGCATTTGGTCTGTGCCACTATTCATTTCGATTTTTCCTATTTTTCTATTTTTCTATTTTTCGTCATTTCCCAAATAATTAAAAAAATTCATTTTAAGATGATTTAAAAACATTCTTTTTAAAGTTATTAATCATTTTCAGGTCGAAAGCGCCGTTGTGAGTCTTTTATACGTCGAAGAAATGAATGTGATTTTAGCGCTATGTCAAGATTCGATGATTTACCAGTTCAAAATTACTGCTACCAATAGCCTGGAAGAAAAATACCGTGTAATGGAGTTTTTAAATAGATTATCTGCATTGAAATACATCCGCGGAAAAGTTAAAGCAAACATCCTTTCATGGATATTAAATGTCCAATTCTTACGAAATATTTTAATAGATTATAATGAAAAAATACTTGCTATATTTGAAACAAACGAAATAGTTGAAGAGAATCTAAAGAATCTCAATTTAGCTAAACATGTAAAATTGGTGTTGGCTTGATTAAAAATGACTTTTTTAAAGATCATCACAAATTCAAATGAATAATTTTTAGGCAAAACTGAACGGAAAATGGCCGCAATTGCAAATTATTCTTCTTGATGGTGGAATATTGGCAATGTGTTCAGGTGAAAAGAATGTTAGGTGAAGAATATGATTTTATCCAGTCTTTTCAGTAGATAAATATTTAGCTATGCAAATAGAATGGCCAAGTGGTCAGTGATCGTCAGTGATCGAGAGTCAATTCGTCTTTCAGAGATAGGAGTAAACCAGTTATTAAAATAACCCAGTTTGTGCTAGCATGCCATATGTATTTTTATTGCCAAACGATTCTTTGGAAAAAAATTTACAACCATACTAACAGCCAGTAAGGCGAGCATTAACCAGGAATGGGAAACGCTAAAAATTTCTTATAAAGAAACAATCAACATTTATCACAAAATTTTTTCTACTTTTTTTTCTAATTACTAAACATTATTAATTTAATTTATGCATGCGTAGGCAAGTTTTGTTTGTATAAAAATTAATTAAGACACAGATTTATTTTCTAGAATTTGGGATTTAAAAACCGGCGATAATGGATCGCTTCCGCTTCGAGCAGTTAAGGGTTATTCAGCCAGCGATACTATAACTTGCATTGCCTATTCGAAAAGAAAAAGTTAACCATATTTTTCCTCTAAAACAAATTGAAATTAATTCAAACAAATTAAAATTGGAATTTCTATGAATAAATGAGAATTTTTTTCTTATTTCTGAATTTATTTAAATTTATTTATTTCTGAATTTTGTGAAGACATTCCTTTATTTATTTTTGGAAAATTTCATCCTACTATATAATCATGAAAACAGTAAATCTTGCGATTAAAAATAAATTGGGGTCGCGAATCAATTGTTTTTCTTTTAAAGAAAGTGAATTCCAATGAAGAATCAAGCAGGAGATGAAGTCATTTGCAGGTTTAAGCAAATGATAAAAAAAAGCATGAAGCATGAAAAAAGGGCAACGCATCATTATCTCTAATAATATAGCAATATAATAATTAGCCTAATGCGTAATTTATCCAAAAACTAATAAAGTTTCGTATTGTTAATATTAAATTTTTAAATTTTTCTTCCAGTTTGCTTGTTAATATGCATTTTTAAAGCAATAATCCACAGATTTGAAGTTCTTCTTCTTCTAACTGCTCCAACCATTACTGGTTAGGCTGGTTGGCTACAAGGGTAAGACGTCTCCAAGCTGCTCGGCCATCGCTAGAAGTAATAGAAGCCATTCCTTTTTCCATCGTCTAAGTCCATATATCGCTGGTCCACCTATGTTCGAAATCTAACTATGTCAGCTCAGGTCATGGCTGGTTCTCCTAGTTTTTGATGCCAACAATCACAGGGTTTAACAAGTAACGAAATATACGTCAACTCCTGTGGTGGACGACGGAGAGCGTGCCCTAACCAGCGAACGCGATGGTCTGTGATGACATTATTGATAGAGGTGGTATGTAGATGAATACTATCATGTGCGATTTTATCCGCTCGACTGATTCGTAAAATGTTTCTTGGACGTGTTCAAAGGCTGGTAGCTTAATATCTTCTACTCTCATTAGCTATATTAGCTATATTTAGCTATATATATTAGCCATATAGCAAGTTGAGCGAATTATAGCTATGTGGGCGTGGATTTTCGTCTTTATGGTTTACAGATTTGGCTAAGATAAATAAGAACTGCCAATTTGAAAAAATTTAGATTGTTTGTCATGTGGCACATCCGAAGGCAAAATCGCAACATGGAAGTATCGAATGGGTAAGGAAGACAATTTAGCTGAAGAACGCTGGAAACTTCAAGAAGCTATTGAAATGGGCTCGGAGGTTTTGATTTGTTCCATACAATTTTGATAATGCAGCAAGCAAATTAATTAATTTATGAAGTAATTAATTTGTTATAACTGAAGCAAAATCGCATGAAATTTCTTAAGGTAATGATACTTTCATGGAATAATATATCAAATATTCTCGCCATATCGACTCGACTCTCTACAACTATTTTAAAAGAACAAGTCGTCTTATCTGAAATTAACAAAAATGTAAGTAATTTCCAATTTATTTGGATCTTCGCTCGATGAATTTGGACGCTAATACTCGATAATCACATATTTTTCCATGTATTCCATAATTTTTTTCTTTCCTTCAAATCTTACCGATCGATTATTGCTTTTCTTGCTTGAAATTAAAGCAGAAATATTTTCAAGCTTGTTCTTATACAAATGACTTCACGCAGTTTCTTGATGATTCGTATTAATCCAGCTGAACAGCAAGAACTCGTGTTAACTATAAATGTGAAAGGAATTCATATAAGCGACAAAAATATCGCAATTTGGGATGATAATCAAGTAAGAAAGTAATCTGCTTGGCTGGTTTTCAATAAATAAGTAAATAAGAAAGAGAGTGATAAATAATTTTATATAAAATTTTTTTTATAAATTCACTTTTTGAACAATTGGCAACTATTGATAACTTTTTGTCAACAACTTTTCAACTTTTCAAGTTTTTGTTAGTGAACCACTCGCAGATCGAAGTATAACTTGGCTCCCAGAATCTCCCGCATTTCACTTTTAGCAATAAGATTTAATGACCGAACTCTTTGAACTGAACAATTTCCCACTCAGCAATTCGGCCATCATTTCAGAGTTTTTTGGTCATTATTAATATTAAAATTTTCCAGATTATATTGTATGACATAATCGATTCACCGAGTACACCGATAAAAGCACAAATTTCCTCCAATTTCGCATGTTCGGTAACTTCAGCAAAAATTTACGAAACCGATATCTATTGCCTTGAAATTGAAAAAAAGGTTACTGTGCGGACATTTCAGGTCAGTTTATTTGAGTTTTTTAAAAATATACGGAATTTTGGCAATAATATTGGTATTATGAGGTATACTGAGATTTGAAAATGGGAAAGATACTCTTGAATATATAAAATTGTATTTAGGGGGGCAAAGTTAGTGAAAAAATGAAAATTTAGAAAGAAAAGAGAAAAAATCACTGAATTTTGGTCTGAATTTGATCTCCAGGGAACGATAAAAGAGATTTTGTCGCTGCCAGAAATGGAAGGTGATGCAGTCATGCTAGAGTTAAACAATTCTTGGATATGTATTCCGACCAGTAATGGATTTCTTCGCATTTATGATCTCACCGGCCGGTAAACCATTCATGCATAAATTTTGTTTTATTAAAGATATTCGAGATCCTTTAAAGCGCCATTTGGTATTCTAATCAACATAAATGTTTTCTGCCTGTTTTCTGTCATTCCTGCCCAACAAAAACATATCTAAAGTATAAGATCAGTGTAGTGTTAATTTTATAATAATTACGGTTTAATTAGGCTTTCCATAACTTGTGAAGCTTTCTGAGAATTTTTGTTGTCGTTTAGTGAAGTTCGACAGCAATATCAATCGAAATGTGTCACAGAAGCGGAAAACAATTTTTACAAATTTCTGGAAGTGAAACTCAACAATGATGGAAATCGAGTTGCTTTTACTTATTCAACGAGGAATAATGCAAGTTTTTCGGAATTTTAAATAGAATTAAAATTAAAATTTTCTAGTGGTAAAAAATTGATACATAGCCGTAGCTCACCGCAGATTTATATATTCAATCCCATGGGCAATTCCAGGATGGTGTTGGAATTCATCTACCTTAGTTGTTTTTTCACATTTTATTATCTTTAAGGTTCAACCACGATTAATATTTTGGGATGCCGAATCCGATACCGTATCATATTTTGATTTTATAACTGGTATGACTGATCAGCAGCAAATCGAGGCAGAAGCTAACGTTGGGTTGAAATGTCCAATTACTGCCGCTATCAGGTAAATCAAATCAATGAACATGTCTTCTGAACATCCATGAGTTTTGTCGAATTGTTCTTTTGTCGAATTTTCTCGTCAAATATAGAAAAACTACAACTTTTAAAGCTTTATTCGAAGCAAAATATTATTCAGAATAAATGAAAAAGAACAGTCACGGTTTCGTTTGTTGGAGCATATTCCAGGCTGCTTTAGCTGGGACACTGATGATAATCGGTTTCTCGTATGTGAGGCGAACAATCGCTATCCGGAAAAAGTTCAATTTTAGAATTTGTTAATCAGAACCTTAATGATTTAATAAATTACATTAAAGCTGGCAATCTTCATTCAATAATTGATCAGCCCACTTGTACTTCTATTATCAATTGACTCTCCTACCAGAATTTTTAATTCAGTTAACAATCAGTGGAACGAGCCAAACCAGAAATAGCAGGAATAACCACTTTTTAGTTTAGAAGAATGTGGCAATGACTTTTTCTTACTGAACTTATTATCATTAGAAAAGGCCCTTAAAATTATAAATTTGTCTTCGCATTTTAAAATGGCAACAAGGAGGTATTACGACTGAGTAAAATATTAGACTATCAGTTCAAGCATCTTGGTTAGTCAAAATGATTGAAATGAAGCTTTTCGCTAAAAGTAAAAGTCAAAATGTGGGTTGTTCAATGCAATCAGCCAAAATCTTTAATAATATGGAAGATGGAACTGTAGTTTATTATTATTATTTTTCAGGGTCAAAGCTATTTATTGACAATGTTTTTCTCAATGGAATATGGCTTACAAATGCAAGATTTATTCCCAAAATCAACCAGATCGGAGAAACTATTAAAACTTTCCATACCTTTTTTATATTTTGTTAAAAAAGTTAGTGAAAAATTGTCGGCTTAAATTATGGTATATTCAGGAGAAGTCTTATTTCTTAATTTAGATAGATGACGACGATGATGATACCGAAACTGAAAAATCAATCGGTAATTTACTTTTGAGAAAATGCTTAAGAGAATTTGTTGGTTTGGAGACAGCCGATAATCAAACAAAAAAAGTTAGTAGGTTTTTAAACTGCTTCAATTCTTCTTAATTCTTCGATTTCGGCCTTCAACTGAAAGTTCTTGCTAGAAGTATAAGTATAAATATTATAAAATAAGCTAAAAAAACATGTTATTCTATCAGGCGATGCTGAATTTCTCGCTTTACTTAACAGTTGGAAAAATGACCGAAGCTTTCAAAGCTATCAAATTCATAAAAAGGTTAAATTTCTCCTTTGATGTTGATATTTCATTTCATCATAATTCTTCCCTCACATCTTCTGATTTGGTTCGTTTCACTGATTACTGTGATGAAATCATTGGCCAACTAGAAGTGCAGATGGATTCGGATTTCACTTTTAATGACAGATTCATTAATTTCAAAAAGATTTTATCTTTATAACATAAATAGTCTTTTAATGAAACAATGGAATTTTAGTGAAAGTGTTTGGGAACATATGGCTCACATGTGTGTAAAGACAAGACGCCTGGATGTTGCATCGGTTTGCTTGGGAAATATGGGTCATGCACGTGGAGTACAAGCACTGAGGAGAGCAAAAGAAAATGGGGAATGCGAAGAAGTACAAATTGCTATATTAGCAATACAACTTGGCCTTATTGTAAGATTTACTGAAATTGATTTCACCGAAAAATTTTAAGATATGGTAAAATCTGCAGAAGATTTTGTTTTTTTATTTCAACTGGATAAATAGATAAAAAAGAACAAAACGACAGGTGTTTTAAATAAAAAGCAAAAGGAAGAAGAAATTACGTGGTTTATTACTAACTGCTAATTAGTTCTGAATTCTGAACTGCTAACTCGCCATTCTTGGCTTTGTTGGTCCCACTAACTAACTCATATTCTTTCGCCAAAGAATTTCTTGCAGAATTTCTTGAAGTATGGAGAATTGAGGATATCCCATTCAAATTTCGTTTTTAGTTTTATCAGAGAAGACTTTTGTTTAGACTTTCATAAACTTGAGCTGGTCGAAGACGACTAGAAAGATTTGAGTTAAATCGGTGCAACATATCATCTGTCATTCACGCTTCCAATTAACTTTGAATATACACTTCTCACTTCTCACGACTCATTAAAAATACAATTCGAGGAACGAATAACTTTTAGGACGAAGCACAATCACTTTTTGCATCTTGTGGACGTTACGACTTACTTAATCGACTTCTGCAGTCAAGAAATAGGTGGACTGAGGTAAGAAACCGGTAATTTCGCATTGAATAAAATTATGCTCTCTGAAAGAAAATAGTATTTAGGCATTTGATGTCGCTGAGCACCATGATCGAATTAATTTAAGGAGTACTTATTATAATCATGCACAATATTTGGAATCGATAGGATCTTTTGAAAAGGCGATTGAAAGGTAATTTCATTAAGTAAAACTTTTCGTACCTATTAAATAGCAAAAAGAACAGCGATGATATAATCTGACTGATTTCGTGCAAAAGTGAAAAGGTGGTGAATTTTTAGATCAATGAAAAATAGACAAAAATAGACAAAAACGAATCGAATCAGTCTGGTATCTAATCAGTCGTGCCTTTTAACTTAAAATTCTTCGATTTTTAACGCCATAAATTGTGGATTTTTTCAACTTTTAGATCGTTATTTTGTCTTAGTTATTGTCTCAAGTACCACACGTTGTCAATAAAAATGAATTCCGGTTGTGCTGGAATTTCACTTACATGTCTTGGTTCGCAAATAACTTTAGAAGAAAAGAAACTGAAGAAATTTCTTTTTTTTCAGCTATGAGAAATCGAATACGCACGCTTTTGAGATACCCAGAATGATGCTAAACGATCCTAAAAATCTGGAAGCATATATTACCAAAGAGCAAAAAAATCCGTCAGTTTAAATTTTAATAAGATATTTACATTTTTTGAAAAATTCGATGTTAGAAAAAGATTCGTTAATTTTCATAATGGTTCTTCGATGTAATTTCCATAAATGTTAATTTGCTTCGTACAGTCGATCATACTTGAGAAGAAAATTTCAGAAAATTAATGAAATGGTGGGCTCAATATATGGAAAGCAGTGGCAATATTAAAGCTGCGAAATATTACTACGAGTTAGCCAAAGATTATCTATCACTCGTTCGATTGCTTTGTTCTAATAATTTGATTGATGAAGTTACTTTTTCTTCAATTATTAATTGTGCTTATCAGTTATCAAAAAAAAATTAGCTTTTTAGCTCATTAATTATCAATTAATAGTTCAATAGTTGTTATTAAACACATTGAAGTATTTATTGCTCGTTAAATATGTGAAACTGGCGCTGGTTTTAAAATGATATCAAAGAAATTTTCGCGGAAAATCGTGAGATAATAATTTTGGTTTAAAAATTAATACAGGTGTTCAAAATCAATTCTTTGCAAGCAAGAATCAAAAAATGATCTTCCGGACATATTTTCATATTTTCACCATTGGCAGGCACAGTGAATTAACTAAATAAAGCCTGTAATGTTTGGGGTCGGAAAAAGACCGGTGGAAGCTAATTACTGGCTAAAAAAAAGGTGTTTATTTTAAATGTCCTATAAATAACAGGTATTCAGGCATGTGAAGTCGCAAAGAAGAGTAAAGACAAGTCTGCTTGTTATCATTTGGCACAATATTATGAAGCACATGGCGACTTTAATTCTGCTATAAATTTTTTTGCAAAGGCACATGCTTATAACAGTGCTACACGATTAGCGAAGGTGATTTATCTATACAAATATCAACTCGTTTATATTCACGTTCAGTACCAAATTCGCTTTTTTTTGCTCCTCCAACAGTATTTCTTTTGGATTAAGAACGAAATACTCTTGGATTAAAATTTAAAAAATCAGCTCAGAAAAAAAATCATATTTCAGAAGATGTTATCAATATAATTCATAAGAGATTTTATCATTTTACCACTTTTTAGGAACATCATATGAAAGATAAATTGGCGAATTTCGCTTTATTAGCAGGCGGTAACGAACTTGTTGAAGCAGCTCGTTATTATGAAGAGAACACCGAAGAAACTGATAAAGCTGTTATGCTCTATCATAAAGTATAATTAAATAAGAAAAGTTTCTTCAATTATAAAACTTTCACTTAGCTTAAATTTTGAAGGGAAAAGAATTAAATGTCGCAAAATGAATTTAAAGAACGCAATGGTTAAAATGAAAAAAACGAAAAAATTAGTGAAGATAACAAATTAGATTCTAAGTGGTTCTGTGGACCCACACATATTCATCTACCTCTAAGAGACCAGATTCGTCTTCCCCTAGTGGCTAGCTAAAGGTATTAAGTAAAGAATCTATACTTTATGATTAGCGCCTTAATTTTGTGGCCCGAATTTTGTTTTTTGCCCTTATGCCTAATCGCCTAAATGTTCCCTTCGGTCTTGGTTATTAAATTTAAAATTTGCAAAAAAAGAAAGCAAAAGAAAGCATTTTTTAGCCGAAGAAAACTCTCCCTTCATATAAAGGCCAGTGATTAAAGTTGTAAACCTTTAACAAAAAAGAGCAATATTTAAAGGCTGGTTTAATTGGAAGAGCTCTCGATCTTGCATTTCGCACGGAACAGTTTAGTGCTTTGGATTTAATTATAAAGGACCTCGATCAAACCTCTGATACTGTAAGCCTTGAAAGAGCAGCAGAATTCTTTATCAACAATCAGCGATATGAAAAAGCTGTCCAACTTTTGGCTTATGCAAAAAAGGTTATTAAAACAAATTTTCTATCAGTGCTATCATTCTATCATTTTATATCATTTTATATGAGTTTAAAATATCTTATATCATATTAAAATTTTTTATTATCTTTATTATCTTTGAAAAATTTTATGAGCTAAGCAATTTTTAATGCCAGTTTTTTAGTTTTCTGCGGCGATAGACCTGTGTGCCGATAAAAATGTGCCCATCACAGAGCAGATAGCTGAATTGCTTACTCCAACCAAAGGTTTTTTATTATTGTTATTACAATAAATATTGAACAATGCGTTAGCAGAATCATCGTCAAACCTAAATAACCCTCGATATTTCCTCAAAATCCGTTATATTCTTTAAGAGTCTTGCACATTCATCTTATCTGTAATATTCCACTTTTAAACTCTTATTCCTCATTCTCCTCATAAAAGAACATTCTACTGGCAAAAACATTATGAAAATATAAGAGAACTGGTAGAGCCTATAAACTGAGGAGAATTAAAATGGTAGAAAATGGTTAAAGGTGATGTTTCGAACAGAGAAAAATAGCTACGGAAATTTGAGAGTGTAAATATTAATAAAGAATTTACCAGGGTTTAGAGAGGCTTTTTTGGCAATGTAGGCCATAAAGAGGTGTTAACACGATGGGCTTAAATTTGAGACGCTTCTCAAAATACCTAGCAAGCTTTTCATCAAATTTATTATCATTTTTATATCATTATTATTATTTTTGACACTCTGTGAGTATGGGACAGGTATCACCTTCTTATAATAAAATTTTTTTCTTAAGAGTCCTCACCATTACTGGCTAAATTCAATCCAATGGGTTGTCTCATTGGGCAATAGGCCAGGGAGTCCCTTGGCGATAGAAATGTTGGTGAGTCGCCAGCATCACCCGGATTTTTGTACAAGTTTATTCCTGCGATGAATCGAACCTCATCATCGGCGCTGCATTGAACAACAACCTACTGAGCCATTCTATCCCCGATAAATATTATTGACTTTATCAATCTCGAATTGTTTTATTCTATTACTATATATACTAAGGTAATTACTATATATACTAAGGTGATTTTTCAAGGATAATTTGAAGATGGGTCTGAATTTTATTTAATTTTATTTATTACAATTACTATGTTCTAATATCCATGTTATGATGCTTTTTTTTATAATGCCTGTAGCAAACTAAAAATAGCAAAAATAATGAAGTTAATCATGAGTTAATTTAAATTTTTACTACTTTTTTTATTAATTAATATGATGAGTGGTATGCTGCTTGGAACATTTGCTGAAACTTCATGGATTTAGTTGTTGCTATTTGCTAGAAATCTTATTATTAGAATTAATATCCGATGATGGTGGGAATACTCTTACAATTCTTTCTCGTACTTATTAGAAAAGGCTTAAAATCATCGTTTTTTATTCTATTACTATATATACTAAGGTAATTACTATATATACTAAAGCAGTTATTCATGCACTGGCAGTCAATTAGTAGTTTTTTTAGATGCTATTATGAACCAGGTTGAACGCAATGATTTACTCGAAAAGCTTGCTGAATGTTGTGTGCAACAACGAAATTACCACTGTGCCGCCAAAAAATTCACTCAAGCTGGCAAGAAACACCATGTTCGTTATTTACTATTTATTTAGTTTTAAACCATATATGTAAATAAGTATTCATTAAAACCGATTAAAATATTGCTGTAATCTAAATGGTAAATATAGTGAATGAAGCAATGAACCATCAAATTTTTTTTTGAAAGATCTTCACCATGTACCGGTTAAACTCGCTCCACTGGATTGTCGCATTGGGCAGTATGCCAGGGAGTCTTTTAGCGATAGAAATACAGGTGGGTTGCCAGCATCACCCGGATTTTTGTACAGGTTTACTCCTGCAGGGAATCAAACTTCAGCATCGGCGCTCCCAATTGAATAACAACCCACTGAGCCAGTTTATTCCCACCAAATATGCACCTAAAAAAGCAGTAAAACATTGGAAACTGAGGGGCTTTCAGATAATTTCTTTGCTATAAAGTGCCTTATAATATGTGAAAAAAATTGGTAACTTCCGCAAAATTAACAAGAATTTGGGAAATAAGAAATTAGGAAAAAATTGATAAGGAATCATTGGCTTCGACTAAGATCAAACGTCACTTTTCTGATTTCAAACCTGTTTTAAAAGAGGAACTGGAGAGTTCCCTAAGCAATCTATGGCGAGGCGGTTTTATTACTGATTAGCCAAATCAGAAATTTTGCTACTGAAAGAAGCATACATTCTTGCAATATGTTTAATGGATTCTTCTCACTAATTTGTTATTTTTATTGCATTGAAGATGATTTTAAGGTAAAGATAGTTACACTGCTAATGGCCAACTTCGCTTCGTCGCACTTTATTTTTTATTCAAAAATTTTTGTGAAGTCCTGGAACTTAATTAGCAAATTAAGTTTTAGGCTATGAGTGCACTGCTAAAATCAAGCGATACAGAAAAGATAATTTTTTTTGCAAATACAGCAAGAGATAAAGAAATTTACATTATGGCAGCAAACTATTTGCAAACTCTCGACTGGAAGTCGGATGCAAATTTAATGAAGCAAATAGAAATCTTCTACAATAAGGCTACTGCATTTGAACATCTTGCTAGCTTTTACGAAGTTTGTGCCCAAGTAGGTTGATCTGATTTTCTGATTCTCTAAGTGGAACCCATTTGTATAGTGATCTAATTTTATTTCTTTATTTCTTTATATATATTTTATTTCGTTATATAAAAATATTATAAATTCTTTTATTTATCTATTGTTATTTAGTAAATTGATGGCATTTTTAAAAATTAGCCAATTTTTAAAGCCATTCAAAATAGGAAGCGACTTTATCTCTTTTATCGTACTATTTTCGTTCATCAAATCGCTTATAATTTTCCCTGCAAAATACGATTAATAAAAAAATAAAAAGATATTGAAAATAATCATAATGGAACTTGTACGTTAAATAACATGGTGAATATTTATATTTATTTTATTTATCTGTCATTTTAAAAATTGCGTTAGTAGGCAATTTTTTCCAATATTCGATAATACAAGGAATGAAAAAGCTATCGAGCATCATCTTTCAAATCGTTTTCCATATATCCAATTTACTGATGATTTTATCCGTTCTGAACGATAATTAATAAACCAATTAATTTTACAGGCTGAAATTGATGAATATCAGGATTACAGTAAAGCATATGCTGCACTGAAGGAAGCTCATCACTATCTTGCCAAAGCACTTGAAAGAAAATCGGGCAATAACGATTACATATTGGGTAAACAAGGCGAACTTCAGCAAGCCATATCCTCGATTAACAAATTTCTGAGAATTCGCACGTCTGTATTTCTATAAAAGATTCGTTGTCCAATTTTTATTTTACTAATTTTTACTAATTTTTTTAAAAATTAGTTTTACAAATTTAATAAAAAGTCAATTTATTTGGAATTCGTTCCGCATTACGAGATGAAGTCCAAATAATAATAATAAATTAAGCGTTTATGAAAGTGATCCAGATGATGCGATACGACAAGTTGAGAATCTATTGCGAACAACTGAAACTGAATGCGGTGTTCGTATTGGTGATATGTACGCAGTTGTAATTCTCCATTATTATCGAAGAAATGACTACCGAAAGGTGTTTTTTAGTATCATCACTATCATCATTGGTGTTCACTATTTCCGGTTTGAATGGATAAACTGACTACTCTCAGGCTTTGCTCTCTATATACTCTCTAGGTAGAATCGTTAGAGATAGTAGGGGCAGGGTAAGTTTCCAGCAGCACCCATTCCATAAAGTTTCATAATCTCATAAAATTGAACCGATCAAGTTTAAATAAATGTTAAAAGAAAATTTAAATTCAAACCATGAAACATCAGTGACCAATCACTTATCCAAAAAATATTTTAAAATTTTCAGGCATATTCATTGATTCAAGAATTGCAACGGCGTCAGAAGCAAATCAATTTATTAAATTATATAAATCCGAAAATCTTAAATAATATTTGTGATGAACTGAACCTACCAAGGCCGATCAGTAAAGACAGTAAAGAAGAGCCGGAAATGGAAGCAAATCTCGAAGATCTCGTCGAATATAGTTATGCAATGAAGAAATGCTTAGAAGAAGAAGGAAAAAGCGATCTCGATAAGCACTAAATTCATTATAAATCATATTATTTATACGAACCAGATTATTTATTAAATTATTATTTTCAATGCAGTGTTCAATAGAATCGAAAAATTCAGCCGAATTTTTTGGAAATCCGCTTTTTCATTTCAGCGTATCTTCTGGAAATCTCTATGAGCTTAAATAGCAATAAGAGTCCATGTAAAAAATTACAAATTCAAAAAGATTCAATTCGCTTTTAAGTCTTAATTTTCTGCTTTTAATAAATATCGATATTGAGCAGTAATAAAGGAAAAATAAATAACAAATGCATCGAAACTTACGAAGATATTGCAAGAGCGAATTTCTATGCTGACAATTACATTCAGTTACATTCAGTTCGAATGATTCGAACCGATATAAGTAATCCAATTTATTGCCCGACTTCATGACGAAGAAGAACTATGAGCTACCAAGACTTGAATCTGCGAACTGCCACTGTCGTTGTTCGATGCTTCATACACATTCTGGAACTTCCGTCCGCGTACGCTAACTATTTTATTTCAAGTGAATAAATCCTTTATTTTAGAAGATTTAATCTCAACTGTCCTCGATGCATTAACTGGGGGCATGGCTTTTACCATTCCTTAAAAAAATTACAAAGTTTTCACTGACTTCTTTTTCCCTATTTTCATATATCATTATGTATTGGTTACATGCATTTCTTTATCCAATTTTTTTATTTGAACTTATTTTTCTATTTTTTGAAAGAAAGAAAGTTTGTAAGTGCTCCTAGCAGCACTGCAAATGCATTCCAAGCTCTTAAATTCCTAATAAATTCGATCCTTTTAATAGACGAAAATGTCGCCCGAAATAAAGTTGACTTTTGACATTAAAGTATCATCGGTGCTAAAATATCCATTTTTCTTTGAATATCTGGTTTTTAAGAATTTTTAAGTTATTTATTGAAAATTTTATTTTCCTCGCTGAGAATCAGCGCAAAATTAAAAATTTTTTGTGAATAAATCGTACAAAATATGCAAAAAATAAATCAAATATCTGAAAATTTTTTCTTTTAAAAAAATGATTTGGAAATCTCTTTGATCTCTTCGATAAACTCCTTTGTTATATCTCATTTAAAAAATTCACGAAATTTCCTTAGTTTACTCTTATAAATTTCCTATTTTTGTATCGTTTTATTTGATCAGAAACAATGAAAATATAATTTTCTCTTCTATCGGATATTTTAAATTTCTAGATTTCATCCTCGTTATAAGCAAATTCTTATCGTTCACCATAAACGAATTGTATAATTGTAGAATTTTACTCGATAACATAAAAATAGATATAGTAAAGCAGCAGCAATATTGTTAAAATGATTATGAAGAAAGCAAAGGCAAAATATAAGAAGACATATAAATAGACTTACAGAAATTAAAGAAATTTAGTTACATTTAATATTTAACTGAAATTTAAGAAAAGAAATTCTCCAACGAATCCTATATTTAACACATATTTATTTCATATACATGATTAAGTTTTTCTTAATTAAATTTTCTTAATTAATTAAATTAAGGAATAAAGTTGAATATTTGGAAATTCAAATAACTTGGAATTACTGTAAGTACCATCCGTATGATATCGTTTTATATTGTCGAAATTGTTATCAGCAATCTGTACACTTAAATTAATAGTTTTACGATGAAGCCATGAGAGTTTATTACAAAAAATCATCCAGTAGCGACCTGGTTGAATACATTCAACTGAATCGGTTTCGTGGACCAATTTTGCACTTAGTTTGAACCAGGGGTAGATCATTTCGAGTTGATCTGTATCAATTTCTTTTTCTGTTGTTCGCATGTGATTTATTGCACCTGTTGATGGTAATTCTTCGAATGGCTAAATATGATTTTTATATAAAAAATAAAAAATATTTTTTCAAATAATCATATTTTCATTCCTATTTGAGAAATTTATAGAAGAGGAAGAGTTATTTTATTTGCTTTGAATTCTTGTTTAATTCTTGCTTGATTTCTTTTTCAGATTATACTCAATATTTCTAGATCAGCTGGCTTTACTAGTTACCAAGAGCCTTTGAGAACCATAGAACTGCTTAAAAAAAGTAATACAAGTGGATCCTTGACGGTTTCATCCCCGCCGAAGAATCGAATCTATGATGGTTTAGCCTCAACTAAAACTTTAAAAAACTTGAAAGTTCTCCTATAGGTTTCCCATAGTCAAAAAACATCAAAAAGAGTTTAGAATTCAATTAGAAAAGAATAAGAATTCACGTTAAATTTTATTAAAATTTAATAAATAAAGGTAAGCAAACCACCTGATAAAAGATACCAAAATTAATTTCGCCATCAGTTGTGAAATACCAAGCCATACGTCTGTGGCTTTCTGTAATATCGATGTGGATCTGTCTAGTTTTTCGTGGTGGTATATGAATAGTTTCCAGATTGCTTAACAATTCAATATTTGTTGGCTTCCAGTGCATTTCAGATGTAACTTTTATTGCGGGAGTACATCGAATATGCTGAAAAAATCGAAAACATTTGAGGATGGATTAATTGATATTTTGATGTTTTATATTTTACAAGCAAAGAATGGTTTTTGATGCAGTTGGTGCTTACATTCGAAAAATGTGAAAATTTTCTTGAATGAATATTTCGAAATAATCAGTTATTGATGATAAAAACAGGAAACACACCTCATTTTTTCCTCCCAAGGTGGTAGGAATATCTTCAATTTTTATATCTTTTAAAGCTCCTAAGAAATTATCATCGTGTAGACGGAAACGTTCCGTAAAACCCATTGGCATCATTGTTCGCACAATTTTATATGGCACATGAATCCATTTGGCTATATTAACCATATCTATTGGTCCGACCTGTAAATATAAAAATAATTCTCAAATATGAACAGCCTAAGGATTTTTCGTATTTTCTTCGTCCATTTTAATCTTATCGTTGTTTACTGCAAATTAGGTTCATGATAAGAGGTAAAATGGCTCAGTGGGCTGTTGCTAAATCCGAAGAGCCGATGCTGAGGTTCTACCCCCCGCATGAGTAAATCTGTCCAAAAATCTGGGGGATGCTAACAACTCATTTGTACTTTTATCGCCAAGACTCCCTGGCATATTTGTCTAGTGCGACAAGCCAGAGCAGCCAGTACAATTAGTAATGTGAGTGCTTTTAGAAAAAAGTTCGTGGTATAAGATGTTATAAAATATTTTGTTATATATTTATCTTATTTTAATACAAAGATTAACCAGTTCAGGATAGTTTTCGTAGTGAAAAAGATGTGAATAATAGGTCAGTGAACCATTTGTAACGAAGAGCATCATAAATGGATTGATTTCATATCCGGAAAGGTCGACAATATGCCGCAAACCACTAAGCTTTCCCGTTTTTTCCTCCTGTACTTCAATACTTTAATTTTAAATGGTTTATTTTGGTACTTTATTGCTTACCAATAATTTTAAATAGTTTGATTTTATGATTTTAAGTTCAAGTTACCACTAAGTTTTCAGGAAGAAGAATCATTTAAAGTGATCGTGAGAAGAGAATGGCGTTGAGACCTCTAATCCCCATAATAAAAAGCCAATGGAAATGGCAATTAGAAAAGCAGAGTAATTTTGATTACCAAAAAGAAATGAATTACTGATAAGAGCTTACCTACTTGATCGATTATTAACTTATCAGTTCAGTTATATATTATCAGTTACTTATCAGTTCTTTATATATTCTTTACCTGTTTATTAACTGTCCGTAGCATGTGTTCATACTGTAAGAATTGCAACCGGATTGAATGTGAGCTTCGAAAAATATGAGCCAGAGGCTATAAAGAACAATCAAATTTCTTTGGTTTATGAATTATTCAAATGACTCATTTCCAACTTAAACTAGTGATTCATTTGTAGAGATGAAATAAACCAATAAGGATTTGCATATTTTTCTGTACATATTTGCATATTTGCAGATTTGCATATTTTACTTAACAATATGTGAGTAATTATTTGTCGACACTCAGACTTTATCAGATTTATTTCTACGCAGCGACAACAGCCAAACCCTTGCCCCTCAAACGATAAGCAATTCATGGGAAACTATTAATCACTCAAGCAAAGACAAACACGATTGGTCTCCTAAATTTTGGTGAAACAATTTTTTGGGATTTAGAAATTTTTTGAAAAATAAATGGCAAAATCAAATAGCTGAACTTATGTACCTTCGAAAAAGTTAAGTGTTTACCTCAACATTAATAGTCGCATATTCGACATACCACAATAACCTATTCGAACTGTCCGTCACGGATAATATTTGACCCATTGGAAGATATCTATTTTTGAATAATTCATTCTTTTCAAATGGCACATCTGGTTGATGATCCTTAAATTGAAGTCGCTTAAAAGTATTCTATACCACTTCTGCTGGAGAACAACTTTACTGCCGAGCAACTTTCTGAAGGGACTATCTCATATTTAAAAATTAGTATGGTATATTGATGTTATCAGGAGGGGAATATTTTATATAAAAATAATATATATTTATTTTTTAATCCACATTTGTTCAAGTAAATAATTAAATAGTTTTAATACATTTCTATAATACATTTTAATCACTGAAACGCTGTCTTGGATATGATATGGATCATTAATGATGGAAACAGCAATTTTTCGGATGGATATATTCAGATGAAAAAAAAAAATTCTAACGAATACATTTAAAAAATTTTTCCCTTTAACCTGTTGGATTTTTTCCTCTCGGTGAAGTCAAAATATTTTATATAATATCAAAATGTCAAATTAAATAAGAATTTTAAAATTGAATTTGTAATTTAAATAATTTAATCTAGGTAAATTAGAACCAGGTTTAAAGCTTTCCGTATTCTGAGGTGACTGTTGATTGCTTTCGCTGCAACATCGATAATTTCTTTTTCTTTTTTATGTGCCCTTTCTGCAGCCAAAATAAACCGATATAGGTTGAAATCGGTATCAAACTGCAATTTAGTGAACATTCCACAGATCCAAGGTAAAAAACTTTTATCTTGAAACCAGGTTTCCCTAATTATTGAAAAAAAATCTATGGATAATACTAATACTAATATAATAAAGAAAAGAAATAAAATAAAATTGTAAAATTGAAAATAGATTTATCAAAGCCTTGCATCGGGAATTAAAAATAGGTAAATAATTAGCGTTCACTTCTAATTTTACCACTAAGTTAGCTCCGCTGACTATTAGGATGGTCAAAAATTTGTCAGGAAGTTACGGCAGAAGTAGAAATAGATCGCGAATACATGGACTTTCTCGGTGACAGATTTACTCCAACTCCTCTAACTTATGGTAGTCGAAGTAAATCGAAGCAACTATCTTTGCTTTGCACTACGAATTCCTAAATTTTTTGAAAAATCGCAAATTTTCTTTATTTTAATTCCAGTTCTAGTTTTAAAATAAAGTAAAGTAAAACTTACATTTGGATGAATTGGTTGATTAATTTTTAAGCGTAATTCATTAACCAATTTTCGCGATTCAATACTCAATGGTTCACCAAAATTCGTACTCGCATTCTTCATGATATCTTCAACTTATCAGTTTTTTAGTGATAAAATATTTATGAGGTGCCCTAATGATAAAATGGCTGATAAATTTCTATCCGTTTCATTCACGAAAATTTATTTATCAAAATTCTCCTATCGTGCTATCCGATTTGGCTTATTTCTGATTATTATTTATGGAGTAAATTTTTCGTTAAAGTAGTAATTCTTAATGTGTGGAGGCTCACAATAATATAGTATATCAATAACATACTTATAAATTCAAAAATTTCTCAGCTTAAAATCCTGACACTGTGAATATCGAAAGGCATAAATGATATAAAAAAAAAGTTCTTTCAGGAAGCTAACGCGAAAAGTTCCAGAACCGTTGCGCTGGAAGGTCTTTCACTTCGAAATATCGGACCACATCTGGTCAAATTCGCTCCATTCTGGCTATTAATACGATAAAAAATTTTTACTGCGAAAGACGAAATCACCTTTTTTTAAAGGTTTTCTTCCGTCGAAGGCAGATTCTTTGATGCTCAAAACGATAATCTGCACAATAAATTAAATGGAAACGGTTTAGAAGGAGAGAAAATCAATGATAGGCTGGAATTGTTTTATTGCCCTGAAGAAGGGCATTTATCTTCAACTAAAATTCGCTATAGTGCTTAATAAATGGACAAAAAATGATTCTGAGGTCTTTAAAGAACTCCGAACACTGATTTTTACCGAAGCCTTATCACTTTATCGTTTAAAAACACTGATAATTATAGCAATAGTGAATCATTATTATGGTGGAGCATTTTTCGAAAACAAAGGGAAACCAGAAAAATTATTTCCAAAATATTGAATCAAAGAAAACTCGCTAAAAAAATTTTCAATTTGAATTAACTCAAATCTAAATAATGAACAAACAAAGAAGTACGATAGCTGGGCAGATAACTCATGTTACTGCCTTTTTTAAGAGCCCTCACCATTACTGGTTAGACTCGCTCCGCCGGCTTTTCGCACTGGAAAAATATGCCAGGAGCCCCTTGGCGACACAGGCACAACTGAATCGCCAGCAATACCTGAATATCATTGAGGCTAGGATTCAGCTCTTGGTCACAATCTGCCATTAAAAAATCCAGACAGTGCCGATTCACTTCTATCGCCAAGAAATTCTTATCGTACATATTGCCAGTGGCGTTTGGCCTAACCAAATGGATCTAATTTAAATAAAAATTTTATCGACCAACGAAATATGGATTCAATAATTGAAAAAAATTGAAATTGAAATATTTAATAAATCCATCAAACAGCTTTAAATCAAAAACTGAAATTATAGAATGATCAGAGAAGACTGATGGTTTCAAATGATTAGATGAAATCTATAAATTCGTAATTTTTTGGAAATAAGGTAAAATAATAGAAAAAAATTAGGACAACGACGATGAATAGGATGATTATCCCTTAGAAAAGTCTAAAATTATATTATAGATAAGGTGTAATGGAGAATGAAGAGAGCTAAGAAAGAAGAAATGGTCGAGGAAATTCATCCACGTTTCTTGAAAAGAAGGAAAATAATTTCTAAAAACTTGCATAAGATTAGGTAGCAAAGAACAATCCAAATATTATTGAGCCTACCTATTTCCGCTTTCCAAACATTAAGTGAAGCGAATGAAACGAGGTAATGATGAGTAAAAAGATGAACAGGGCATATGCCGGGGAACAACTGTGGAGGAATTCCAGATTAGGAATTTTTCACCACTGAATTTTTAAAAATCTTAAATGGTGGAAAAACCTGTAGAATAGCTGAGATCACAAAGAGTGAAAAATTCATCCAGTTATTCATTATTCATTTTCGTTAGATAAGAATAAAAATATAAAAGTGCTTGGTATTCACTATTTCCGACATTGTTATCTGGCATGGTTAGTTTGGAACTGCTGGCGACAGAGATGCGAATCACCAAAACCATTTGAATTTCTTGATGATAAGCCTACTGCTGCGGAGACACGAATCGAACCACTTAATTCGACCTTTAATTCGACCACTGAGCTACTAAGCACTCGGCCATCACTATGTATCCCTTCTAGGCAGGTTGGCAGGTTATATGGTACAAAGTTTACTGTAAATTAAGTTGTAATGAAGAGAGAAAAAGAAAAATTGGAAAGGATGAGCTGATAACGATAAAAGTGATAAATTTGTGCGGAAATGGAAACAATTAATTTTCAGAAAAGAAGAAAAATAGGTTATCTCATAAGAAGTATATGGGCGTTATTATGGAAAATCGCCCAAATTATTTCTTCCGATCGAGCCTTATTAACTGTTGATAACTGCTGAATGTTGCAGGGAAGCAGATTGCAAGAGTTCGACCAATTTAAAGAAAGGGAAATCCGGGAAGGCTCAAGAAATTTAAAATTTATTTCATTCATTCTGCTAAAAAATTATAAAATATAGCTGTTCTGTTTTCAGCATTTGTTCCTTATTCAGTATGTGCAACAATAATAAATGAAAGCATGAAATAATTTTGAAATACTTTCATGTAAAGTAGCAGCAAAACGTGAGAAGTCACGTGAACTAAATATTAATTGCTCATTATATAAAATATTTATTATTCCACGCGAAAACGTGAAATACTGGTAAAAAAAAGAAGGGAATTAAAGAAAAAGTCTGAAACTGAAATGAATGGTTTGTTAGGAGAGAAAAAGGGCGATAAATGTTGTAAAAGAGCGTAATGGAAATGGTTGTTGTGAGCGACCCGGTTTTCGAAGGAAACGAGTAAACGGACTGTCGTAAATAGAATAAAATGATAGATGCGCCGCTACACACTCGATTAACCCCCCTAATTCTCATTTTTCTCATTCATTGTTCTTCGATTCCTTTTACTTTTCTCACATTTGATAATTTATTTTATTGCATAAAATTGAAGGAGGCGAAGTGCATTTTCGCAGCCGAATTTTTATAAGAATTTCCCGACAAAAGAAATATTTCTTCATTTAAAGTATTTTCGATTTCAACGATAAAATTCGAGAAAAGGTAGAGATCAGCTGGCGAGTCGAAATGCTGAGTAGTAGTTGAATAGTTTAAAAGACCGATGAAGCATACATTCATCTATGGACAGCGGACGAGCAACGAAGCGATACGCTTACACGCGACCCGGAAGGAATAACGAAAAAAGCAAAGGCCGTGTGAACGCAAACTGGAAATGCGTTATCGTTCCGCAAATCGTCCTACGCGAATGATGGAAAGTTGTTTTTTGGCCTTAGATAGGCAATATGTGCGATACAATCAGAGTTTTCCTTTCACGACTATGAATATTGCTGATAAAGTGACTAATTAAAAATTTCGTAACAAAAAGCAACGATTTTCTAGTTGTTCGTTTTGCCTTTCAGCAATTAATTGGCAAAGAAAATTTTTATTGTTGTATGTTGTTTTTAGAGATGTTATTTATTTATTTATGTTTTTTGAGATTAAACCTAAGGAAAAATGGTTTCAGATGGTTTCCTCGAATATTTTTCTAAAGCCACGGGACCCCTAACTGCTGATTTTCAGCATCCGATATGTTTATCGCTAACTGACTAATGTTTTGCCAGATATATTAATTAATGAGGTGGCTCAAGATAAGTGCCGCCGAGAATCGAGGTCACGCACGGCGCTTCGTGCAGCGGCAGTGTTGCCTCAAAGGAGAATTGAGGTCCTCTCCCGGCAGAAGTAAACCTATCCTTAAAAGTCCGAATGATCCTGGCGACTCACCTGTATTTCTATTGCTAAGGTATTCCCTGGTATATTTATCTAACTCGACAAGCCAGCCAAGTAAGCCTAACTAGCAATATTGAGTGCTCTTTAAAAAATGGATGCGATCAGGTGGTATTGTGAATTCACCAGTACGTCTATCGCCAACTGACTTTTTGGTGAATCAACTTATCGTCGGTGCAACCAATGGAATCAAAGCAGAAATGGTGAGTGCTATTAAAAGAATAAGATCTGGGTGAGGAAAAATATTGATTACAAAGGCACCATTAAAGGCGATCACTGTTGCTTTGGTTATTTAGCTACTTTTTTATAGCTAAGAAACAACAAATACTGAATTTAAGCAAAATTATTCGACTATTTTGTAGTTAAGAAACTTAGTAAACATTCGAAAAATTTGTGTTTTTCAGAGACCAACTCACCCAAGGCATTTTTGCGGTAAATTTGTGGGTTAATAATTTTGAAAAGTATCTTTGTGAATGTATAAAATAATCAACGGAACATCGTGAAACGAGAATGAAAGAATTGATTAAAAGAATCCATTCTATTCCAGTCCATCCATTTTCCACTCAGAAGTTCTCGCAACATGTCTTCTCACCATCCTCTGTGATTAAAAATTCTTGCATACAAATATATCAATTGACGCTGAACTCTGAAATATGTTGGACAGGAACTGTCTTCTCCAGGAACTTTATGCGTCTCAAGCTTTTGAGACATCATTTTATAAACGTAATAGATTAGCAGATTAAGTGAAATCATTTTTGATTTACAGATTACAGATTAGATTTCCTCCATATATTTTCTTGACCATATAATGATATCTGCATATTCTGCAAATTGACTTTTTTAGACATTTCCAAAACTATTCCTCCAGGAAAGGGGATGCATGTACAACAAATTATTTCGGTCGATATTGTTTCCTTGAAGTACGATTCTCTCAATTTAAAATCGAATTTGGAAACTTCAAGAATTTGAAAGAAATAATCAAAAGATTTTATATAAAAAAGAAAGCTGCATTTAGATCGGAATGCTGACCAGATATTCAAGGCATTTTATCAGCTTATGTCGGCGAAGGTCTGTGTATATGGGAACTGATAGAGTCCTTCGAAAACTAGTATTCGTCAAGCTTGCGCCCCTACAGTACTCAAATATGCGATATACTGGATAATGGATATGCTTGTCGGTACTTAAGAGGTGTGCAAATCAATCCAGATTATATATCTGCCATCATAGATCGTCAATACTAATGTCCTAGCAAAATGCGAATAATGCTAAACGTATCACCATGCAGTAAGAATCGGAA